ACTTAGCAATTGGATCGCTAAATGATAGCTGTCACCTTGTGTCAAAGCGAATAACTTGTGAAATATACTTAGCAGTTGGTTCGCTGTACAAATACAAACAAATATGTTGGGTCACGTGGAAAAAAGGTTGAGAAACGTTGTTATATATAATTAATTTGAAATTTTATTTTTATATACTCAAATTAAAGCCTATAAATTATACTTTAATAAAAGCATAGATATTGAAGCCTACTATCAAAGCGAGGAACTGGTAAAATATACTTAGCAATTGGATTGCTAAATGACAGCTGTCACCTTGTGTCAAAGCGAATAACTGGTGAAATACACTTAGTAATTGGATCGCTAAATGACAGCTGTCGCTTTGTGTCAAAGCGAGGATCTGGTGATATACACTTAGTAATTAGATTTCTAAATGACAGCTGTCAGTAACATATACTTAGCAATTGGTTCGCTGTACAAATACAAACAAATATGTAGAGTCACGTGGAAAAAAAGTTGAGAAACGTTGTTATTTATAATTAATTTGAAGTTTTATTTTTATATAAATTGATTAAATAAGCTTTGTTAACGTTGAAACGTCAATAACAGAGAACGATTTACATTGAAATCGAGCACTCTCCTCCAGAATCCAAACTATTTCCTATAAAAAAAGTATTGCATACGATTCCAATTATATTTATTTTTATTAAATAAAGCTTTGCATCGTTACGGATCAATGCAAAGCAACTTATATAAAACATCGTCGTTTTATTATTTTTTATTTAAATCCCCCCATCCACGCAAATTGCTTTATTAGGAATCCCCGATTAATCTGTTTGTCCATGTAAATGGGTTCAGCATCAAGCGACAAAAAAACAGAAGCAATTGGCGGAAGGATCGAGCAGATTACACCCTTTTAAACATGACCAATTTTTCTCTCCGCAGTGGACAGAGTTTTTTTTACACGCTCACTGCTCATGCAGATTTAGCTTGCGTTTAACTTGCCGATTTTTCAGTTTTTCCGGCACATCCATCTTCAACTATTTTCGTTGTAGAAACTATTTGTTTCTACTCGCATAAGATTACAGTCATTATTTTACGTTCTAATTGAAGGACTGAAAGTTTGAGGACTTTGGTCTTGATCCAGTTGTTTGGAGACAACGTATCTACTTTAATTAAACTTCATCTAATTCCGAATACAGGTGGTCCTCGACTTACAACGCAATCAGAAACTTTAGTCATAAGTCGAATTTTATGCATAATTATTACTTACTTTTACGTGCTTTGAATCTGAATTATATAATAGTAATTAATATACTTTTTTTTGCAAATAGTTCATCTAAGAAGTTACATTATTGTAGTTAATAAATTACATGGTTTGATCTTTATATAACTCAGAAATGATTGGAATTAAATATATAATTTTACTCATTTTTTGTTATATAAAAAGCATCGGTTATTACAAAAATTGAATGAAATAATTGAATTATTTCGAATTTCTCTATGCTCATTACTTATATAAGACAATGAAATGAAATTATTGGAGTGGATTTGATCTTACTGACTTTTGTTATGCACAAAATATTGGTTTACAAAAATTAATCAAAAAATATAATTATAACCCGTATTTTATGCATAATAATCTCCAACATTGTTAATAATTGAATATTTTACGTGCTTTAAATATTAAAGAATTATAAAACATTTTTTCAACATAATTTTTGTATGCTCATTAGTCATTGTTAAACCGAGAATAAAATTATTGGAGTGAACAAATTGTAAGTTTAATCTTACCCATTTTTTTGTATGTTTAATAATTGCACAAAGCATCGGTTTACACGAAACAACGAATTTCGTTTAAAATTATTTTTTAAGTTAAGTTTATATAACGGTACGCGATTTTCTCTCTCCTTTAACTTCGTTTCGCTTGTGTCATTGTTCAGTGTTTTAATTATGCCGGTAACTTGATTAAAGAACTTTTCATGGAACGTTTCAGCTTAATTCTGTTTCGAAATCATAATAGCCTCTTGGATTATATTTTCTGTGCGCCCTGGATGCATAAATAAAAACGAGAACTCACAATTAGAACTATACTTCTAATTATTAACGCACATTAATATTTCTTTAAATTAAAACAAAAATCTTAAATTTATGTACACAAATATTTGGGTAAATTGGCTCGAATTTGTCATGATTTACAATTACAAATATAGTCCTAATTATCAATTTTTTATGACTATCATTAATTTTCTTTATATTCAAAATCTCTATATTTATTTACAAACTTTTCTTTGTATATTATTTCTTACTGCAGTAGCTCTTGATTTATATTCTTAGTACACTGAATTTAAACTTGTACGTACGTCTGTCTTTAAATAGAGTATACATACTTATAATTAGCACGCGTCGTCGAGCATTGCAATAAAACGTAAAGACACTTATTTTTTTTAGCATTTTTATTCTTTCAATTTGAGCAGCTTATTAAAACAGCCACAGCTGCAAATCTGAGAGTATAATTACATTATAACCTGAATATTTAGCTTTAATAATCATCTTATTCGACAACCAAATTAATACGATGATTTGTGAAGAATTGTGAAGAATTAAACAGATTTTACAGATAAACGGAAATACATACAATTCTAACAGTATAGTCAAATTGATGCCTACACATTTTACTTTAATTAAAGTGTAAACACTTATAGTTGGCAATTGTTGTTATTGTATAATATGATTAAATGGTTTTGAGAACATTGCATTATTATTTTTTAACTCTGACAACTTATTAAATTTAAACGCTAATAGCTACAAATCTGAAAGTACACTCAAATTAAACCCAGTATATTTACTTAACACATAAATATCATGCGTGGTTGTCCTGAATACACTATATTTCTCCAGTATAAAAAAGAATAGAATCAACTTTGACAGCTTATTACAAGCAAACGGTAATAGATGTAATTCAGGCAGTATACTCAAATTAAAGCCAATAAATTTTACTTTAATAAAAGTATTGATATTTAAAGCTTTTATGTATGGTTATTGAGTAATATGATAGAAAAAATTGAAAAATATTAAATTATTTTTTAAACTTTGATGACTTATTAATAGAAAACGATAATACTTACAAATCTGATAGTATATTCAAATTAAAGCCTGGATATTTAGCTTTAATTATCATATTACCTTGTGTGGTTGTCGAGTAATACGATGAATTGTGAAGACAGTTAATTTCTCAAGAATTAAAAAAAAGAATCAAATTTGACAGCTTATTGCAGACAAACGGTAACAGATATAATTCAGGCAGTATACTCATATTAAAGCTTATAAATTTTACTTTAATAAAAGTATAGATATTGAAAGCTTTTATATGTGGTTATTGAGTAATATGATACAAACAATTAAAAAATATTAAATTATTTTAAACTTTGACGATTTATTAATCGAAAACGGTAATAGTTACAAATCTGACAGTATATTCAAATTAAAGCCTGGATATTTAGCTTTAATTAACATATTACCTTGTGTAGTTGTTGAGTAATACGATTAATCGTGAAGACAGTCTAGAATTAAAAAAAAAGAATCAAATTTCAGAGGTTATTACAGACAAACGGTAACAGATATAATTCAGGCAGTATATTCAAATTAAAGCATATAAATTTTAATTTAATAAAAGTATAGATATTTAAAGCTTTTATAAGTGGTTATGGAGTAATATGATACAAAAAAATTAAAAATATTAAATTATTTTTTAAACTTTAACAACTTATTAATCGAAAACGGTAATAATACAATAAAATTAAAGTCTGTTAAATAACAACAATTTCCAACAATAAGTGTTTACACTTTAATTAAAGTAAAATTGTATGTATTTCCATTTACCTGTAAAATCTGTTTAATTCTTCACAAATCATCGTATTAATTTAGTTGTCGAGTAACCAAATTAATAAGACATTAAAGTTAATATTCAGGCTTTAATGTAATTATATTCTCAGATTTGTAGCTGTGGCTGTTTTAATAAGCTATCCAAATTGAAAGGAGAAAATGCTAAAAAAAATCAGTTTCTTTACGTATTATTGCATTGCTCGACGACCCGTGCTAATTATAAGTATGTATACTCTATTTAAAGACACACGTACAAGTTTAAATTGAGTGTACTAAGAATATAAATCAAGAGCTACTGCAGCGAGCAAACAAAAATGTACAAAGAAAAGTTTGTAAATATGTGTTGTTGTTATACATGGTTATTGAGTAATATGATAAAAAATTGAAGAATATTAAATTATTACAAAATTGGTAATAGACACAAATCTGAGAGTACAATAAAATTAAAGCCTGTATATTTGGATTTAATTTGAGTATTCACATTGATAATTGGTATGCGTCAAGTGTATTTTATGTAATGAAAACAGCAAATAGTCAAAAAAATCATTTTTTTGAAATATTTTGAATGTTTCATTATACCATCATTGTGGAACTTCAAAATGTTTGATGTGATGCATACACTTATTTCGATGGAAAATAATAATAATAATAATCTCCATTACGCAGAATAATGCATACCTCATGAATACCACATTTTCCACGCCCGTTGTCCAACAATGATTGCAATTTTGACGTCGCACAGTGTGCGGGCTAATTTAGTGTACAAATATAGCATATTTGAATTCGTACAACGAATAGAACTTCCGGACGGTGAATTCTAAACGAATCAATATATTATTATTTGAGCAAGCATCGACGAAACGCATTTGCACAATTGCAACGAATATCATCAACCATATATATGTACCATCAATGTTCTGTCCCTCTTCGCAATATTTAACCACCTAATTGGGTGCACGAATAAACGCAACTCAACAATTTAAATCCCAACCCAATTAACGCATCCAAACGCAAATAATGCTCTCAACATAAAAAAAAAAACATTATTGTATAACAAAAAAATCGATTGAAATCAACTTTTTACATGCACGTTTTGAATAATTCTCTGTTTGTTTGTTAAAATTTAATTGTTGCAGGGATTTTTGCTGGCATGGATTCGTCGGCTGGGAAATTGGCTGCATCGTTGAGCATTTTATTGGCTGCAGCTTCGATGTCGATTGGAATGCGCTTCAACTTCCGGTAAACTCGCTTCGCGTTTCCATAATTCCGTTTGCAGAATAATCATTGTCCAGGTAACATTTATAATTTGTTGCAAGAGGGAATTTCCAAATAAAAAAAAAGCAGTAATTCCGAAACGTTTCTTGTGATATTATTCTATTAGGTAGAAGATGCATTCTATCCTCATGGTTGCTGCACATCCATGGTTTTAATATTTATTTTTATTATCTCTCTCTCTAGTTTTTTTTTTTCATTCATAAAAATTTCACCCGCATAAATATGTATGTGTGTCTATTAATCGTGGCTAAAACATCAAACGCATTCGACAATTTCACGGTTTTACTGGTAGAGAGACAAATTCAATGGAAAGACTGTAGCTATGTCAATTTCAATATAATCTGCGGAAATTTGCGGTGGTAGATTTAAAACTGGATACCAGATGAATTTAGGGATTTTTCGGGGATGAATTGTATAGTTGTGAATATTTTAATTACTTGTTATTTAAAAATTAAAAAAAAAAAATGATGAAGGAAATGAAGTGATGAAATGATATATGTATAAAAAAAGAAGTATATTGAGAATGTGTATATTGTAAGTTGTCAAATACCAAATAAAAACAAAAACAATTAATTCAAATTTATTTCCAACTCCTTGATTATAATAATACAATTGTTAAATTTTACTTATTGCACTTACATTTATAATTAATGAATTAATTAATAACACACTTGTATATTTTTGCCCTGAAAACATGAAGCAAAGACTTTTGTAATTAATGTACTTATAAATAAATACGTTCAAATGGTTGATGTTAAATTATTTCTCCCTTGCAAAATTCTAGTAAATAATTAATCTGATGTCAACATACGAGAAGAACAAATAAAGCATTGACGTGTATTGTTTGGATGCTTGAGTGTATTTTTTTATTGTTGTTGTAGTTGTTTCGTCTTCAAAAGTTTTGGTATTGTTCTTGCCAGGAACGCCCGTGGCGCTGAAGATTTATGAAATACGGGCGCCTGCAGCAAATTAAATATTCAAGTGTGCATTTATAGCCGGGGAAATAATCTCTGAAAGACCTTGAGACCTTTCGCATTTCTCCACCTTTTTTCTTCTTCCTTCCCCTTTTATCCTTATTTTCCCTTTATTGCCGTGTTTCGTATTATTAGAAGAAATAACTTGTGTGCGGCGAATAAAATTTGATTAAATTGCTCACAATTTTCACGCGACTTTATACGTACGTCTGGGATATATGTTAGGGTAATTTATTGTAACAACAGGACCTTAATGTAAGCAAATGTAAACAACGTGTACTTGAATATAATTGTTTTTGTTTCAAGGCAATAATCATTGTAATGTAAGTATATTTTTTTCATGAAAACTCAAGTAAGTAACTAATTTCTACAGTTATATTAATATTAAAGACAATTAGCAATACTTAGATATGTGTCAATTCATAAATAACTTTTTAACTTAATAACTTTTACAATTATATCTTATTAATTATTCTAATTATTTTAAACATGTAAGAAAATATTAATGACATCTGTCATTTTTGAAGAATTGACAGCTGTCAATGGGTTTCATTTGAAATTTAATGCAATATATGTTTTAAACACAAGTCATGTACAGTAATGCCTCGCACAGTGCTGCTTCAATCTGTTCGGATTCAGAATAGTCCGGTTTGAATATTTCAATACAATCTACATTTTAGGTGAGTTGAATTAAATAAGTTTAAATTTTATAATCAATTAGTAATACTTAGACATGTGTTAATTCATAAATAACTTTTTAACTTCCTTGTAACTAATTTCACAGAAAAATCAATAATTAAAAACTAATAAAGTAATAAGACACGTTATACTTTATTAACTAAGCTTACATCACCCCAATACAATTATTTCTTATTAATTATACTAATTATTTTAAACATGTAAGAAAATATGATTTAATGACATCTGTCATTTTTTATCTTTGATGAATTGACAGCTGTCAATGGGTATCATTCGAAGTTTAATGCAATATATGATTTAAATACTAGTCAGGTACAGTTATGCTTTGCACAGTGCGGCTTCGATTTGTTCGGATTCAGAATAGTCCGGTTTGAAAATTTCAATACAATATACATTTTAAGTGAGTGAAATGAAATACAGTTTTAATTTTATAGTCAATTAGTAATACTTAGACATGTGTCAATTCATAAATAACGTTTCAATTTTCTTGTAACTAATTTAACTTAAAAGTCAATAATTAATAAAGTAACTAAAGTAATAAAAAGTTTTTCAAAAAAGTGAAAAACTCTTAACTTCATCTCAATACAATTTTTTCCTATTAATTATATAAATTATTTCAAACATGTAACAAAATATTATTTAATGACGTCTGTCAATTTTTTATTTTTGAAGGATTGACAGCTGTCAATGAGTATAATTGGAAGATTAATACTATACTGCTATAGTCAAATCTTCCTCGATTAGTCCGGTTTCAATCAGTCCGGAATATTGGCAAGAACTGAATTAACTTTTTTAATATTTTAACCACAAAATGATAAATTTCATTGCATAACGCTTAATATATCAAAATGATCTGAAATATATAAACTAACTTATTTATTTATGGATTGATGAAACTAAGTGGAAAATAAATGTGTATGAAATAATGAAATTTGTTAATTGGTCATCAAATATTTAGGTTGTTGCAGAGTGTTCTCCCTTTATAACTTAATTGATGAAGCGAAATCAGCAATTACGTGCGCTAATTAATTCAAAACGCCGACTATACATAAATAAAGGGCAATTTTCGCAGAAATTATAGACAGCAGAATTACCCTACCAATTGCCTGCACGAAGATTACATTAACAATAAAACACAAAGGGAAGTTATTATATTTGATGTTATAAAGGACAAATTACATTTCACAATTACATTACATAACAAATTTACTTGCAAGATTATTTTTTTGTACTTTTAATTAGTTCTTAATACATGAATTAATATTGATTAATACATGAATTAAAAATTAATTGTTCAAGTTTTACATAAATTATAAATAATGAGAAATGAAAAAAAAAATGTTTTGTTTAATAAATATAAAAATGTATACACTTCTAATTAATATATGTACATTAATATTATTTGAACTGGATTTGGTGGGTAAAATTAATATGCATTACTTCAACACGAAAAAGATTTTTTTTTAAATATAATATTTGTCAAAACGTATTGCAAACCGAATTTACCCGCATGTAAATACATGAAAACAACTAATAATTATTTATAAAACATACATATATTTGAATTACTGTTGCTGCGTATTATTTTATGTGTATTCATACCGATCCGACAGTGTTTACTTAATAACGCGTTAAATGATAATTGAATATATTACACAATGGACAAATATTTTTACAGCTCGAATAACAAAAAAAAATAAAAATTGTGACAAATTAATCATTTTTTTATCCTCTGATTAACTATACTAGATATTTGTCAAGTAATTTGTCATGTAACGTTTTGTATTTACTTAAGTTATTTTTTAAACGTTTATTAAACATTTATATCAATATAATTAATTATAAAATTCACAAATGTCAATTTATATTACACACTCAATAAAATATTGACATTTGTCAATTCCAAAGTTTTGAATAATTCCAATTTTTAGTAATGTCCATTTATTGAAGGAATGACATTTTTTTTGTCCTCTGATGAACAATACTATATATTTACCAACTTATCGTGTAACGTTTTGTATTTATTAAAGTTATTTTGTAAACGTTTATATCACATTTATATTAATATAATTAATTATAAAATTGACAGATGTCAATGTGTATTACACACTCAATAAAATATTGACATCTGTCAATTCCAAAGTTTTCAATAATTCCAATTTTTAGTAATGTCATTTTTGAAGGAATGACAGCTGTCAATAAATGTCATTCGAGAGTTTAGAAGTAATTTGTCTTCCAAAGTAATTAAATTTAATAATAATTTGAAATGTATTTATATATTTTTTTCAGGATCACTACAACTTAACATCTGTCTAGAAAATAGTATAAATAGTAATTTATTTTTATATAAAAAAAATGTTAAAATTTCATTGCAGCTAAATTTATAACCGAGTTGGAATGCACGAGGAAAATGCACAAAAAAATGTGTCTGTTGGCATGTCCTTCTCGCTCTGTCACGTATGCAATAGTATTACCGGCCCTTTCCGTATTGCATGCATATCTAACGATGAGAAAGGGTCGAGTTCAAAGGGGAAAAAGCACAAAAAAGAAGGTTTGAATGATATATATATATATCTTTTTTTTACATTCTAACGCATGTAAAAGCCCATTGACATAGTTGGAGTATTCGGAGGAATGCAGACAAAGTAGCATACACAATATATTACATTCGCATCCCAAATCATTCAAATGATATGAATCGCATAATTCAACAAAAAATTACTATATACTAAGTGTAAAATATATTTTAAAATTTTGAATTTATAAACAGGAAAAAAAATCATTTTTTACAACTTATTATAATTTAGTATGTTAATTAAATAATTGTGAAAATGTAAATTAAGTAATAATAATATATTGTTTAAAATTTGCTATTTTTATTTAATATAAATTAGAAATTGACTTTAAAAAAAATGAGACTTACTTCATACTACAAAATCTGATATTTAGGGTTGTCCTTAATGTTGTTTCTGAGTTATTGACTCTTGAAGAAACTGAAGAGGTGAAACCAGAACGGAAAATCTTGATAAACGAAAAGTTAATGAAAAGCCTTGAACTCATCCACGGATTCGAGATGAAATCGATTCGAATAAATTCCGAACGCAAGAAACAGACAAAAGAGATCACCTTTTATAAACACATTACATACTGGTGAATTATCCTTCTAAAACTGTTTTTTCAAAATTATCCTATAGTTTAAAAATATATTAATTTTAACTCAAATTTAATTTACTACTGAATTTTCGTATGTTTTATAAAAATTGTTACAATTTTATTAAGAACATTTTTATAATTAATTTGAATAATTTTTTCAAATATTTATGGAACAAAAACAAATTAAAAAGCAGGTATTATGAATAATTCAAATGTGAACTGTTAATGACTGCAAAATTAATTTAACATAAATATTCATATTTAATTTGGAGAAAATCATATAAACGTATTCATAAGCATGACGAACATCGAACATAGTTTTGTTTAATTTACAACAGTAGAAATTTAAGTGAAGCCACTTTCATTTAAATTACACTATCGAAATTACAATTAAAATGTGGATGTGTGTCTTTCTTCGTTGACATTAAATTAGCATTTCTTTAATACTTGACCCATGTAATTGAGTTTAACAAAAAAAAAACAAATATGAAAGTAGTAGTTTTATATTGAATCTTATTTGTGTTATTGAAATCTAAACGTAACAAAATACTATAGAATAGTTGTTTTTACATAGTTATACGTTACTTTCAGTCATTGTTTTCAGAAATAAATATTATTCATATTGATTAAGAATATTCTGTTAATTTACAATAATTATCTAAATTTTCTTGTTTACAGTACTTGTGGTTTTTGCTAACAAGCTATGTATAGGTAATATTGATCAAGAATAAGTTACACAATAAACTAGTTACCAAATTTAACTTTCTGCTAATTTCTTAATTTTTCTAACAATTACCTACATTTGCAGCAGGAATAGGAAAGAATGTATATTTGTACATTGGCATAGATGCGAGACGTAGCGAGCATCTTTTAAAGGTAAAGAAGATGCTCCGACAACTGGATTAAATGGGATTAGAAATTGATGGAATGCCTTCTGCTTCATTTTTTTCTCTTTTCTTCTCTCTTAAAATGATTATGAAACGTTCGGATTCTGTCCAGTCGGAGCGAGGCAGCAGCGGCACGGCCGTAGTTTTGTGAAAGTGCGGGTTCTGCTCATTTTCCTTCTTCTTAATAACGAAACACCGACGGCAACAGGAAAAGAGAAAGAGTTGATCGCAGTCCACACGGAGTACGTGAAATTAATATAGAGAATGAGTTTACCACTCGGTGTTATCCTGTTCTTCGTTCTCGCCGTTTACCCGGCAGGTGAGTTTTCAATACATTCTGCAAATAAAAAAAGAAAAATGTTACATAGTCAATTTTTTGGAAATTCCGGAAGTACAGCAGTTTGGGTGAATATATGACTTTTCAATAGACCGGACGTATAATAATAATATATTAATGTTATTCCATCCGTACATTCGCGTTTGAATGTTTGGTAAACTTCGGAGCGGCATCGATGCTCTCGAAGTTTTCACAAACAGTGGGAAAAACAAATGTCGACAGGTCGATTTTTGCATAAGCAAACAAAATCGGTGCACTCGAAAAGCAAATGTACGTATCGCGCGCGCTTTTCTATGTTGTTTGTTGTTGTTTTGTTGTTCGAATTGAAATTGAATAAATAATGCGGGAGCCTTGTGTGATTTTTCCCTGCTGCGTTGGGTATCTAATGCCTCTATTTGTTGTTTTTAGTTTATTCAGTTTCGTAGTAGACGCGAAATTCCAATGGTCGCAAGATAATTGCGATTGGAAATCAAATTTATGCACGCGCCGGTTTCGCATTCAAAATGCGAACTATTTAATTACAAACAAAGGCGTACCATTCTCCGGAAACAAAAAAAAACAACAATTGACAATGACAGAATGAAAGAGAGACAGAACTAACAGAATAACTGCAAATTACAATGTAGAAAGTTTGTATGTTATAATCAAATTATAAATTAATTTTCTTTTCGTTTGTATCACAGGGTTATTCAAATTGCAATAGAATCTTAATGCTTTTTTTTAATACCTGATGTATCTATTATCAACTATTATTAAGACACATTTAAATACAGTTTTGATATTATCAAGATTATGTAATAAAATAAGTTATAGGTTAGGATTGATTAGGTTAGGTTAAGTAAGTCTTGTCAGTTTTAGTAAATTATAATAAATATAATCTAAATCAATTTCAATATATTAAGTCATTAACCAATAAATGGAAACAGAAATCTTCTTAAGTTTACAAGTAGCTTTTTCTGAATAAGTTTAAAATTTCAATAATTTTTTGTTCGCGAACTTTTTAAATCATATTAACTGAATTCTCTGAAAAAATATACAATTTCATACAATTTTACTCAGAATAATCTAATTTTTATGTTACAGTATAAGCAATAATATTTGAAATTAGATTTTATGATTATTAAAAGAAATGCATGACATAAGTGACAGCTGAAAATGTGTCTGAAACGGATTTGGATTGTGGCAATGATATAAAAAAATAAATCTTGCGAATACAACGATCAATCTTCATTAAATACCTAAAAGATATTTCGCGTTTACCAATTTACATTACGTTTTGTCAATTTACAGAATAAAAGCTTTATCTCACCGACTTAAACCGAGATGAAAAGTAGAATATATTCATTTTCTTTCTATTAATACAAATGAAGCACAAATAGTTAGAAAAAAATATATACTTAGAGATTTCTTTTAGGTCAGGGGTGAAAAACTTTAAATGGCTTTTGACCTTTTCAGCTTATAAAAGATCTGTTCAATGATCTGTATTTCCAAATATTTGTTAATCCTTGGTTAAACTAAACTAGGACACTATAACTAAGTAAGTGATTAATACAATAAGAGAATTAAAATAGGGGTGTCAGATTTAAATCATATTATCTTTTATCTCAGAAGGGTTGACACAATTAGATTATATCAAAATTGTCTAGACACAGGAGACGTGGAACCGAGTGACTAGAAATGTAGTCATACTATCTAGTCTATATATGCGAATATCGCAGGAGAATATCGTAGAGGTGATATTTTTAGATCAATCGTAAAGCCTTCGCGCAATATCCAGGATATGTAACCTGGGGATCCACCAAATCTCCTTTCAAATCCCATGCATAATTCCAATACTTTAGGATATGATTTCATTGACCATTCACTTTTGCGAACGCATTTCGAAAACTATATCAAAAAGCTTAAAGGTTTTACATATTTCCATCAACGAAAACTAATTGAATTTCCTTTCTAAATTCACTTTAACAACTATTTAAATTTAATATTTTTATAATATGTTACATTTTTTGATCACTTTTCGATTAAATACCAACAATTGTATTGATCTATTTACATTCATTAAATAAAATATTGGTGTTTCATCAATGAAATAATACTAAAAGTGAGAAATTCTTGACATGAAAAGCTATAATAACAACCTCAACCGCAACGATTTTCTTCATTCCAATAGGAATTTAATCAGTTGATCAAATAAACGTCTGTTCACAAGGCATTAAGGAAATTAATTTACAAGCCACAAACATTGATTTGCAAAAAAATAGTAAACTGTGTACTTTTATACGTGAGTGTATGAATCATGAGTGGAAACTCGACCTGACATCCCATTGACTCAATCATTATTATCAGCCGCTTCCTTTACACTTCACATACTATTTTTGCCAGCTTCCACTTATCACCTAATTGGGATTTATTGAACGATAAATCTTCATAATATCTTTGTGCTACAGAAGCATGTGCAATGCATTAACGCTCTTTAATCAGGAACAAACAAAAATACATTCTAACATATTTTCATTAATTAAAATCAAACAGAGAATAATTAACCTAGATTCTAATGAATAGATAAATTTGTTTTTTACTTAATTATAGTAAAAAAAAAAGTTTATATATAATATAAAATCCGTTTTTTTTTCTTTATTCGAACTAGATATTTATGCAGCAATTAAATAATTATAATTATATATAAAATAATATTTTGAAGTTGTAAAATTCTAAAAATAATTTATACTGTTTTTTTTTTGTTAAATTTATGAAATTGCAATGCGAGATATTGTAAATGATCATTAATACAATTGCATGGAAGTGATTGTTAATTAAATGTAAGTGATTCAACCTCGCCGCGTTTTGAGAGAACAGTCAAATGGGTCAGGTTCCATGTATTCATATTTTACACGATTGCGCTTAGAAATCACGTTGGAAATATACCAGTTTTGAATTGAATGTTAACTGATTGAAAAGAGAAATGCTTTCACTTTCTTCCTATACCGCTTAAGATTTAAGTAAATAATGAATGAGAATAGTTTAATTTAGTTTTGCACTGGAATGTTAAGAATTTCTTTTGTTTATATTTTGTATGTGGATCAAATGAGTTTTGTTATTCTAAATAAGTAGAAATTCCGTGGGAAACTTTCCCATTGCCAATTTCATAATTAGCTATTGAATGGACATCAATTTGGATTTAAAAAAAAAAGCGGTAGTAGATGATGTTTTGCGAAGCGCTATTAACCTACTAACGGAAGACGTTTTTTTTGTATTGTTTTCTTTACTGATGATGATGAGTTTGTTTGCAGATGTATTTTCGGTGAAGTGCATAGAGAATGGCAAATTTTATCGGGATCCTAGCTTGTCGTCGGGGAAAGCGTGGACGGGGAGCGAATGCGCCAAGTATTTCCTATGCTTGGAAGGCGAGGTCTTCGAGTTCCGCTGTTCGATCGGTCTACTTTTCGACGTGAAAAGGCAGATCTGCGATTTCAAAGCGAACGTGGACAATTGCGACATCACCATCGAACCCATCATCCCCAGACCGCTTCTGACCGATGGAGACTGCGAGGATGATTTCGAATTGGCATGTGCAGATTCCACGTGCTTACCGGAAGAATACTTTTGCGACGGATCTCTGGATTGTCCCGATGGAAGCGACGAAGGACACTGCGATGAATTTATAGATCACAGCTCTGCGGTGGAGTGCGACGAAAGCAATTGCAAATTGCCGAATTGCTTTTGCTCCGCCGATGGTAAGATGAGGTTTGCGAAAGCTTTCTTCGTCTATCTAAAGTGCAAAACTTTTCGCAGGTACTAAAGTTCCGGGAAATCTGAATCCCAGCAGAATCCCGCAAATCATAATGCTTGCTTTCGAAGATGCCATCAACTTCGACAATTACGATCTGTTCGACAACATCATACTGAACGAAAACAGGTCGAATCCCGACGGGTGTCCTATTAAAGCCACATTCTTCGTCAGTCATCAATACAATAACTATCAGCAGACACAAAGATTGTGGAATAGGGGCCACGAGATTGCCGTGCACTCCATTACGTAATTATTATGTCTGCAAATTGAGCGGTAATTTTATTCTCGATTCTAGGCATCGCGGACCGGAGGATTGGTGGTCGCTAAACGCTACGATTGAAGATTACTTCGATGAAATGGTTGGCCAGGCAAACATCCTCCATAAATTCTCCAAGATACGAATGAGCGAAATGAAAGGATTCCGTGTGCCGTTCCAAAAAGTAGGATGGAACAGGCAATTCCTAATGGCCAAAGAATTCGGATTTCTTTACGACGCCTCGATTGTCGCCCCGTTCAACGATCCTCCACTTTGGCCGTACACTTTAGATTACAAAATTCCTCACCAATGTAACTTGCACCTCCAATGTTTCCAACACCAATTAAACTCGGTGTATTTTTTTAAGGCGTCGAGCAGAACTGCCCGAATCGACCGTATCAGGGTTTATGGGAGATGGTACAGAACCCCTTGATGCTCAACGGCCTGACCTGCACTTCAATGAATTCCTGTCCGCGCAATTTAAGCGGAAATGAAGTTTACAGAATGCTACATACCAATTTCAAGCGCCACTACAGTTCAAATCGAGCACCTTTCGGATTGAATCTTCATTCTGCTTGGTTCAAAAACGCTGATTATTTACAAGCGTTTCAGGTAGGTAACTTCAATTCTAATTGAAATCGCAATAAATATACATATTTTAGACTTTTATGGATGAAATACTGGAATTGCAAGATGTTTGGTTCGTAACACACACACAAGCCATCAAATGGATGCAAAATCCGCAAGAAACGAACCTACATCAAATTTGGGGCTGCGACAAACACATCGCCAAAGAGGAAATCGTTTGCAAAACCCCAAACATTTGTAAACTGTACAGCCAGGTCTTCCAGCAAGAAAGATATTTCCATACGTGCATGGAGTGTCCACCGAAATATCCTTGGATCAGAAACGAGTTTGGTTTGGATTAAGAAAACAACATAATCCACAAATTCAATATTTAATATAGTTTTTATATATATACTTTAATATTAATGCAACAAAGGTTCTGAAGTATTAAAAGAACGCGAATCAGAGCAGATTAATTATATTTGAATTTTTTGCAGTCGTTCTTTCTCAAGAGAAAACTGCGATAATATAAAAGATAGATTTAGTTGCTTTAAATTGTTCAAGACTGAATTAATAAAATTACATTATTTTATTATAGCGATAAAATGATAAGAAACAATAAAATTATGTGTAATCTGTAAAATCTTCCGTTCTTCCATTCCTGGATTTAAACTCCTGATCAGTCTGATTGGCCGACTCATTTTTCGAATCGATTATTTTCTTCCTAATATTCTTAATTTGCCTCAAACGCTCCACCCAGACAGAAGCGTACGGAACCTGCTTACTTTTGTTTATGAACACCAAAGAAGCCAACTAAAAGAATAATAATAAAGATAGATAAATTCGTATGGAAAAAAATATCTGATATTCACATTTGTATTTAATGCCAACTGCCTAGATAGTATTGCGACGTTTTGGTCGGACACAATTCTGGTTTCCGTGTTACCAATTAAATTTGATAACTCCTCTTTAACTTTGACTGTCACTCTATTGGTATTTTGATCCAAAGGTTGTATTATCACATTGGCAAAATTAAATTGACCCTATAAAAGAAAACAAATTTTTGTATCTCATAATTGCTGTCGATAGATATACGCACTTTAATTGTATTGATGTTATAATCCTCTCCGCTGTCGTTGTAGACAATAGTAACATTATCATTGCCTATATGCTTCTTTTTGTTGGTGCAATTCACATCCGAATCTTTGTTGGGCATGATCGTAGCCACATGAAACATAACCCGAATAACGCCGTCTTGCCAAATGTATGCATACTTGCCGTCGCTTCCATTCTGCTCCAAACCTCCAAGGAAAAATAGCTGCGGGTCAACATCTTGTATCTTAATTAAAGTTCCCAGATTCTTCAGAAACTGAACGTATCTAACAGATCCATATTTATTCTTCAAAATATCAACCTCTTTTCCGTTCTGACCCACGCCAATGTAAATGACACCGATCTTGTGCATCTCATATGGAGGAATGCAATCCAATACTTTTAAAGATCTCTGCACGACTCCCGAATCAATTAGAAGTGGCTTTTCATTGGTGCTCCCGAAATGAGCAGAGTGGTATAATTGCAAGAATACAAAGCTCGGGTTGATACCGCTGCGTGCATTCTCCCTGTTCTTCATACCAATTGATGGTCTGTTTGCCTTATGACCAGGACTCTGCATCACAGATATTGTGTACCCTCGATCGCGCCTCTGGTAATCATTTAAATTAGCCTCGTTGCTCTTCTTATCTTTTTTTTGTATTTGCGTTCCCTCTAGAATCAGTGACGAACTTTTCTGAATTTCATGTGCTGAATTTAAAGAAACATAGTATAATAAAAAAATATTTTTATAATTATTGTATTACCTTCGCGTTCTTTCAAGTTGTGTCTCGATAATCTAGGTGATGTTTGAGTAGGTCCCTGTGGGGGTTTACTACTCAGCGGTAACAATATCTGTAAGTTGCTAGGACGATTATCACTTACGGTGCCATCGATAGATTCACTTCGACATGCTTTAAGTTTGCCGCTGTTTTGAGTACCAGATGGGCCCGATTGATATGATTTCGTTGCATTGGGGCCGCCACCTTCAGTAATTCCTGGATAACTCAAAGAACTTAAGAGGCCTGGATGAGTGGTAGGTGCTGGCACTGTTGTCATGGTATCATTGGATGGTGGAGTAGTTCCCATTCCAGCGATCTCTTCAGGGATTGCCTCGCAACTGACTCTCATATCTTTGGGGAAATTATTCTTGACACCACTACTACCGCAAGGCTTCTTTATGCATTCGTCTGGATCTTGGGAACGACCGTCTTCACGATCCACAGCTTTCTGCATTAAAAACGGATTTTTCCAATTCGTCGACATCTCTGGACTGGAGTTCGAACGTCGAACGGGATTCCTTGATCTTCCACCTTCATCGTAGAAAATGGTTTCCACGTCCGCGTCTGCTTCCATGCTATCTCTAGAACTTTGACGGGAAGGTGATTGCTTGTTAGGCGAACCTAAAACATCCATAAAGATTTATAGAATACCAAAAGTAATGCGATTGCAAGTAAACATACCTGGTATACTAATAGGCATAGTTGTACTCGTAGATGGTCCATCCTCCGTTGAAGATTGTCGGTGAGACGAAGAATCATCTTCAGATGAAATTTGCCTGTTACAAGCATGTTCGCTCTCTGCAATACCCCGCAAAGACGGTTTCAACAATCCGGAAATCTCGTTTAACGGAAACTCGTATATGTTGGTTTGATGTGATGTTTGATTTTGAATGCGCATTATCCAAGAGGTATCGCCTATTACATAATAATAAATATAATAATTTGACCAAACAAATTAATTATATAAAAATACCGGTTGGTCTTCTAATGTGAATTTCGGCCCATCCTTGGCACCAGCAAACGCATCGGTGTTTGTCCAATTTACTGCTGCAACCGTCGGTGGCTAACTGTTGCAACTTACCAGGCAATTGCTCGAGCCTATCATTGAACCTTTTGCTTTCTTCGATTGGAGAACTTGCGGTAGTATTGTTGTTTGAACCAGAGTTTTGTCGGGTCACGCGCGTTGAATTAGATTCATCTTTGTCGTGACTGCCACTGCGACTTTGTAAAGTTGTTTTTAAAATTCCTGCCATTTTCTCAGGACTCTTCTGCTCTTCTACTTTACAAATAGCCAAGCACTTATCACACAGTCCATTTTTCAAAACTTTCTGCGAACACCCGCTTGTGGTAACGGTGATTATGCGATTACCCAATAGCCAACTCATCGATTGGCCACCAGACAATAGAAACTCGGCTACTGGTAATCTGTAGCAGAAGCAATACGTTATATTTTGTTATTGAATGGGTTATGAAACAAGTACCTTCGCGGCAGAGCACTGCACGGCAAAAACGTATATCTTGAGAGTAATTCAATACAGGTGTCCGTCAGTTCAGTGTAAAAAGGTACCAATGTTTTATCTAAAAGCACTGGACGAAATTCAAGATTCGTTTTGCTATCCATTCTTCCGACAACAGTCGAGGCCCGTTCTCGGTGACTTGACCGTTGCTCGGTCAAACTGGAACTACGTTTGCGATCAGAACTGTCTTCATTCTGCTTGACCAACTCGTTATTTTGCAGCGACTACAATTAAAATCACTTTGTTATAATATATTCGACGCAATTATTAATTTTGTTGATATTACATTACAAATGTATCTAGCAAATTCTTTTCTATATGGCAATGGACACTTCAGAAACCAGACGGCTATAATGCGATGAGCCAAAGACACAATGTAGTGGTTGTACTTGAAGGGATTTGTGTAAGCTAATAGAGTAGCAAATATTGTCATGTACTGCTCCGGTGCGAAATTCGCGTAAACGTTTGGCAATATGCTTAAAGCTACAAATGGACAATGTATTAACAACCAGACTTATATGAAATGATTGAGCAACTTACTAGAGAGGAACTCTAATACTGGCACAGCGATATGCACTGTGGCGGAAGATTGCGAGAGAGTTAGAAGTACTTTATTCGCAACTTTGACCATACAATCTTGCATTTCCAAAATACAAGTGGTCAGTGCGAAAATACAGGGCCCCGGTCCTAACTTCAAAGCGCAGAACTGGTAGATTATACTACTCTGATGATGTGCATCCAAATTAGAATGGTAGTTCACAAGACCATGCAAAATAGTCAAGACTAAATAGTAGAAATCTGAACGGCTCTTTGTATTTTGCGACTCCGGAGTTGATTTGTAGTTGTTAATCTAAAAATAACAATCAATTAAAATTAATTAATTTTTCTTCTTTTTCTTTTTTCATTTACAATTAATATAATATTTTTCACTAAAAGCCCAATATCGGTGTTTCCATGTTTCGTGAGAACAAATGTTTTATTTTGTAGGACTTTGGGTATCTGCTTCAAAACCGCTGTCAATACTTCCCAATCTTGTTCCTGTTTCAGACATTGTATAAGTGCTTTGAAGCCGCCCCTCACTGAAACATTTGTTACGACGCATTGAAGCTGCGGTTGTTGTGGTGACGGTGATGGCGGTGGTGGCGGAGATCCAAAAGAACCTTTATCCGAACTTCGATAAGTCACGCATATATAAGAACTATATTTGACAAAACCGTTCGTATCGGGATAACCAATGCGATACAAATGATCAGCTCGCATGTTCATGAAGCAATTGAAAATCTATGATAAACTTTGTCAACTCGGTTACTCCTCGAACATAACTAAATACTTACGGCAATCCTAACATTTTTACAGCATTCGAAGATTTTAGGCCTACTGTAATGCATTTCTAGGTGACCTACTAATATGTTATAAACAGTAACTGCATGTAATGAAGGCAACTTATGAATTTTAACAGCTAATATTTTAACAAGTCCCGCAACGACTCTTTCTACATCGACGGTGTCAGCTTGGCTCGCTGCATGATTAGTATATATCGAATACGGACGATTCAGAAGCTACAAACAAATTGAAAACATTGTATTTTTTTTAATGCAAATGTATGATTTACCTTTTCGAGGACATCAAGTAGTTCAAAGCAGCGTTTACTTTCACATGTTAAACACAGATCAATTAAAATGCCAGCTCCTGCTGACCGAATCTTCTCATCCTTAACCATTTGCAAATTATTTAAATGTGGTAATATGATGCGATCGATCAATTCTTCCTCGTATAACATCCTAAAAAGGTTTCAATTGTTATCGAGAAGTACAAACAAATGATATATGCATACTTATTTAACTGAACAATATATGATACAACTTCCAACACTTTCAAGCGTATCGTCGTTCTGCGTTCGTTCTCATACTTATAATAATTATTCATGAGAGTATTTAATTTGATTATCCACATTGGTTTGTTAGGAGTGATTTCTTGAGCCAAGTAACTGATTAAACCTATGACGGACGTATCTGGCCTAATAGCCGAACAATCTTGGATCAAGTTATAAAACTGGTTGATGTTCCCATTGAAACTGCTGCACTTAATTAAATTCTCAATGCTATTCAACAATTTATGCAAACGTTCTTCCAATTCTTCGTTGTCATTTTTGGAGGAGGTTTTCATGTCTTGCATGCGTTTAACGATTACGCTCAGTATTTTGATAATGAGATCCCATGAAGAGTCTTGTAATTCCATAGAGTACTTGAATACCAGCTTCTCCATGCTTATTAATACTTCATATATTACTATAGGGTAATTGCTATCTACGACCTAGCAATAAAAAACATATAGATATATGATGACTAATGTGATCAGATAGTAGTAATACCTGGAGTATTGATGGAAGGATGGATGTTGGTGGACATCTCAAGTTTGGCAAAGGCTGATCCCATAAACCCATGTAGATAAAAATTAATGCGCCACGTAATAGGCTGGGGTCATCTTTGAATAAATGTTCTTGAAGTATTCTGCACATTGTAAAGATAGCTGAATGCCCCATATGGGTACCTAGAAGATTCTTCATAATCTTCCAGCATATTTGACAATATGATTCAATAGTAACCATTCTACATAGTACACCAACAAAGTTTGATAATGAGTCTGATGGAAGATTCCTATAGTAAGCAACAATAGAATCAAAGATATCTATGCAAGGCAAAATGATTTGCTTATAGTCTATGCTGTTAGAGCACAATAAACAAATGTGACTAAAAAATAATGAATTAGCAAGAAACAATAAACAATCTGCAGAACTACTTACTTCACAAATCCAACAATTACATCTTCACTTATTCTAGCTGAATGAAATTTGATCAAGTTGGTTAAAAGTAATAGAAACTCATTTGTTTTTCCTGCTTTAATGACATCTGGAAACCATTCCAATAGGAATGGTGCCATCTAAAAAGAATCCAATTAGATAAATTGATTCAGCCATTTTCATAATTCTACCTTCTCCTCAAAATGCTCAATGTCTTTGCCATTTTCAGTAAGGGTAATCAGAAGATCAAATCTAATTCCAACATCATGCTTGTATTCTGATATTACTTTGAATATCTGTGCTCGAAGCATATGCAGTTTCCTGCCTTGTCCATAAATAAGGCTTTGGAGGCACTGGAAACCTAAATGGCTAAGATCAGTAGGATCTTTCAGTAATTCTTCTATGTATCCCCAAACTTTTGGAATGCATGTCTACAATACACACATTTAATAATTTATAATAGTAGTAATATTGACTACTTACCTCACTAAATCTGTAACTTGTAAGCTGCTGATTCAATTCTTTGATGGCTTTAGTTCTAACTTGTAGTGGAGAATCTTTAGATAGATCTCTTTGGATTTCCTCACTCAACACATAATCATCACCAGATCTAATTGTACCAGCTAAATATTTGAACAAAAGAATGATCAAATTTCGTTTCAAAAATGTAAAAAAAAACGATACTTACAGTAATTTCCTTTGTTCATACGAAATAAATTCTTTAATTGACCATACAACTTCTCTTTAGAAGCCATTTCACTTCTGTTACAAATCGTACTTTTCGCGTATTTTATAACATATCAAAGCAATTAAAAGTAGAAATTATTTGGTATCAAGACACAGCTGATACGGCTGTTCATTTTGACGGAACACTAATTGCTGTATGGGTTAGGTTGCCTACAAAAATGTAGTAGACCACCCACATAGCACATTCACAGTATATTGGTATATTCAACTTGTTTACGCCATGATCAATCATATTCTAAATATTAAACGACGATACAATATAAACTGGTTAAATGGTACATTGGAAATCCAGCAAAATGGAAATGTAAACAAGGATAATTGGTTTTTAAATATGTATAGCAAAAACAGAATAAAATAATAATGTAAGAAAAAAATATTTATTTTAAAACAAAAGTAGTAAAGAGTGTAAACTAATTATTCTTGAGATATGAAAGGATTCTGTATGGACTCCATACCATCAACTGGACAAATTAGGACAACACTTGTGCCTCTGCAAACAACTAAACCTAAAGGTCTGGTGTCTTCTACTAATTTGTATGGGTCATCAGGGTCTCTCAAGTACTCAGTAGTGTTGTCCAATACTAGATTCAGAAGTGGATCATAGCCTTTCAAGATTCCAGCAGCTTCCCTTCCTCCAGCAAATTTAACACGGATGTTTTTCTCCAAATACTTGGATAAGTCTAAAATCGATTCCTTGCGTTTCTTCTCTTTGTTATCAGACTGGGAATTCTACAATTGTTACAAGAATTAAATTAATATGTGCTTGTAAAAACAAATTAATATAAACCGAAAAAAAATATATTTCAATTCACCTTGGACTTATCACCAGACGAAGCCATCTCCAACGATTACAATATAACTAAATAGAATATAAACACAAATACTATTCAAATTTTTAGGTTAATTCTAACGTAGCGGCGGATATTGTGAACTATTGTCTTCTTCTTCTAGCCTAACTTGTCTGCAAAAGTAAATGTATGCAACTTAATTTGCACCTAAAGGTACAAATAGAGAATCCTATGTAGAGATTCCATATTAAATTATTTTATTCGACTATCTATTTGTACGTTTAGGTGCAAATTAAGATGTTAAAGTCATTTTGTAGTTTTGGAAATAAATTAATATTTTTATTTTAAACCAAATATAAATGCGAATGAAAGTAATAATCTCTTTTTTGTTAAGTGTAAATTATAAATGTAATTATTGTAAATTATGTAATTTGTATACTTATAAATTCGTCATATTTAACAATTTGTAGTATTTATATAAGTTTACTTATGTTTTAGTTGTTATATTTACTTTAATTGCTATTAAATTCAAATGTTCCGCGCTTTTATTTTGACAGATAAATGTATTAAAATCGCAATTTATGTATAATGTTAACATTTGAAAATCGTTTATTTACTAAATATAATATAAAGAGTGCCGTTTTTGATTGCTATTAAGTAGAATTTGTTTAAACACAATTTACAACGTTTTGTAATTCCCGCTTTGTAGAGTGTACGCATGCGTTCAAGTGGTTGTGCGTCTGTCAAAACAGTGTTTCCCGTGTATATTAATATTATATCGCGCATGCACATAGAAAGTCTTTTGGGACAAGGTTTCCATCTTGATCACATGTGAGTACAAACCTAAAGCATTTTCGTTGTAATTAACGCAGTACATTTTTTGCAATATTTACTTAAAGACGTGTTTAGCGACGTGTTAATTGTGTAAGTAGTTGGAGAAGTTTTGTCATTTCGTATTTTCGCGAGAACACCCTTTGCTTCGATGCGTGCCTAACATATATATATATACATGTTCATAGGAGGCAACATGAAGCATTTTGTGCTTCGATAGTGATTTCTTCTACATCATCCGAATTCCCATGGCAGAAACTTGAGAATTGATGGAAATCGGCATTTGTTTATCTCATATTCACATTGTTATCTTACAAAGTCAGGTTATTTTCGTTCTTCTTTTTTCTCTCGCCGATGTGTGGGTTAACGGTTCAATGGACATGTTGCCGCGTGGACAAATGTTTAGCAAATTTTTCGATGCTGCACCGAAAACAGCAAATTATCTAACAAAAACCTAAAATCGCGAACGATTCAAACCAAAATGTAACCTAACATAAGGTCAACACCCATAACCTAGGGTCACAGACATCACTTGTTTTTTTTTTAACCTATGCAAAATTTATGACACTGTAATGCACTTGGTTATCTGTGATCAACTGATAAATATTGTATTAGCAATCATACTTGAAATTGTTGCAGCTGTTAATTGGTTTTATTAATTTTTATTTTGGTTCCTTTGTTTTAATGTTACATTCATGACCTTTCCTCCAGTGACAAATCTACTTTAGCATATTGCATGTGTGATGTATCTGTTTGCTTTTAAACAAGTTCTACTTTATTGATTAAAAATATTTTTATTTGATTTCAGCTTGCAAGACTTTGAGCAAAAACATTGCTACAAGTTTTTTTTTGGTTTTATTTTGACGAAAAGTAAATAAAACAAATAAAATGGCTGATATGGAGGATACCCACTTCGAGACTGGAGACTCTGGCGCTTCTGCCACCTTCCCCATGCAATGTTCCGCTCTGCGTAAAAACGGATTCGTCATGCTCAAAGCTAGGCCATGCAAGATTGTGGAAATGTCCACCTCCAAAACTGGCAAGCACGGTCACGCCAAGGTCCATTTAGTCGGTATCGACATCTTCTCTGGTAAATACTAAATCCCAATTAATTATACTGTCAAGCAATGCTTAAATGTTTGTTTATATTGTATAGGCAAGAAATATGAAGATATCTGCCCATCCACCCACAACATGGATGTCCCACATGTAAAGCGTGAGGATTATCAATTAACTGATATCTCAGATGACGGTTACCTTGGTTTGATGGCTGACAACGGTGATTTGCGTGAGGATCTTAAAATCCCAGACGGCGATGTTGGTGCCCAATTGCGCACTGATTACAATGCCGGCAAAGACATTTTGTGCACCGTACTCAAGTCCTGTGGTGAAGAGGTAAGTGATAACTCTTTAACTTACGCGCTTTCATATAAATATTAAACGTCTCTTTGTTCTTCGCTCTTTTCAGGTAGTAATTGCAGTCAAGACAAACACTGCCTTGGACAAATAATGTCTGGTGGGGGTACCCTTGTCACTGGATGGGTGTGCGAGGGCTCGATGATAATAATAACATCTTTTGGACCCAACTATTAAACTACAGCTTACAAAAAAAAACATAATATAACATTATAAATAAATACAAACCCATTTTACAACTGCGACACTACGTATGCATATACATTTAAATATATATATAAATATATTTAGGAACAACAATATTTACGAAACAAAATATATGCGTACTTGTGTTTTGTCCTTAATTTTTATTTTATTTAAACAGATTTTGTTGTTGTTTGCCTACCCACCCTCATTATTTTTTTTTTAAGGAAATCATTTTGATTTTGTCCCCTTATTGAATAAACAAATTCTTATTAATTTAATATTTTTTTCTTTGATATTATTTTTTTACAATTGATATTTGTAAATAAATAAATGGGATTTATTTTTTCATATAAACAATTCGATTTCTGCTTGCAATAATGATGAGAGAAGGTAACGATGATTCTAATGGTGAAATAAAGTTAACAATATTAATTGGTGATTTACACGTTATAGTTAATATTCTTAATTAGAAGCCCATTTAGTTATCTCTTCTGTTGTTGGATGCTAAGCGACTCAATATCAAATGATTAGTTAAGGTGCGTTGTATGTGAATACATCGTCTCTGTTTTAAAGTACTTCAAACGAGTACAATCATTGCAAATCTAAAAGATAAACTTATCTATCACTGTACTGCTGAGAACTTTAATAAACTGTAACAATCCTATTTATAGAAATAGTACTATTTTATTATTTATTACTTATTTTATGTTAACATTAATAAATTTCTCCCTATAAATTCACAACTTTAATGAGAGTATTTTTCTCTGTCTATCTCATTTCTATCTAAAGTGCATTTTTATCGTTGCTTCAAATGACAAAGGGTATCACTAAATATGTAATATCAATGTTTTATCAAATTGTAGAATAGAGCCAGCAATTTACTTCAAATTATTTTTAGCAGATGTTTTTTAATATCCATTTTATAATTGTTCATGGTTCTTTATCACTGATAATTCAAAAAGTCTTATTGTTAAACACAATTATAAAATTAAATTAGACTATGTCTTATATAATAGCATAAGTGGATAGCATACATTAACTAATAATACTAGTTCGTATAAATGAATCTTATGGCTGTTTAATATGAAACTAATTTGTGGACAAAGTACAAAGTCTTTATTGAATCATATATAAGAACAAATTCTCAATAATCCTACAGACGACGAACATGTTTCAACATATAACAAGTTTACAGAGCTTTTGTTTGAATGTTATCGGAATGGGTCCGCTTCCAAATCACGTGGCCTTGATTATGGATGGAAATAGAAGGTATGGATATTCATTGGAATACATAATAATCAAATATATTCAATTCCTAGATACGCGAAGAAATTACAGAAGGATACAAAATATGGACATAAAATTGGATTCCACAATATACCGCATATTTTTCATATGTTCAATTCATTAGGTGTTAAACATATGACGGTATACATGTTCAGCATAGAGAATTTCAAAAGGTCTCCAGTTGAAATTGAAAATATATTCTGCGTGACTGAGGAAGTATTACAACTGTTTTTGGACAACGTCGTTGAGCTGAATCGAATTGGCGCTTGCATCCGTTTCATAGGTCATTCTTAATAAATAACTGATACATTTATAATTAAACTCACTTTTCAGGAAATGCCAAGTTGATACCAAAAAATCTCCGACGAATCTTCTGTAAATTATACTTGAAGACCAAAGATGCTGCAACAAGTTACCTGAACATCGCATTCTGTTACACATCTCGCGAGGAAATCACACATTCTATTAATTCCATATCGATTGGGTATCGAAGAAATTTAATTCAAGATGAGGATATTGATGAAAATCTTTTAACTTCTTGCTGTTATCTTGAAAATCCTAAAGTGGATTTGTTAATTCGTACATCCGGTGAGGTGAGACTGAGCGATTATTTGTTATGGCAAACGTACGACGCGCAAATTATGTTCTTGGGTTGTACCTGGCCGGAGTTTGGTTTCTGGCAGATTTTATATTGCATGCTGAAGTATCAGAGGAATGTCAGTTGTTCAGAAGCGATTGCGAAGAAGCAATCGAAATTGCAAATGTGAAATGGCAATTTGTTGAAGAGCATAAAGATCAAATGTTTATATCCATTGTAAACTATGCTTATGAAACATAAAAATTTTGAAAAAAAAAATATATATATTTTAGATAAAAATGATATGTTTAAAATTTTACCAAATAAAACTTTTGAGAATTGATCCAGAATGGTTAAATCTAAAATATTATTTTATATGTATATAGATTAGCAACAGGCAAACAAAAGAGATTTCCAACTCTGAGAAATCTTTTATGTATATAGATTTGAATACAAAATACTTAAATATGAATTGAATAATTTTTTTCTTTAACAAAATATATTTTGTAACGTTTAGTTAGTGAATAAGTAAATTCTTTAATGTAAGTAAAATTTCAAATAATTTTCAGGGACGAGGACAGAAATATGTAAACATCTGATGCACATTTTGTAATATTCATATATTATCGAATTCGAGAAAGTATCTCAAGCAATTAATCGAAGGGGATATGTAGACAACATATGTAGTTTTTGGTGACTATATTATCAGATTTACAAACATTAAGTAACAATATACCAAGAGAAACATCAGAAAACGACTGATATTATGAACTATATCATTACATGACTTATTTAATTGTTACCAAAGATACTTCTGGAACTGAATAGTACTGATTTCAATATTTTATTTTCTTAACTTCAAGATTTGTTTACATCCCACTCCTTTCATTTACGGTCTATCAATATGCGCTCGGGTGTACTTTGTATATTTGTATCGTGAGCTTCCATATTTGTTTATCTGCACATACAACGTACATGTTTCCACAATTATAAACTTAAATAAATTAGAAGTAAGTCGAGATAGAAACTTTTATATATTGTATATTTTTATATCAAATTGGCGTCTGTCCTTTCGTTTGATAATTTTACGATAATTGTTAAAGAATTATAACTTGTTTATTCTATAATAGATGTTTCCAGACATTGTTCCTTTTTTATTGTAATTTCTTTATTCTGAAAATTTCAGATTTACTAAAGGAATATTAGCTTAAGTGATTTAAGCAAATATCTATAAATTTTATCAAATATAATAATTAATTAAACCGAGACTTAAGGACCAAATCCACTTATCCAATCTACATATCCCCTTGCATAACAATGGATCTTAAAATTATACCTTTGATGCAGAAGTTGTGCTTGGATGTTATTAAGATAGGACGCATTCCGAATCATATGGCTCTAATTCTAGATGGAAACAGGAGGTTAAGAATTGCTTAATTAATTAGTAATATTGATTACATTTCTGTTAAAACAGGTTTGCTGCACGGTTTAATGAAGGATCTTTATTTGGAAATACCATCGGCTTCGATAGATTGTTCGAAGTTATTAAAATAACACGATACCTCGGCGTTCGATACTGCACAATTTACATATTCAGCATCGAAAATTTTAAACGATCCAAGGATGAAGTTCAGAGTCTCTTTGATCTAATCGAAGAGAAAATTATCTATTTTCTAGAAAACATCAATAAGTTAAAGAAGATGGGTGCTTGTTTCAGATTCTTCGGTGCATTATTAAAAATCATGATCATTTTCAATAACAATAAATATTTTTTTTAGGGAATCATTCTTTGGTTCCGAAGAAATTGTATAGCATGATGAGCAAGTTGTACTTGGAGACTAGAATGGGAACAGATTATTACCTCAACATCGCATTTGCATACACTTCTAGAGATGAAATCGCATATTCTATTAACACGATTGCCAATGGCTTGAAAACCAAAGATTTAACTGAATTAGACGTTGATGAATCTCTTCTGAATGCTTGTACTTATTTAGGTGACTTGCCGAAAGTTGATTTGCTGATACGGACTTCAGGTGTGACACATTTCAGCGATTTCCTTCTGCTGCAAATCTCGAATGCTCGCATTATGTTCATAGATTGTACATGGCCAGAGTTCACTTTCTTCAAATGTTTATATTGTATAATCAAGTTTCAAAGAAGTGAGCACTTAGTTGAAGAATCTAATAAAAAACAATGGTCTAAAGCTTGTATGGAATTTCAAGAGAAATGTAAAACTGAATTTTTTCATAGAATTATTCATAGTTTAAAATAAAGAAAAACACGTTTTGTTATATTGTTATATAAGAACATTATTATGTACATTGCACATTGTAACCGATATAACTATGTAATAAAATACAATTGATGATAAAATGTATTTAGTAATTAATATGCACATTTTGTAGATACATTTAATTACAAAATAAGTCATGGTTATTTGCAAAATAATGTTATTCATATATATATGAAATTCTTCTTTTCTTCAGAATTTTTGTAAGATCACAAAGTAGATTAGAATGCAGTTAGATTAAGAAAAAAAATATGTTAATGAAGTCTTCGTGCAACAACTAAATTACTTTAACAACTGTAACGTCGTTAATTCAAATTTATAAACTCTAGACCATTTTCTTCACATACATGTATAATTTAAAAAACACTTAAAATAATTTAATGTAATTAAAAACTTCAATTAATGCAAAATAACAATAAAAATGTACGAAAGACATAATTAATAAGAAAATGATTATTTTGAATGCACTTATTCAGTTATTAATATTAATTGTATAGCGTGAATTAAATGACAAGTATTTAGAAGCTAAGACGTTCTAAGAATTGTTTATCTTTTTATGTAATTAAATGTTTTTCTATTGAAGAAAATTGGTTTAATGTACAAAGAAATTATTAAGAAACATTACGATACAAGAATATTAATAAGTTTAAGTATATAAGGAAGTGAGATGTAGACCATTTAGTTGCGCAATAATGATCTTTACAGAACCATCGTGGCTACAGAAGTTTTACATGAATGTTTTAAATAATGGTCGCATTCCTAATCACTTAGCTATAATTCTCGATGGAAACAGAAGGTAAAAGAAATATAATTATTAAATACTGGATGATCATTTGCATTTCTGCATTTATATTTGTAGATATGCGGCACGCATGAACAAAGAAACACAGTTTGGTCATCGTGTAGGTTTTGAAAAAATAACCGAAATTTTTAACTTTACCCGTCACCTAGCTATTCGATACTGTACAATATACATCTTCAGCATAGAAAATTTTAAGCGATCACCAGATGAAGTTAAGATTTTAATGGAGCTAGCCGAAGAGAAATTTGATGAATTCCTGAAGAATATCCATGAATTTAGGAATCTAGGAATTTGCGTTAAATTCTTCGGTAGTGAATTTACGAAATGTTTTATATTTTTAATAATATTTGTTTATTCTTATAGGAAATCCATCCATGGTACCAAAAAAATTGTACAGTAAAATGTGCAAAATACAAGTGGAGACTAGAATGGAAACAAAGTATTTCCTAAATTTCGCATTTGCTTACACGTCGAGAGATGAAATCACTCACTCGATTAGCACGATTTGTAAGGGTTTGAAATCGAAAGTAATAACTGAATCAGACATTGATGAAAGTTTACTGAATGATTGTACGTATTTGGGTGATTTGCCGAAAGTGGATTTGTTATTAAGGACGTCGGGTGTTGTCCGTTTGAGTGATTTCCTTTTACTGCAAATTGCAGATGCTCAAATTATTTTCATGGATTGCACATGGCCAGAGTTCAATGTCTTGAAATGTGTATATTGTCTAATTAAGTATCAAAGATGTCAGCATCTAGTTGAAAAGTCTAAACAACATCAATCGACTAAAGCCAGTATGGAATTTCGAAAGAAATGCAAAGATGATATTTGGAAAAACATTAAACATTCAGCAAACGAAATTATCGATTAACTATTTCCTATAATAATTGTATTTTTTCTAATGGACGTTGCAGTATTTCAATTATTTGATATATTCTTCATTTTGTAATTAAATGTAAAGTAATTATAATAATATTTGTTGCAACAGTAAAAAATATACATTATCATTCACAATAATGTTAGTAATAATAAAACAAAAGATTGAAACAAAGGTCTTTCTGCCAGCTACTAATGTTTATTGGGCCTAATTGTATGTATTTATTTATAAAAATAATCATTTAGTTATAAAATCATACACTGTTCTGCTATATAACATTGTATGACTAGGTCCGAGGATAACATCAAAACGAACACGATCTAGAAAATTATCGGTATCCTTCGGGAATCCTTGGAGGTACCATCTGTATTCGACCCCCGCACTGCGCTTCAGAGTTCGACTCTATAATTTCTTCAATAGATCTGCTCCAATCTAGGAGCAATAACTACGACTTTAATACCGCCGAATCAGACACAACTTTCTGACTTAAAAGTCTAAGTTAATGTTGTTTGACTGTATGATGTAATTTATTTATTTGTTGAATTTTTATATATTTGTCTATTCTTATTGGTTTATTTGATAGTTTGTCTATTGTACTTGTTGATACTTGTACCTTATAACAGCTCCTATATGTTTTTTGAATTATATATATATATGTGTATTTAATATGACATTGACTGGCTAAATACACTCCATTGTGCGAGCTAAGTTACACTTCCACTCTTGTTCAGAGTTGAAGAAAAAGAACAAACAGAAATAATTTCAAGAAAAATTCATAACATGTGTTACAATAAACTTCCATATGTTAATTCAAATAATTTGATTTAATTAAATACTCAAGAGTAATGCAAAATAACAATGCAATGCACATATTCAGCTATTAAAATGCACTCACTTACCTTCTGGAAAGTTATTAATAAAATTAATTGCATAACGTGAACTGAATGACAAGCAATTAGAACAATTCCACAATAATGTTCTACGAATTATTATTCATCTTATATAAATAAATGTCTTCATATTAAAAAAAAACTAAATGGGTTTAATGTACAATGTACATGTTTATATTGCGTTATAAATAATACTACTAAGTGACTTGGTTTTTAGTATAAAAACGAGACAAGAGATGCAGACTATTTAGTTGCGCAATAATGATCATTACAGAACCATCGTGGCTGCAGAAGTTCTGTATAAAAGTTTTAAATAATGGACGCATTCCTAATCACTTAGCTATAATTCTCGATGGAAACAGAAGGTACAAGAAATATAATTATTAAATACTGGATGAGATCATTTGCATTTCTGCCTTTTTTTTTTTGTAGATATGCGACACGCATGAACAAAGAAACACAGTTTGGTCATCGTGCAGGTTTCGATAGAATAACCGAAATTTTTAACTTTACCCGTTACACAGCTGTTCGATACTGTACAATATACATTTTCAGCATAGAAAATTTTAAGCGATCACCAGATGAAGTTAAGATTTTAATGGAGCTAGCCGAAGAGAAATTTGATGAATTCCTGATGAATATCGATGAATTTAGGAATCTAGGAATTTGCGTTAAATTCTTCGGTAGTGAATTTACGAAATGTTTAATATTTTTAATAATATTTCTTTATTCTTATAGGAAATCCATCCATGGTACCAAAAAATTTGTACAGTACAATGTGCAAGATACAAATGGAAACTAAAATGGAAACAAAGTATTTTCTAAATTTCGCATTTGCTTACACGTCGAGAGATGAAATCACTCACTCGATTAGCACGATTTGTAAGGGTTTGAAATCGGAAGTAATAACTGAATCAGACGTTGATGAAAGTTTACTGAATGATTGTACGTATTTGGGTGATTTGCCGAAAGTGGATTTGTTATTAAGGACGTCGGGTGTTGTCCGTTTGAGTGATTTCCTTTTACTGCAAATTGCGGATGCTCAAATTATTTTCATGGATTGCACATGGCCAGAGTTCAGTTTCTTGAAATGTTTATATTGTCTAATCCAATATCAAAGATGTCAGCATCTAGTTGAAAAGTCTAATCATCATCAATCGACTAAAGCCAGTATGGAATTTCGAAAGAAATGCAACGATGATATTTGGAAAAACATTAAACATTCATCAAAGGCAATAATCGATTAACTATTTCATATTGTAAATTACTTTTATAGATTTTCGAGGAAATACAAGGTTTTTAAAAAATATGATAAAAATAATAATTTGTTCAATCTGTATAGCAATTACGAATAAATTATTAAATGAAAGAAAAAACGTTGACATTGAGATCCCAAGAATAATAAAAACTTGAATTGATTTTTACTATATAAACGAGACTAAGTTCGTAGTCCACTTAGTTTTGTAATAATGGTTAATAAAGATCTACCATTGGTGCCGATCTTCAAAATTGGACGCATTCCTAAGCACATAGCTCTATGGAAACAGAAGCTGTTGTTGGTTGATAAAACAATAGATCAAATTATTTGCAGATGTGTTATTATAGATATGCGGCACGCATGAAGAAAGACACAGTTCGGACATCAAGTCGTGTTTGAAAGAATCCTAGAAATTCTCAATATAATCGATGTTCGACGCTAGACAATATATATATATATTCAGTATAGAAAATTTCAATTTTCTAGTCAGTAAGGAATTTGTAAAAAAAACACAATGATGACATTTTGGAAAGAATTGAAAATTCTGCAAAGGAAAAATTCTAAACAACCTGCAATTAAGTTGTAATATGTAGGAAATGTAATGGTTAACTTTTAGTTTAAAGTGAATGCTAATTATATTTTTTTTTTATAAATATCTTTTTTATAAATATTTTATTGAATTTATTAATCAGAGATACTGATATTATTTTAATATTACATAAGATACTTATTGTATGAGATACGAGGATTTGACTAAAATAAATTCTTATTTTCTATTATCAAGTTACTAACAATATACTTATGTGAGAGACGTGAACAACAAAAACTAATAAAAGCGAGTATGCAAATTTGCAGAGGATACTAATATCAACAGTAAAAATACACGAAACATTATGCAACAACAGTGTTTATTTAACAACATTTTTTTCCGCTTACTTTTATAAATTTCAAGTCCAGATTGAAATCATAAATTGTAATAAATTAATATTGTCTATGTAACATAATTAGAGATAGAGGAATTATTTATACATAAGTTTAAATGAAGGTAATCATGAATAAATTATGGTAAACATTGAGTGTGTCTCAACTGGCGTAAATTTCCAATTGTTTCAGTCTTCTTTCTTCCAGCCCTGCCATTGTTTTACCCCCTTTCGGTTCCTTCTCTAAGCTTTCCCCAACAAGTTGCATGTTCTTGTAGCATCTTTGGTACTGGAAAATGCAGGCAAAGAAATGCCAAACACTGAAGTCTGGCCACAGGACATCAGTGAAAATAACATTGGTGTTCCAAATTTGCCACAATAAAAAGTCACTGAACCTAACTTCTCCTGATGACCTGATCAGGATGTCTGGCCTCTCACTCTCGCTACTGTACATGCAACTTGAAATTAAATCTGAGTCTATTTCTTCTGCATCTAAATCACTAGTTGCTATAGTCTGCATGGAATTTGTTATTTCGTCTCTTGATGTATATGCAAATGCCACATTCAGGAATGATTTGTTGTTATTTTTAGTCATTAACACAGCTTGAGCAATGGACTTCCTTAAATCCTTTGGAATTAGATTTAAATTACCTAAAGAACATGAATGTTACAAATGAATTAAATGGAGATTTTTTTGTTATACTTGCCTATAACTCTGATGCATACACCATTCTCATGCAACTTATCCTTTTCCTCAAGTATCTTTGCATATTTTTCTTTGGCCAGTTGCATGAGTGTCTCCACCTCCTCTTCGCTTCTTTTAAAATTTTCAATGCTGAAGGCATACACTGTGACTTCTCTTACACCCATTTCGCGACACCATAGCAGGGTTTCTGCTAATTTATCAAAACCTCTTGTGTGACCAACAGCTTTGTTCACATTCTGCTTGCTTGCATACCTTCGATTGCCATCCATTATGAAAGCTATATGTCTTGGTATAGGTCCACATTTTAGTATGTTTATGAATAACTTATGATACCAAGCTAAGGAGTTTTCGACGACCCAAGACATTGTTTTCAAATAACAGAATAATATCAGGTGATTTCATCAGACTTTTATAACCTCAAATCTTGACGTGTCTACTTAGTATCACAAAACGCTAACTTCAATTTGCTTGAAATAATTTGAATCATTTTGAACTTTGAAATGATTGCTGATACTTACAAAAATGATATAAAATACACTATTACAGACTGGCAATAGATATAAAACATCAAATTAGATTATATATTAATACAAAAGTAAAATAGTACACTAATAATCAATTTAAAACTATTTTATAGTAATAATTAATATATAAATGTGAATACTTTTATGATGAAAATTAAATTACTTAATTAATGAAACAAATGATATAATAACCATTATACACTAGAAATTATTATTCTTGATAATCATTTACTTATGAAATATATAAATAATAAATGATGGACACTTAAATGTTCGTTTCGACAAATAAATTAATAATTACAAGAATAATTTTGTAAACTTTAATATCTTCCTTTTTTATTCAACTTAATGAAAATAATGTAAATATTCAATATTAGACTCATCTTAATGTTTATTTACATAAATTAACTTAATAAATGTATTATCTTTATTATTTCCCAAAGAATTTTAAAATAAAATTTCGATTATTCCGATGGATGCCGAAGTCCAATTTAGAATATGTATTGATTTTCTTGGTAACTAAGCAATAATAATATTTGTTTGTTGATGCCTGACATTGACAAAGACTGGTGTTAGTTTTCATCATTTTACTCTATTTTATTCATTGCAAACATTTTGAAATAAAATGGGAGCAAAACTTCCAGAGTGTGATAAATATGGAAGAAAAGTACCACCTATCTTACCGTGGATGCCCAAGGTTGCTCCATACGGCGAAGAACCACCTTCGTTTTTCGTGAAACGCGCTTACGATAGTGTTGAATTTCCTCCGCTGTTCACAAAAACGTCCATACAAAAGGGCGTTCCGCAGAAGGACATATACGAATATTTTAAACCGAGTGAAACTATCGGCGCTGCGTACACTCCTTCAGCTATGCCCTTGCGAATACAATGCATGCCACCGAGACGGAGAAAAATTAAATTGTCTGTGTTGGACGAGAATGGCGATCTTCAACATCCTCCGAAGAAGACCAAGCAGGAGGAAGAGGAGGAGCAAAAGAAACTGGAGAAGATACGAAAAAAGAAAGAGGCACAATTATGTGGTACAGTTACTCTCGGAGATCTCATGAGTGGTAAGTATTGGCGCGATAAGGAGGAAGCGAAAATGAAGAAGGAAATGAGAAAAGAAAAGAAGCGATTAGCTGAATTGGAAGCTCTGGAAAGGAAGAGGAGCAGCGGTAATGGAAATTTGGAATATCTTCAAGCAGAATTACCAGTGGATCCGGATGATCAAAAGAAAATGCTAATCGATACTGCCGAAGAAGACATGAACAAAGAAGTTTACGAAGTAGATTTGGAACGCATTAAATATTACCTTACAACTGGAATTTCAGAGGATGTAATTGAACCGTACAATTTTCAATATATTTTATACGCAAAAACTCTAATTCCCGAGAAATACAAACTTTTAAAGTTGTATAATGCTGTTATGGATAGTTATGTACCGGAATTGACTGAAATGTACGATTTATATATGAGAGAATGTTTATTAGAATACATTTTAAACGATCCTTACGAATGGAAACGTTTAAAAATCGATAGTTACCCATCAAAATATCCGACGATGTTAATAAGAGCTCCAGTGCCTTGGCATATACAGTATGTAGTTGGAAGGCAATCTTTGGAAAGGAGATTCTATTTAGGGAATCCTTTGATTCTGGCAATCAGAAAATTATGGCAGGACGAGTATCAATTTCTTTATATTCTACCAATGTCGAGAATAAACGAGGATGTTCAATTCCCGTTGGACACCGAAGTTTTCGAGGAGAAAGCTAGCCAATTATGTGCGGAGATTCGAACGAAAATTGAAGTAGAATGGATGAGAGCCTGTGCTGATCTTTGCTTACAAATGAAGAACGTATGGAAACCATACGCGCCTTTAACATCAGATGACAGCGTTCAACTTATAGAAGGATACTTTAGGTGCATCAACTCGTTGATGTCTTTGATGTTGCGGAGATTGGTTTGGAGGAGTTTGAAGCATTTCGTAGATTTCATTGTAAAATTCAAAGATGGAAACGATTTCGGCGATACATACGAAGACAAAATATTAAATAATCTTCCAGTTATAAAAATTGTAGCAAGGCCGGTTCTTGGTACAAACAAAATTAATTTATTCCCAAATCCATTAAAAGTCGGAAAGATATTCGTTAATTGCGTGATGAAGATTTTGAGTGTTAACAAAAACATACCGCGACTCGAAACAATACTGTTTCCAGAGTATAAAGACAAGAAAACGTATTTGCATTGTGTTAACGAAAAGGAGGAGGACGTGAAGAAGTTAATCGAGTTTGTCGAATTTTGCTTCGCTCCGAACGTTATAGGACCACTGAATTACTTGAAAATTTATGAGGACTATTATTACATTCAGAATGGTGAAGCCGAGAAAAGTTTATTGGATTTCATGGCACTAGATCCTATGCCCTATTTAAAAGTACGTTTTTATAAAGACTCTTTGATTCATTAATATTTTCTGTAATTATTTTCAGGATTTTGCCAAACGCATTGAAAGATACAACGAAATTAAAAAGGAAATAATATTTATAAGACGATCCGTCTCATTGAATTGTATCAGTCTGGAATGCGGCGAATTGAACGATAGCTTATACAAAATTATTGATGATTTACGTTTACATATCGTAAATTACTTTATCGATAAAAGCCACAACCATAATAGAATGTAATTACTTATTAATTATTTGGTACTTATTATAATTGTTTTTTTTATAGGATTTGTGATACGTTCGATCAAATGTCGAGGAATGTTAGCGAAACGCCTGAAACCGTACAAGAGCTAGTGACCTTACAGAATTACGTAATTGAGTGCAGAGATGTAACAATGTATAATATTCGTGAAAAGATTCGTCAAACTGCCGAAAATCTAAGCTTCCTGATGAATTTTGCTCATTTGACTAGTACGTGATTGGTTAAAGTTTATGTTAACATTGCACTTGATTAATTAATGTAATATTGTAGGTGAAGATATTCAGTTAAATGTTCGCGTATTTCTGTGGCCGAAAGATATGGAAAATGTGATTGAATTGGCTCTGCAGAGACTGAACATGAAGCGAGACCAGGCGGAGCTCGCACTTAAAGCTAAGAGGACTGCTTTCGAGAGTAAACTCAAGAAACATGAAAAGCAATTGGTTGCATTTAAGAAAAAAGATCCTCCTATTCTAACAATGGAAGAGATGGAGGAAAACACGGATATTGTGGAGAAGTTGGTACAGAGATTAATGGAGGATAAGGAAGAGGCGGAGCAAATTAATGCCGAGGAGCAGTTGCTCGATTATGATCCTTCTCCGTTTACCAATTTATATCAAATGTTGGCTACAGTTGATCCATACGACAAATTATGGCATACCATTTTAGCTTTTCACCAGCAATACGATATATGGTATTATGGGTCGTTTAAAGAATTGGATGCTGATGAGATTACAGAAGAAACTGAAAATATGTGGAGAACTTTGTATAAACTCGCAAAAACTCTGCACGACAATGCGGGCGCTCGAAGAATATCGGAGATGGTTCGAGCCAAAGTGGAAAAATTCAAACATGTTTTGCCCGTTTTGCAGACCGTCTGCAATAAAGGTCTTCAGGAAAGACATTGGTCTCAGATAAGTGAAATAATGGGAGTTCAACTGGTTATAACTGAAGAATCAACATTAAATGACATGATAGAAGCCGGAATGCCTAGATTTATTTCACAATTGGAAGAGATCAGTGGTGCGGCAACTAAAGAATACGCATTGGAAAGGAATCTGAGGAAGATGAAGGACGAATGGGAGGAAATTAGATTCGAATGTTTACCTTATCGAGAGACTGGCGTTCATATACTTTCAGCTTTGGACGATATCCAAGTGATGTTAGATGATCATATTTTAAAAGCGCAAACTATGCGCGGTTCGCCTTATGTAAAAGCATTCGAAGCTGATATGCAGTCATGGGAGGATAAGCTTATAGAAATGCAAGATATTTTGGAAGAGTGGTTGACATGTCAGGCAACTTGGATGTATCTGGAACCAATCTTCAGTTCTGAAGATATCATGAGGCAGATGCCCACCGAGGCTAGGAATTTCAGGCAAGTCGACAGAATTTGGCGTACTATTCAAAACAATACAATACTGGACACTCGAGTTCTCGTAGCTACTGAGTTTAGAAATATGCTGGGACAGCTAAAAGAGGCGAATGGTTTATTGGACGAGATCCAAAAGGGTCTAAATAATTATTTGGAAAAGAAACGCCTCTACTTCCCGAGATTTTTCTTCTTATCAAATGATGAGCTTCTAGAAATACTTTCCGAAACCAAAGATCCGTTACGTGTTCAACTTCACTTGAAGAAGTGCTTCGAGGGTGTTAATCTTTTGAAATTCATTGATAATAAGGAGGTGATCGGAATGATTAGCGCTGAAAAGGAATATGTGCCTTTTAGTGGACGAATTTATCCTCACGAAGCTAAAGGAATGGTAGAAAAATGGTTGCTGCAGGTAGAACATTTAATGATTTCTTCTATGAAAGATATCACTGCAGACTCGGTAAAAGCATATGCATCCACCGATAGATGTGATTGGATATTAAGTTGGCCTGGGCAAATTGTCCAATGCGTAGATTGCATTCAATGGACAACGGAAGTTACCAAAGCTATATTAGATAAAACACTAAAAGAGCAAGTTAATCTTTGCACGGTTCAAATCGAGCAGAGTGTGAAATTGGTGCAAGGTAAATTAGAGTTGGGACATCAAATCACTATGGAGGCATTAATAGTAATCGATGTGCATGCTCGAGATATTGTAATGAATTTGCGGGACGCCAAAATCGATTCAACAGCTGATTTCTTATGGATTTCCCAGATGCGTTACTACTGGTTTGATTATAATGTTGTAGTATCAATGATAACAACTGATGTTTCTTATGGATTTGAGTATTTGGGAAATTACGGACGATTAGTAGCGACTCCTTTGACTGACAGATGCTTCAGGACTTTGATGGGAGCGCTGAAATTGAACTTGGGTGGAGCCCCAGAAGGACCGGCTGGAACAGGAAAAACTGAATCCTGCAAAGATTTAGCCAAGGCGGTTGCTAAGAAGTGCGTTGTATTCAATTGCTCCGATGGATTGGATTACAAAGCTCTTGGAAAGTTCTTCAAGGGTTTGGCGCAGGCTGGATGCTGGGCGTGCTTCGATGAATTCAATCGTATTGAAGTAGAAGTGTTATCAGTCGTAGCACAACAAATTTTAAGTATTCAAATGGCCATTGCAGCTAAACTGGATAAGTTTGTTTTCGAAGGAACAGAAATATCTTTAGATCCGTCTTGCACTGTGTTTATAACTATGAATCCTGGTTACGCTGGACGCCAAGAACTGCCGGATAATTTGAAGGTACTCTTCAGAACAGTAGCAATGATGGTTCCAGATTATGCGATGATTGGCGAAATTTCTTTATACTCGTACGGGTTTATAATGGCTGCAAGTTTAGCGCAAAAAATTGTCCACACTTATAAACTATGCTCGGAGCAGCTTTCTTCCCAAAACCACTATGACTACGGCATGAGAGCCGTGAAATCAGTATTGTTGGCTGCCGGTGCTTTGAAACGATCCTATCCGCAATGTAACGAAGCTCAATTGGTGCTCAGAGCTATCGTCGATGTGAACCTACCTAAATTTCTTGCAGAAGATATACCTCTGTTTGAAGGCATTTACTCAGATCTGTTTCCAGAAATTGAATTACCAAAGTTCGATCGTGGAGAATTGATCGACTATTTGATGAAGGTGCTCGAACAAAAGAATCTACAACCAACTCCATTTTTCGTTGAAAAAGTTATGCAAATTTACGAGATGATTCTAGTTAGGCACGGATTAATGATAGTCGGAGATCCCATGGGTGGTAAAACTTGTGCGTATCAATCGCTTGGTGAGGCTCTGGGACAGCTGTCGCAAGATAAAACTGCAAAACTGCACGAAAACCGTGTAGTGTTCAGAATCATCAATCCCAAAGCTATAACAATGGGTCAGCTGTACGGCCAATTCGACCCAGTCTCTCACGAATGGTCTGACGGTGTTCTTGCTACTACATTCAGAGAGTTTGCAAACGCTCAAACGTCTGATCGTAAGTGGATACTTTTTGATGGACCTGTTGATGCAGTTTGGATAGAAAATATGAATACAGTATTGGATGATAACAAGAAGTTATGTCTGATGTCAGGTGAAATCATACAGATGTCGAATAAGATGAACATGGTCTTCGAACCTGCTGATCTTGAATTCGCTTCACCTGCGACAGTCTCCAGATGCGGTATGATCTATATCGAACCAAAGCAATTAGGTTGGACTCCTCTGCTTGATTCCTACAAAGTGAAATTGGAAAAGATTTTACTGGCAGAGCAAATGGAACTTATCTTGGAGTTGATAAACTGGCTCGTTCCTCCTTGCTTCTATGAAATCTTTCATCATTGCAAAATGTTCATCGAGACTTCAACCATTCACCTATTCCACGTAAGTAAATATAATTAAAAATTAGAACTTTTGACAATTTGAATTTTTAGACTTTCACGCGTTTATTGACTTGTATTTTGGTGGATGAAACACAAGTGAGCACAATATGGCTTCAATGTATGTGCTTATTTTGTTTGGCCTGGGGATTAGGTGCTACTCTCACTTCGGATGGTCGAAAACGCTTTGATGTTTTCTACCGGAAAATGCTTTACGGAGAAGATAAAAAGAACCCTAAACCGAAGACTTTCAAATTGACAAAAGCACAGCTATTTCCCGAAAGGTCCATAGTTTTTGATTGGATATTTGATAAGAAGAACAACGGAACTTGGATTTCATGGTTGGAAACGGCGGAGAAATTGCAACAAATTGCTTCGAGTGCTGATGTATGAATTCCATTTGATTTTGATTTCGAGACTTCATTATTGATTTTCAGCCCAACAAATTAATTATACAAACAAACGAATCTTGCTGCCAGCAATATTTTCTGAAAACTGCTTTGGCTAATAACATTCCAGTTCTATTCATTGGTCCGACTGGTACAGGAAAATCGGCGATTGTCGTTGATTATATATATGCTTTGCCTAAAGAGAAATTTATGGCAAATATTATAAACTTCAGCGCGAGAACAAGTTCAACAATGGTGATCAAATTAAGTTTTCTACCAAAAATATAAATGGTAAAATATATTTTTTTTGCAGACTCAAGAAATTATTATGTCGAAATTGGATAAACGCAGAAGAGGAGTATTTGGTCCATCCATGGGCAAAAAATGCGTACTTTTCGTCGACGATCTTGGAATGCCTCAGAGGGAACAATGGGGAGCACAACCTCCCGTGGAATTACTAAGACAATGGATCGATCATGGACATTGGTTCGATAAAGATACAAGCATGTTGCAGCTGATTGATGTTGTAAGTATTATTGATACTTTTAAATCTTCAGATGACTCTAAATTGGTCATATTAGATGTTCGTAAGCGCTATGGGACATCCTGAAGGAGGTCAAAATATGGTAACGGGAAGATTCTTGAGACATATGCTGATAATATGTCAGGATTGCTTCGAAGATGTGACACTGAATAAAATATTTTCTACGATATTAGAATGGCATTTCGCTAAAGGCTACGAAGAAACAGTTTCGAGGCTTGCAAAAGTATAAACTACCTTTATTTTATTCAATAAATCATTAATTATATGGACTACATTTTAGATGGTAGTGGCTGGAACTATGGACGTGTACAAAGAAGCCATGCTTACCTTTCTTCCAACACCTTCAAAATCCCATTATAAGTTTTCTTTGAGAGATTTTGCACGAGTAATTCGAGGTGTCCTCATGATCCCACCCTCGAAAATGAATGATCCTGATAAACTAATACGATTATGGATTCACGAAATATACAGAGTATTCCATGATAGATTAATAGATCAAAATGACAAGTACAGACTATTAGTTGAAGATATATGATTTATTTTAAAATAATTTTCTTTTAGAAATTCCTTATTCGAAATAGTTAAAAGAGGTTGTTACAACGGATTGAGGCAACCAATAGATAAAGTTTTAGCTGAATTGGTACCTGATGGAGAACAACTTAACGGAGAGCACGTTAGAAATTTGTTTTTTGGTAACTATATAGAGCCAGACGCTGATCCAAAAATTTACGATGAGGTAATCATTTGTTTTCATATTTTAAAAGTCATAAATTCTATGCTTATTATAGATTGTAGATTTGGATTTGTTAACCGAGAGGATGAATTACTATTTGAGCGAATATAACTTGCTGACCAAATCTCCTATGAATCTAGTATTATTCAAATTTGCGATTGAGCACGTGTCGCGCGTATCTCGAGTTCTTCTCCAAGAAGCTGGACATATGCTTCTTGTGGGAATCGGTGGATCCGGAAGGCACAGCGCCGTTAAATTGGCCGGATCAATGGCAGAGTATGCAGAATACGAGATAGAAATGTCTAGGAATTATGGAATGTTGGAATGGCGTGAAGACATAAAACGTCTGCTTTTAAAAGCCGGTTGTGAGGGAAGACCAATTGTGTTTCTGTTCAGCGACACTCAAATCGCTTCAGAAACATTCACAGAAGATATAAATCTTATATTTAACACAGGAGATATACCCAACTTGTATCAACCCGATGAGAAAGGAGACATTTTGGAAAAGATGCAGGCGATTGCCCGAGACGGAGTATTTTCGAATTATTATTAATTGGATTTGTGGAATTAACTTTCTGATTTTTTTTAAGGGGAAGAAAATTGAGAGTACACCTTTTGCTTTATACAACTTTTTCATCGAAAGGATAAAGCATAATTTACATGTAGCGTTTGCGATGAGTCCTATCGGAGATGCTTTTAGGATGCGTTGTCGTATGTTTCCATCGTTGATTAATTGCTGCACTATTGATTGGTAATTTGTGAAATACTTATGATGTTTTGCTTAACTTGCTGACAGGTTTTTAGAGTGGCCTGACGATGCATTGGAGAAAGTAGCCACTATGTTTTTAGCAACGATGGAAGTTGAACAGGAACTAATGGAAAATTGCGTACTTATGTGCAAGAATTTCCACACGACCGTTGAACTCGCTGCGAATAAGTTTTTCAAAGAATATCGAAGAAAAACGTACGTCACTCCAACATCGTACTTGGAGCTGATACAAACTTTCAAAAATGTATATTTCCTTAAGGTCGATCAGATTACTTTAGCTAGAGATAGGTAAATCGTGAAAATTTCTTTAAATAAATTAATTAATTAATACTTTCGTAGGTATTTGACTGGTTTGGAGAAATTGGATTTTGCAGCAGGACAGATTGGAATAATGCAAGAAGAATTGCATGCATTGCAACCTCAATTAGTGGTAGCTTCCATGAAAACTGAGAAGTTGATGATCAAGATTGAACAAGATACTGTTATAGTTGAAGCTAAGAAGGAGGTAAAATTAGTGAATTTTAATTGATAGTATTTTCATATATTTTATATTTATATTAGATCGTTGGCGCCGATGAAGCATTGGCTAATGAAGCTGCTGCTGCGGCCCAAGCTATAAAGGATGATTGCGAATCTGATTTAGCCGAAGCTATACCAGCTTTGGAGGCTGCTCTTGACGCTTTAAATACTTTGAAACCTGCAGATATTGTTATCGTTAAATCTATGAAGAATCCTCCATCTGCCATTAAATTGGTTATGGAAGCAGTATGCGTGATAAAACAGATCAAACCTGATAGGAAACCGGATGTATCATCTGGACGAATGGTGGAGGATTACTGGGGACCATCTCTACGTTTACTCTCAGACATGAAATTCTTGGAAGGTCTAAAGACTTTCGACAAAGATAATATACCGGCTCCAGCCATGAAAAAAATTCGGGAAAGGTATATGCCTGATAGGGAGTTTGATCCCGTTGTGGTGAAGAATGTATCAACTGCTTGTGAAGGTTTATGCAAATGGGTTCGAGCAATGGAGGTCTACGACAGAGTCATCAAGATAGTTGCACCCAAAAAGGCTAGTTTAGCTGTGGCGGAAGGTGAGCTTGCTGCGCAAATGGAAACTCTTAATGTAAAAAGGGCCCAACTGCAAGAAGTCAGTGATAAATTGCAAGCGTTGAATGACGAATTTGCAGCAGAGACAAAGAAGAAAAAAGAGTTGGAAGATCAAATAGAGTTGTGCTCTCAGAAACTGGATAGGGCCGAGAAATTGATCGGTGGATTAGGCGGTGAAAAGACTAGGTGGTCCGAAAATGCAAAACAACTCCATGGGCTCTTGGGAAACGTCATTGGAGATGTGCTGTTATCCTCTGGAGTAATCGCTTATCTTGGACCTTTCACTGTAAACTACAGACAGGACTTAATTGCAAATTGGAATGTGTACTGCACCGAACTGGACATTCCCTGTTCAGAATCATTTTCTTTGGTTTACACCATGGGTGAACCGGTCATCATCAGAGCTTGGAACATATTTGGTTTACCAGTAGATAATTTCAGTATCGAAAATGGTATCATATCCACGAAAGCGAGAAGATGGCCCTTAATGATCGATCCGCAAGGACAAGCCAACAAATGGGTAAAGAACATGGAAAAAACAAATAATTTGATTATTATTAAATTAACCGATGCAAACTACTTGCGTTCAGTGGAAAACGCCATAACATATGGAATACCCATGCTGCTGGAAAATATCATGGAAGAAATTGATGCCGTTCTGGATCCGGTTTTAGTGAAGAACATTTATAAACAGCAGGGCGTCTGGTACATGAAACTATGCGAAAACGTACTCGAGTATAACCACGATTTCCGATTTTATATAACGACGAGATTAAGAAACCCGCACTATCTACCAGAAGTGGCGGTGAAGGTTACACTATTGAATTTCATGATTACGCCTCAAGGTTTACAGGACCAGCTGCTCGGGATAGTCGTGGCCAAGGATAGGCCGGAATTGGAGGAGAAAAAGAATATAATGATCGTCGAAGGAGCAAAGAACAAGAAATTGCTTAAGGAGATTGAGGATAAAATTTTGGAAGTCCTCTCTTCATCCGAGGGAAATATCCTGGAAAATGAAAAAGCCATCAAAATTCTATCGTCGAGCAAGATTGTGAGCGAAGATATTCAGGAGAAGCAAAAGATTGCATCAGTCACCGAAAAGGAAATTGACAATGCACGAAATCTTTACGTACCTGTCTCGAAGCACAGTTCTATACTTTTCTTCTGCATTTCCGATCTTGCAAACATCGAACCGATGTATCAGTATTCTCTGGGCTGGTTCATCAACTTATATAATCAATCAATCATGAATAGTGAACACTCAGATAATTTGTGTGTGCGCTTGGAGAGTCTAAACAGTTACTTTACGAATAGCATTTATAGGAACGTCTGTCGATCGTTATTCGAGAAGGATAAATTGATATTTTCCTTGGTTCTTACAGTCGGCATCTTAAAAGCGCAAGTAAATAAAATGAGCCAAAATTAGTACTATCTTTTTTAAAACAATTTGTTGTGTTTAGGATAATATAGATGATGAAGTTTGGACGTTTCTATTGACAGGAGGAGTAGCGCTGCACAATCCCTACCCAAATCCAGCTCCTAAATGGCTTTCCGATAAATCTTGGTCTGAAATGGTTAGAGCAAGTAATTTACCCGGGTAAGTAATTCTAACTATTTTCAATATTATCTTTCAACCATCTATAATGCTTTCTGTAATTGATTGAATCTTTATTTTGTTTGTTAATCAATACAGAAACATTTACTAATATGTTTTTAAATTAAATAATTTAGCTTGGAGAAATTACATTTCTACGTAGAAAAGGATATCGAAGAATGGAAGAAATTCTACGATGCATCCAATCCTCACGAGATTCCGTGTCCAGCCCCATTCAATGGTTTAACGAAACTTCTTCGGTTGGTTGCAATTCGTTGTATAAGGCCTGACAAAGTTGTACCAGCAGTGCAGGTAGACCTTACATCACCAAATATCTGCATTGTTATTGATGTATTGTTTTAAAGAGTTACATTGTCTCAGAGATGGGTCAAGCCTATTTAGAACCACCACAATTCAATTTGGAGGAGTCTTACATGGACAGCACATGTTGTACTCCACTGGTGTTCATCCTTTCGCCAGGTTCAGATCCGATGGCTGGTTTGATTCGATATGCAGCAGACAAAGGAATTGATAAAACCAGTCTCTTAACAATTTCGCTGGGACAAGGACAGGTGAATTATTGTATTGATTAGTAAGAATTCACAATTATCTTTTTTTCTTTGAATAGGGTCCAATTGCATCCAATATGATAGATATAGCTTTGGAAAGTGGGCAATGGGTTGTTCTGCAAAATTGTCATTTAGCTGAAAGCTGGATGCGGGAGTTAGATAGGATTTGCGATGAGGTCATCGTTCCGGAAAACACCAATGTCAATTTCAGATTGTGGTTAACTAGTTATCCATCGAAGGCTTTTCCCGTTTCCATTTTGCAAAATGGTATTTAGTACACCACTAATTCTTTGATTTTTGTTGAGAATTTTCTTTTAAGGTGTGAAAATGACAAATGAGGCACCGAAAGGTCTGCGACAAAATTTGTTGCGATCCTATACCTCGGATCCTATTTCAAATCCAACCTTCTTCAGCGCTTGTCCACATTGGCATGCTTGGCAGACCATGCTATTTGCTTTATGCTTCTTCCACGCTTTGGTACAAGAACGCAGGAAGTTTGGACCTCTCGGTTGGAATATTCCGTACGAATTCAACGAATCAGATTTGAGGATTAGCATCCTACAGTTACAGGTAGATATAACTGTCATTGATTTGCGCTAATTATATAAATCTTGACTTAACTTTAGATGTTCTTAACTGACTATGACGAAGTGCCGTATGAAGCTTTAACATACCTTACCGGAGAATGCAATTACGGTGGACGAGTGACTGATGACAAAGATAGACGTTTGTTGATGTCCGTTCTATCCATATTTTATTGCCAGAATACTGTTAATACAGCACTGTGAGTTAAATTAAGAATTTCCTTAAACCCAACTAATTTATGTTTACTTAGGTATCCTTTTTCACCGAGCGGTACTTATTATGTACCTCAAGATACATCATACACAGGAATTGTGGATTATATAAAGCAACTGCCGATAATTCCTTTACCGGAAGTTTACGGTTTGCACGAAAACGCTGATATAACTAAGGATAATCAAGAGACTGCAATTTTATTGAACGGAGTGATGTGCACCCAAACTCAAATAGCTGCTGGAGGAGGAGGCGAAGATTCTCAAGAAGCAATCATTGCATTAGCAACTGATATTTTAGAGAAGATTCCTGAGCAATTCAACATTGAAATGGTCAGTGAGATGTACCCCGTTATGTATACCAATTCGATGAACACCGTTTTAAAACAGGTATAGATTAGAAATGATGAACACAAACAAACATCGATAACATTGTACATTGTTTTTAGGAATTAATACGATTCAATCGATTGACGATTGTGGTGAAAAGGACTTTGGCTAATATCATAAAAGCCGTTAAGGGATTGGTGGTAATGTCTTCGGAACTGGAGGAACTTCATTATTCTTTAACTGTTGGTAAAATTCCTGCATCCTGGTTGGCAAAAAGTTATCCAAGCTTGAAGCCTTTGGGTTCTTACATACAGGATTTGTTGGCCAGGTATTCTTTAAACAAATTAAATGAAAATGATGATTTTCTAAATTAATTTATGCAGATTAAGTTTTCTACAAGACTGGATCAACGATGGTCCTCCCATGGTCTTTTGGCTATCGGGATTCTACTTCACGCAATCATTCTTAACTGGTGTTTTGCAAAATTACTCCAGAAAAATGCACTATCCTATAGATCATATAGCTTTTGATTTCCTCGTCACCGAATACGAAGATGAAGTACCAGAAATCCCAGAAATTGGTGTTTATTTCAAAGTGAGTATACAATTTTTTTTTCTATTTACACACACAAAACAACACTGTTACAAATACATTTATTTTAACTAAAGCTTATTGATGAAAACAAAGAGGAATTTGATGAATTCGCTGCAGTAAGTACTATGACATTTTTCATTTATTTTTGTTAATTATAAATTGTATTTATAAAAATGCAGCAATGTAGGAAAAAGAATGAATGTAGTGTATTCATTTGTGTAAGTATTCAGCAGATCAAATTTGTATCAACTTAGAATTCGGAATACATTAAAATGTATGTGTAAAAAATATACTAATTAATTAATACTTTAGGGCCTGTTTTTGGAGGGTGCACGCTGGGATAGGAAAGAAAAATATTTGAATGAATCCTATCCAAAAATCTTATTTGATACCCTACCAATCATGTGGTTGCAACCAGCGTTAAAAGTTGACATAATTCCCAGGAAATCTTACATATGTCCCATTTACAAGACCAGCGCAAGAAGAGGAGTATTGTCTACGACCGGACATTCTACGAATTTCGTTATGCTCACCAACTTTGATACGCCGCTTCCAGAGCGTCACTGGATCAACAGAGGTGTTGCTTGCCTCTGTCAATTGGACGATTGAAGCTGGAATAAATTGTATACTTTTAAAGTGTCTTTTATTACAAAAAAAAAATCATTTACACAACTTAATAATGGCAACGATAGGCTCTCGTTAAAGAAACGTTCAATTCGTGCGTTTCGATCTCTTGTTCCTCATCATCCGATTTGATGTCCGAAGACGAGTTCCTCTTTTTGGGTAAATTGATTTGAACGATTTCATCATTGTAAACGTCCTCTCGGCTCCTCGGTTGTCTAAATGAGGAGTTCTGCTTATCTTGGGCACGAGAACTCCTAAGCTTCTGCAGCTCAATCTCCTTCTCTGGTTTCATTTTACCACTCTGCGTCAATATTCCAATATTGGATAAAACTGCGTTAGTGAGCATCCTCGAGCTGGACACTTTAATAGCTTTCTTTACAGCATTTTCTGAAACTCACAATGTACGTGAAATTATTGAAAAGGGAATGGAATTATGTTCGAATTACCTTCGAAGCTTTGTTTTTCAAACGCATCGTCGTCGATATCGGATTCCGATTGGTCATGATCTAAATCTATTTCGCTCTCGCTGCGGAGATCTTGTATCGATGGTTTGCGACGTTTCATGAAGAAATCGTTGGGTTTCTGTTTAACTACATATTTGGGCTCTACGGGGATAACTTTTGGCATTCGCTGTTTAAATATCCTTGTAGTTTCGAAATGATCCTGATCGTCCGGTTCGATGTCACTATCATCCGGAGGTGAACTATCCTTCTCCATTTTATCGTTTTTCATTAAGATTGGCTGCGATTTGGTCTTTCTTTTGGTAGGCGAGTGGATTCGTTTACGCGGTGTCATCGATGGTGACCTATGCTTTTCCTCGTCCTCTAATTCCTCTTTACTATCATAAATGGAAACGGACCTCCGTTTTGAAGGTGGAATTGGAACTTTCTGAGGTGATTTCTTCGATTTGCACTTGGCTATGTTCTTGATGCTGTGTTCACTCTTAGTTTTATATGTGATTTTTGTATGCGATTTTCTGCGTAACTTGGGACTGCGGCTCCTCGAATGCGCTGTAAAATATTCAAGTTATGAAAATAAATCTGTAATATACAAAGATTATCGTTACTTGATGTGGTTCTGGGAGTTGTGTTTTGGGAATCCGAAGGACTACTTAAAATATCTCCGGCCAACGCCTCCACTTCCTTCTTAGATAAATTGAATGCATCTTTTTTGTGTGATCTGAGTTTATCGGTTGACCTATGATGGCGCATCTCCTCCACCGATTTCCTGAACTCTTCTACAGACTTTTTATTCGTGTTCTCTTTTTCTACGGGCATCTTGGTATATTTATTTACGGAAGATTTGCTGGTTTTGCTAACTTCATCTGCGCATCTCGTTGCTCTTCCTTTCTCAGATCCTACCGGTCTCGGAATACTGGAGTTCCTCCCCTGCTTCTGCGAACCTTTAAATAACTTTTCCTCTTCCGATTCCAAATCCAGTCCATCGGATTCCAATTTCTTGCAGTTGATTTCTGTACATATATCGTCCAGAGATTGAATATTGTCTAGTTCGTGTACGCAATCGTGTGTTTTAGCCAAGTGGATGATAATGTTGATGAAATTTGGTAGATCCGGCATCGTGACGTCCGTCTTGATCTTCTTCTCCGCGATAATTTTATTTATGAAGCTGTGGCAAGTATTTATGTAGTTTATGGATTTAATGTAATCCTTAAATAAATCACTCGTTTCTGGACTTTCTCCAGTTTCCTGCTTCTTGGAGCAATTTGGACATAGGAGGCAGTCTGGCGCTGTGTTCGTGAATTTATTGACTTTCCGCGTCGCCAACGGCCGCCGAGTGCACGTTCTATTCATCTTAATTTATCTTAAAAATCCATAAATTTTACCTATTAAGTTTGCGTTTTTTTTTAAGTTTTTGATGGTTACTGTCAGAGGAAATGACACTTACGACATTAATTGCACATTATTGACGATGTCCAAATGAATATTAATAGTCACTTGATTAAGACGAATGGAGGAAGACAGTAAAAATGCATTAATTTTATATATATTTTTTGTATTATTTACATAAAGACTATACAAAAGAAAACAATTCGAAAACCCGGTGTTTTTTTCTTTAATTATAATTATTATATTACACTTAGAGTCGGCTAAAAATATACAAAATCCATATGTACATACGAAACAAAATTACCTATAAAATAATCCAAATAAGTAAAATTTAGCTTACAAAAAAAAACGAATTCGATTACTATAAAATAGGTTATAGTAAGGAATTTCCATTTTTTTTTCCTGTTTCCTTGTTTTTTTTTTTCGTGACGCTATATAATATAAATAATCTCAAATTCAATCGGATTATTCTCATAACATTTTATATATTTACAAAGTTCATTTCTCATATATTAACAAATTGGTTTAATAAATTAATATAAATATTGGTCAAAAACTTAGGTGTGTTGCTTCAAGTTTTGGAGTGGATTTGGGAGGATGGGGGACTAGTTTTAAACAAACAAACAAAAAAAAAAATACAAATAAATACAAATCATCAACAAAGAAAGTAAAAATAATACAAGTGGAATATTTTCAATCGAATTTTTAATATGATAATAAATAAATCAATTTTTGGCGTGGTTGTGTTGGGCCTTACGTTTTCTGTTTGCCAGCATATCGTAAAAAGGATGATGGCTTATGCTCTGACCCAGCCGCAGCATCCAATCATTTTTCTCGTTCTCGCTGCTCGCACTCATCCTGTACACCTGATGTTTGCCCTCCACAACTTTACCTTCTGAATCAGTCTTGCAAGCCTTTATGAACTCGGCTCCACCACTCGCGTACAACTCGAAACAGTGCTGTTTCTGTCTGTCCGTACACTCCCTCACAGATATATTCTCCAGGGGGATGATCCCCCTTGGCTCCTTGTCGGTCGTATATTCAAAATAGTACAAACAATTGTCGTTCAGTATGAACCACCGTCGTTTCCAACTCTTATAGCGTCCTCCCTGCTTCCAAAGCCAACCCTCCTTGTCCGGATTGAAGAACGTGTGCATTAGATCGTTACCATCGTCTTCGGGTATCTTGAAGGGTTCCGCCTTTATGCTATCATACAAACTCTGAAATAAACAAGAAAATCAGCAACGATTTACATTACAATTAAATAACAACGTACCACTAGCAGTTCCCTGGGTAAATCTTGTCCGTTATTGATCCCTTGATTCATCTTTATGAATTGCTCTATAGTTGGCTTGTCTTTAACGCTTGGATTATGCAAACTTGTGTTCAGCATAATTATAGCGAAGGAAAGCACGTAGCAGGTGTCGGAATTCTCAAAGATATTATTCCCTTGACAATCGCAGTATCGTTTTGCGAAACATTCCATCATGCGATCGATTTTTTGCGCTTCCCCTGGCAGCCGAAAACTCCACAAGAATTGCCTACGCACATACAAGAAAAGGGATGTAAAATCAAAAACAATTCGCCGTGAAATATTACCTCAAAGCCTGGACTAGGATAAGATCGGTGAAATCGTGTAGCTCAACGAACGCCTTCAAGACGTTCTCGTTGAAATCGTTCTTTTCGCCCAGGTAATCCCCGATGGCTGTTTTATTGAGGCCCTCGCCCTTATGCAGGAACTGCGCCACGGATTCAGGGGTCTCCTGCAGCAATCCGTTCTCGATCAGGTACTCAATCCCCTTTTTCGGGTCCATGTTGAACTTCTTCCTCCCAATAGACATCATTTTCGCTTTACTGCGACTCTTCCCATCCTCGCCGCTTTCCAGGCTCTCCACTTCCGATACAACCTCTGACAGCTCATCTTTCAATTGCTACAATCATAACGTAAAAGAAAGAAAAAACATTAATTACACGAATGGAGTTCATATTATATAGTTAATTAAGAACGACGGTTGCGAAATTATAATGCCGTGAGCGAATTTCGAAATAAGTTGCATGTTTAATTGAAGCATTTTTCACGCAGTATGTTGTAATGAAGGTTCTGCATGAGGTTTGAGAGTGAATGGACACGTAAAAGGGAAATGCATAACTGCTCCAAGACGCAGTTTCGCTGCGTCCTTGCCGCTCGAGAAAAGGTCGAAGAAGAAAAAAGTAAGAAACATATGCGAAAAGGAGGAGGAGATTGAAGACGGCGGCGGGTGGTGGTTAGCTCCGCAGATTCTGATGCCAAGTGGAAGTAATAAAAATACCCTGAGAAACTGGCGACTTAACGGTCCGACGATCGCATAAAAAAAATAAAATGAAGCAGAATACAGACGCACACAATTCGCAGAACATGTTCACAAACAGAAACATATTTTGAATTTGCGACATTTAATATGACTGAAAGCAATACCACCTTCTCATCTTCTATACACAGAATACAGTGTATGAAGGCATCCGTATTTTAATAATCCCCATGAAATTCTCACAAAGTATGGAACAAAACACGATTAAATTAAAATTAAGTAAAAAACGTTCGTATCCGAAATTTACTTTTTTAACAATAAGATTTGTTAAAACATTTGTTAAACTGAAAGTAATAGCTATAAATAAATATGTTGAGATAATTATATACATAACAACTTAACATCGAAAACAACATTTATATTTTTTGGAAATCCCATGTATTTGTTATTATTGAAGATAATCAAAACAAAATTAAATTAACTTATCAGTTGTTATTGCTACCATTTATCTGCTGCAGTAGCAAATCTTAAACAAAAAAAGTATAAATTAAAGCGATTGTATACTCGAAATCTTAGTGCTTCTTTTATATTCCCAGCAAATAAGCGCAGAGTGACTCATCGCTATGGGGTACAAGAACAGCACAACAGTGCCCAACATAACCATTTCTTTTTCATGTTTTAATTGGTCTAAATTACATCCGTTGAGTTTAAATGAAGCCCTTCTTGCTCCGAGATTATAGAAGAAGAAAAAAAAGGTCATCATAATCATGTTAAACTGATGGTATAATTTCGAATTTGAATTGTACATTGCGAATTACTAAAGTTATAAGTTCCAATAATATACCAAATAACCTTGTATAGTGTAAATACTAATACTAAATAACAGAGTTAGCAATAAAAAAAACATAATTTAATCCTATTTAAATGTTTAACGTAGATTTAGATAGTATGAGCGAGAGAAATCTAGCTTTATCTGTAAACTCTGTTGTGATAAAAATAATCAGGAGGTTATTTTTTCCACAAAGTATCGATCCGCAAAATGGTTAAAAGAAATGGTAAACATTGAAAGAACGGTGAGGAATATACCGATGCCACGTAAAAAGTGCATCAATTTATCGGAATATTGTTAGGTGTTTATTGACGTCAAAAGCGACGTGCAAATATCTGTTTCACATGGAAACAGCATTGAGAAAACACTATTTTTGTTCCATGGCTTAGACGTCCGTTTCGTGTGTTTAGATTACATCTAATCACATGTTTTCTATGAGGATGAAAAAAAAAAAACTACCTGTTACAGGTACTACTCTCATTTCCTTTGTCTACTTTTATCCTCTCGGGTTTACTGCACCCAAGGGTCATCTATTTATACCATATTTTTTTGGCAGCCAGATGAAGAGACCCATCTCTCTCGCTCTCGCTACTAATAGTAGTTCCCATGCACTAATTGCCGTGGGAGAAACGTATAGACAGGTGGATGATTTAGCTAATATTCGTCCGCTATTATAATTCCATTACCGATCGCTGTGCGTAGGTGTGAAGTGATAGATCCCAGTCGCTCTTCGATGAAAGATTCTTGGGAGGCGACTTCGGCTTCTTTGGTGTCCGCCGCAAAGACGAGAACCAGTTGCTGACGGTGGTCATCGAGCCCTTCCTCTCCCTGCCGATGGTATTGTAGTGCTGCATGATTCGAGATCCTCGTCCGCACAATTCGCAACCGAATGTATAATTTCAAAAGATCAAACGTCAAATTCGACAGATCAGTTCCTTTGCTCTCGTTTGATTAGATTTGCTCGGTTAGAAGAGTATTCTCTTCTGGGATATATCACAATTGCTCGAGTCTTGTTTTTCAAAGAAAGTAATAATAAACAAAGATTGCACTTCCAATTCGGACTAGATGGATTCAATTAAAGGCACCGTTTGGGATCACACGAATAAAGGCACCGACGTGATGATACTTTTCTTCGCAGCTATTCACATTTTCTGATGGTTTCTTCTTCACTGATTCGGAGAAAACCTGCAAATCCTTCTAGCCCAGTTCCCACTGCATGGTTCATCATCTGTAGAAGAAGAAAATTCGGCCTTTTGAAGGTTTGTCCTCTTCATAAAGCTCAGAGAATATTAGGAATGAGAGATACGAGTTGAGAATGAGAGAGAGAGAGAGAGAGTGGCGCATCGCGAATACACAACATCTTAAATTAAAGTAGCTTGTTCGTGCCAGAAGTGGTATATAGACAATTAATAACTAAATTACTAACATGTTCGTCGCTGTGTTGTTGTTGATTGCAGCTTAGGAACAACCGCAGGAACTGAGACCAGGTCAAGCACATTTTTCAGCTCACATTTTAACTTTGTTTTAGCTGCAGGAACACACACATACACTAGGCATTTGGCAGAGACCCAGGAGAATCGGGCGACGAGGAAAATATACAAAAAAATAAGTAAAAGAAGAAAGAGGAGGTGGAGTGAAACGGCAAAGTTGTAGAAGGAGAGACGATCGACGACGGTGTTTTTGGAACGAGGCGGAGGTACTGCTACAAACCAAACGCACGGCACCGGGCGGCTCCGGCCTCAAACTGAATCGGCGGAGCCCGTGTTTCGGTCGCCAGAAAAATGAACGGTGGACGGGTCAGGGATTTTATAAATAACCATCCGCAAAACCATCGAGTGCCATACCCAAATTCGCATTCATCCGCGCACAACAACAGCCTCACCTTCCGAGGACAAGATTATCCCTAGAAACCAGCGAAATATGTGCCCTTAAAACCGGTTCCGCCAAATCCCCTAACCCAAGGACCTTGAGAGCATTTACTCACGATCCATTGGCAGGTAAATCATACATTACACAACAAACGTTTTACCGTGATGCAAATGCATTTGCAACAAGGGTAGTATTTGTTTAGGTATTTTCCATCGGAGCAAAGTCTACTGGTATTATTTGTTACAACTAAAACTATATTGTACACGATTCCCAACAAATCTTTAGAATTTCGCTCATAATATTTTGTTAAAAAGTATTTAAATTTTTATAGTATTGCTAAAGGACGTGTTGTTTCTATTATTGTCAAAGAAATGTTGCGTAGAAACAATGCTAGTTAGATATAAACGAGTGTTTTATCTATCTGATACGCTTTAACGCTTGTTATCTGCAAATCTGCGTCAGTCGCGGATTTGAATACTGGATTACAAGGTGAAAATAATAGTCTGGCTGACTGTCTACTACTAACGAGGATTCGTAGGCGTTCGTACTTTTAGCATGTGAGAACGCACAGCTGAGAAGGGGTTGATCCAAGATTAGATTTTGTAAGAAATAAAATAATAACATACGCTTTCAATTACTATACTATGATAATCATGTGATTTTATGTGACTAACTCTCAAATCGTCTTCGATCGGTAGATTTAGAAACTTTCCTTCCGAAAACGCGTAGGTATTTTTTTTAAGTTTTCGTCATAATTAATTCCCGCATTGTTTCAGCTTCTTTCTCTTTTTTTTTTATCCAACATGTGAGTCGCATTGGCATGCAAACCGCACGTCTGTGAAACCCATCTGCAAGTAAAATCATCTTCGAGGAATGATGAGGGAATACAAACGAACGGCGACGCCACACAGCAGCATAGCGCCACAGGAACATCATACGCAATGCTAATAGGATATGTTTTTTTTTTTTTTGTAATTTCGAGGCATGCATGATTTCAGTGAAAAAGCACGCAAGAATGCGAAGACTGTGTTCATCGTAGCCATTAGAGTTCGGAAATGAATGCTGTATATACAGTAGTAGTGGTATTTATGCGTGGCCCAAAGTTCAAAGGAAGTTGATAAACAAGGTTAATATTATGCGTAAAATATTCCCAATGAAATGCTCGGCTTATGTTGTTTAAATACCCGGAATACATTCTTCAGGATTTATTAGTCGCAGGAAAGATGCTTCAATGTTGAATTCGATTGCTTCTTGGTGCAAATACACAAGCAATGAGAAGGAGCAGTGTTTGGGTATACTTTAAACATAACTTCGCATAGCTAAGAAGATGTAAACAAAGTATGACAGTAAGTATACAAATCATGAGGTTCAATAAATAATATCTGCCAGTCGACGTCGACTATTGAATGTGCATCTCCATAAAAGTAAAATTTGCAAACTACTAGTAAGTATTTTTAATTATTTGATGAAATCTTTGTAATTTAAATTCACTAAATACTTCGGTAAATGCGTACATTTACCAATAACATTTTTCATCAATTTTCTTAAAAGTTTCTGTTTCTGCAAAAAGATAAACTGTTACAAAAAATGATCATTAAATGTTAATTATGGTAAAATTTGTACAAAATTTTCATTAAAATTAATGTTAACGAAGAACTGCTTAAGTGTTCAACGTACCATCAATTTCCTTAAACGAGTTTCAATCAACACAAAAAAAAAACAAGTTGGCCAACAGTATGTTCAGCCAGAAGCAATGATGTACGATCCATTTCTTGGTCACGGAATATTAAACGCCGGCTGCTAATTACTAATTAAAATAAACACCCGGTACAACTACTTCGTTGGCTCTTTTCTTCCTTTGCTTATTCAACTCTTACAATTCACGGCCGCACGCTCCAAAGAATTCCTAGCCGACGGCAAGGTCGGATTCGATTCATCATAATGTATGCATACGATGAGAACATGATATACAACCCCGAAAATGCCCCGGCAACAAACCGAACATAAATACGGCGGTAATTAAAATTCCATGACGTGCGCAATGTTTTCATGAATCTATTAATACCGAGAGCGTTGCGTGAAAAATAATGGTTCCTGAAATACCCCGATGATATTAGATAACCGCTCGCTAATTCCATTGGAAACCCAAGTACGCTTTACTGTATTTTCACAATATATTCAATGAAACCCATTACAATTATCCGAATGAGACAGTTATTCACAATCTTCTAATTGCTTTATCAAAGTGTACTTTCTAAATATTTGCATTGGGACTTCTCCAGGGTTATTTTCGGTTTGGTCAGATGACTCAGAAAGCAATCACAGTTAAATACATTGAAAAGTTCAAATTTTCCTAAAACTAATTCGAAGAAACGTAAATATATCGAATTCTCCGTAAATGAAATCGGAAGATATTTCTTCTTAAAATTGATTTGAAATCAGCTGATATAAATTTAGAGACAACAATGGATTTCTAACAATGCGAGTAGTATTAAGGAAAGTACTGGTCACAAATATAGCATGTTACAAAGTCTGCCCATGCATATTGTATATGCTACACAGTATGGATTTTCTTTTCGCTGACGTGTCCACTGTTGCAATTGAAAATAGAGTCGATCGTGTACAATGGATGTTAAAATATTTCAAGAAAAAAAAACATCTTTTTCGGAATATCCCACAAAACTTGTCATGGAATTTACTTTCTTTCGGATTTCGAAAACGGCATTCGATTTGGTGGCCCCTGCAGCAAGCGAAAAAAAAATATACTAAAAGAAACTAACAAGAGTGAAGATCTGGTCTTTCTGGGATTTAAATTATGTATTGAGCAGCTCGGGGGTCTCAGCTACCTGAATAACTGCCGCTGTATGTATATACCTCGACAATGGGAAACGTTGCAGAACAAAAGCTTAAGTTGAATCCACCTGCACGTATTAAAAAAAACCTAAGCTAACCCTTGCATCATAGCTCTCAATACAAAGAGCCATAAATAATTATGTTCCTCTTTCTGAGAGCAATCTTGTAGGGATCATCCGTCCACGTCAATTAGTAAATTGGTATCGCTCTATCGAGAAGAGGAATGGTATTCAAAATGCAAGTGCGTAAGCGGAGGAGGTAATGGTCAAAGTTGAGGTCGGTAACCTTCGGGACCTTTCACATGAGCATTTAACAAAGTTATCGGATGAGCAATGGGACCCATTATGCATTAGGGCGCAATTTGCAACAATCCATACATTTCGGATGACTCACATGGTACGCGCGTTCCCAGCCGGGCAATAAACATAAAATAAAAGAGCACATGCATATTCATTTATGCTTGCTGGCGGTAAGGAAATAAAATAAAAATGCGGAAAGGAGAAACAAGAACGAAGCTAAATGGTTGAGAGAAACCTATTTTATCATTGCTTTCACACTGCATTTTATATGGACTGTTAATGTGCTCCTACTTTTTCTCTGCTTCTCTTATATTTCTTTTTGTTGTATTTTTATTTCCAGCGGAAATACATGTTTAAAACACATATTTCCTTTACTGCTTCTTCACATGCCTTTTTCTTCTTAAACATTTGATCCAGTTCGGTATCAAATTAAATATCAGCTATTTAAAGTTCTTTTCATGTACGTGACTTATAGTTTAGTTTAACAAACAATAACAATAATTATTATCTATCTATTATTGTTGGTATTTGCTAAACCGCGATGACTTTTTAAAATAATTCACATTTTCATGTAATAAATCATCGAGGTTAGTTTCCAGATAATAGAAGTTACATAAAGCGATAATTAAATCAAAATTAAAACATGTGATTCCCAAGTAATGTGACTAACAGTGCAATGATTACTCATTTAAAATAGAATAATAATAATGCAAAATAATAATAATATATGATGATGATGATGAATGGGACTTGCTATTATCAAGGATTGATAATGGATGTTTGTTCGTTTCGGAAGTGGTGATGGGACTATTTTCGTAGATGATGGGTTTCGGATGGCCGAGTTTTGGAGTGCGGCACCCATTTATAGATTCCGGACTGCGGATTTTCTTTGCGGTGACGCGCAAAGTATGCAAGGCAACGTGCTCGGAGGAAGGAGGAAGAGGATCTCGACATTGCAAGGTTATCGAGTTCACCTGGAGGTCGTTTCCTGCATCTCACGCGTCGAATACAATGGCTCAATTGAATCATTTTCCTCGACCAAACGAAGTTCAGTTCAAATGCAGATGCGTCTGGGCAAACAAAATTTATAAAGAAAAGGGAACCCGAGCGACAGGTTGGTGAGTGGCTGCAGGCATCTGCATTCTGTGGGCAGATGTCTGCATCCCATCACCAAGAAGAGGACCTATCACATAAATAACATTCACTCGAGAATCTCTCTCCAGCAATAAGGAATCCAAAAGGGAATGCGAGCGCGCTGCACTGATGGTTGTGCAGGATTTTGCTGCAGCAGCAGCACATTTTACCATTTCGAACGAGACACACGCATTGCATTCGAAAGGTTTGCAATTCTCGTGTTTTGTAAGCTCGGCTTCACGTTGCAAGGTCGCATACCTAACAACACCGGTCATACGAAACAAGCGCGAAAATAATAACATATTTTTAAACGCCATAAATCTCGAAACATAATAAGGACTTCAAGTCGAAAACGTATTTACACCACTGCCTCTGTTAATTAAAGCCCTTTTATTTATTACGCAATTAGGGCGCACGCCGAGTCTTCTGTCACGCAACATTATTTCCTCTCGAAGCAATTAAAGATACTTCCGGCTCGGACAATTCGAATCCGCCTGAAAAGCGAGGGAAACAGAGGACCTCAAGAAACTTACGTCAAACAGATTTTTATCATTTGCGTGCATTGTACATTTCCTCGGAGAAGTAATTAAGAATTTAAAAATAAATTAATAAAAATCTGCTCTTGAACTTTGCATTGTTCATTGTTTCGCGGAGGAGTCTCTCACAAGTAAAACAGTGTATTTACGATTTTCTAATTCCTCGCGCGAAGCATGACATAACATCTTCTAAAATTATATTTATTAATAACAATTTCAATGAAGTCATGTAACCCTGGCCTGCATATATGCACAGAACCCGTTTCTCCTCCGCTTAATGAAATCTATTGAAATTTAACACATAAAAAAGAGCAGGTGCTTCGATCATGATCATGCACCCAAATTAGTAAAACATGAATTATTCATGTACGAAAATAGAAAACTTACACATCCAAAAAAAAAAAGTTCACAATCTATTTTTACTATAATTACTTGAAATATAAAAAGACGACCAGCAGGAGAAGCACGATCTCTTATTAAGATACAGCATTAATAATTGAAGTGGATGAGTGCAGAGACGAAGAAGCGTGCTACATCTGCACTCAAGAAGACAATTACAAATTGTAAGTCATCAATTTTTCTGGGAAAAGGAAGTGGCCGCAGCGAACAAGCCATGTTATTCATCGTCCAAAGATTTCGAGCCGAAGAAAGCTGAAAGGCACAAAAAAAATAGAACGTTGAACGCAAATGAGTTTTTTTTCCCGGGATTTCCGTGAGTTCGGGACGACATCAATATTTTGCAAAATATTCAATTATTTCGGAATCCCATTAAACTCGCAAACGTGACACACGAGCTTAACTAGACATTCCATTAATTAAATGATGAGTAATTAACTTAGTTACAAATATTTGATTGGAATCCTCTTTAATATCTAAATAATTAATACGTTTGAAGCTTACTGCCGTTCCGCATTCAATTAATTTAAAAGAATCAGAACGTCAAAATGTTTAATTTCAAATTGTGGTCACGGTTCGTGTTTCTGTGGTAAGTTATATTGTAACCGACATTTATAATAAGGAGCATATAACATGTTATATAATATAATTAGGACGTTAATGAATAGTTGTAGTATTTGTCTCAACTCAAGCTCGAGGTCTTTCATCCGTGTGTATAGTGTATGAAAGCGTATTGTTACTTCACTGAAGTTCGTTCTATTTGAGTTCGCAAAGTGTACCGAAGTTGTCAAACAACAAATAACCATATTAAAATCGTTTTATAATTAATTTGATTACATTTTTCATTAGCTATATTTCCAACGAAATTCATCAAACGCTTTTGTTTTCTCTTCTAAAAGGAAAAAAAAATGTAGCAAAGAGTGTGGCGTGGTATATGCATTGGATGGAAAAACGTTGTACTGGGAGATATTGACGTGGAACCAAATTGGATTGAGTTAACTCAATTTCAAATCAATACCCAGCAGCACCACCGCCACCCACGAAAACGAAGCCACAGGTAACTCTCTCCGAAGGGATATCAAATCAAATGCATCCTCGCACACCAAAACGCAAAATGTAATCGAATCAATCCAAATTTCGGAGACCCATTGTGCTTGCTTGCTATTTCGACTCCTCTTTGATTGCTAAATTTTCGCTGAAACTTTTTGAATCTCTTTTTCAAAACGTTTAATTTCCGTGCCAGACTGAATTCTATCGGTGACTCGATAGAATTCTGTCTGCTTTTTTACTCAGTCGAAAAGAAACAAAAATAATATTATTTATAAGACTGGTTACTGCAGAAACCAGACATCCGGTTTGATTAAATTAATTAGTCTGGTAATCATTTATAGCGCTTTACAAGAAACAACTACGAACAAATCAATCATATACAGCAGCTGCGATAAAACACGCACATTCATGTAATTCCATAATTATTAAGTAAAGCGCTGTAACGACCATCTTTAGTATTCTTGGAAAATAAATATTTGATTTAGTTATACAATCTTTTATTGACAAAATATTAAACTTTAAGATTTGTGGCAAGTTGGAATAGTTTATAGAAACTTTATACTAAATATTGAAGCTCTGAAACTAATTTAATATCCACTTTTTTTTTATACATACATAATTATGTTTACGCAGTCTTTTATAAAGTATATCGATTACTACTGTTTCAAACACGAACTATATTAATATCGCGTCATCTTGCGGCTTGAAAAATTCGATTAATTTTTATGAAGGTAAACATTAAATTTCCAGGAAACTTTATACCGGAGATTACACTGTTTAAACCACATTCATTTTACATAGAAAATAAACGATTTAATAAGACTCTTCATCGATTGTTACTGTTTCAAACAATGAAATTTTCGCGTAGAGAAAAGTTGGAATTGTCCTTAACTTCATTGAAATACGAAACGGGAATACGTCGGTGACTTATTACAGAGACCTTTGAAACTAGTTTAAAAGTTCTGAACTTAAATATTTATTTATCCGGCAGCAGTACGACTTTAAACTAAATTTAGACGTGACAGAAACCGAGTTTCGTTCATTTCATATTATATTTATAATACATTAAGGTGGAACTTGCTAATTGAACTGATTTATATAATAAAGCTTGGTACTAATATAGACGTATTTTTACAATGTCCGAGATGTCGACGTAGCGGAAAGCAATTACTGATGCCATTGTTAACGACAAAGATGGAATTCTCACGTCTCGAGAATGTATCCATCCATCCATTCCACGTGTGATTCATCCATTTAAAATATGAATTGGGATCTTGGCGCCCGCACAGGATGATAGACCAATCAACTATTGAATGGAAGCACCCATTCACCACTGTGCGTTGTTCATTGGAATCGGTGGATGATGAACAGGAGCGAGGACAAATGTGACCTTTTTTTTTATATTTGACTGCAGGGTTACTACATTAGAATGCAGGACGATGGCGGATTGGCAAATTGTGTACAATAAACACACGCATCGATTGATAAACATTGCTATTACGTAAGCGCCACGAGGCGTCGAAGCTGTTTGAATTGTCTATGCCACTTGGAGCGTGTAAATAAATAAAAACGGGGGCGCCAAATTACACTTATTTGCAATACCTCTCTTTCTCTCTCTATCTCTCTATACTCATCTCAATCCTATCTATACACTCTGTAAGGAGCAAACACCAAATCCAATTTAAACCAGTTAGCGCCAACAGAAAATACGATGATAAGGTCTTCTCAATACAAGCCTCTTGTTACTTTAGTTTCTAAGTTACTGCGATTCAATCATTATCTCTTTTGGCAAGGACAAATGAAAAAAAAACATGATTGCGCAAACATGCAAATCGATGATATTTTTACAATAGTATTACGTGAATTGGAATGTCACTTTGTTACTATAGCCGGGACGTCTAAAAATAATCCCATTAGCGGATAGAATACGTTTTTTTTTTTAAATAATATTTCCAGATAAACATTGGACCAAAACAATAACTTGAATTTAAAAGTACAGTAATCGGAAGACCTTATCATCTAGACGGGACTTCATCAATCACTAACAAAGGCGATTGATACAAGGAAATAACTTGTTTTGTTGCACGCTCGAAGTTTTGAAGAAGCGCATCAATGCAAAAAGTCCACTCGAAATGGTAATCCGATTAAAGTGGCACTAATTGGATTGAATTGAGATTGTGTGTTGTGCAGAACTAAATTTTATTCGATGAAAATTGTTACCTGAAATCAGCTAGTGGCTATTCCGTGTGTGGTTTACCGCAACAATAACAACAACAAAAAAAACAATATTTGACGTTAATCCAATTCAAAACGATGCACGAAATCACTCGAAGTTTTGGCACATCCGTGTGACATTCACTGACTGCACTATCACTGCGACTCTGGCAGACTACTGAGCATGAATGGAAGTCCCGCGCCTGTTTGCAGCCACAACTCCTACTCCCCACCAATAGATTCACAAGCGTGACTACCTACAACCGTGTGGTACAAGGGGATGAGGACTACCCTCTTGCGCAAAAGAGAAGATATACACTGGAAACTGGTTCCGAAATTAACACACGAAAATTTTCCATCAAATATTACTCGATTAATTCAAGCTATAAGAAGATGATGGATCAAAGCCTCGAAGATTAATAAACGCACCAGTAACCTTAGTTTTACAAATTGAAATTTATTTAATTATTCTTGTTGAAAACATTGACAAAACAGAATCGTTTGCCTCGAGCGACGATCCTTTGTATTTAAATTGAAGCAGACGTTTTATTATCGGAATAGCAAATAGTGAATATCGAACGAACCTTGTTGTAAATGCATAAACATTTATGTGAACTTTGGAGTTTAACGCGGATTTACGCTGTACAAAAACATGTCTGAAACGCCAATAATATTTTTGACCACACGAACGTGATCAGAAACAGATTTTTCTTGTCGATTTGTTTGTTGCAATACAATTTGCTGTACTTATCTTTCACTTTAATTGCTATAATCCAAAAAGTATAAATGTTCTCCGAATCAGATAATTAACTAATTTATTTTATTTATTTAAATTAGTAATTATATTTCATTATTCAGATTTCTTCCTTTTGTCGTAATTCATTAAGATAAAAAAATAATAAGAAAGAAATATGACCACTAGATTCATTGTGTTAAACTTTTATGCATGATGGAATTTTGTCCATAATTTTTCAAAAGTTCAATTTTAAAATGTAATTAATAAAGTCTGTTTTCTAATTTGATTATAAAACGATTTCTTTGGAGAAATATCAATAATATTCATTGATTTCATGATGATTTTGGCGAAACAGTACGTAACGATCAATACACATATTATCTTATCTTTCGAGAATAACATGTAAAGGCCAATACCCCTTTGTTGTACGATAAAAAGACGATAACTCAAAATCTTTTTCGATTATAATTTATAAATGTAACAACAACTTTCGGTTGAAAGATCCTGCAGTTTCGTACCGTTAAAAAGAACGTTGCAGACCGTGGAAAATGCTGTAAAGCGCATTCCTCGTACATAATAATGTTCCCAAAACTCTCACGTTTTAGATTTTCAGCAACTTTCTTCAAAAACCAACCAACATTTTTTCGTCCGTTCTACAAAAGCTTAATTAAAAACGAAACTTTTAGTTAATAGACAACGACAGAATTCGCGTGTAACATTTAATGAGTTTTTAAAAGCTGCAAGAAAAGTTATAGATAAGAGTAGACGACGTGACAAAGGAAAAGAAATAAAAAATGTTTTTAATTGAAATTAATAAACATATTTGTTTTAATAAGTTTTAATCTCTTTTACAAAACATATTGGTTTTTATTCTTTTCCTCGATCCTTCATTGCTTTGTAATGACCTGCATACGAAACGTTGCATTTGACACGTCCTTCCTTCGAAATGTGTTTACCATTTTACCAACTAGCATTGAAAAAGGATAATGCGTTTCGCAAATATCTTGCACGCACTTTTTCCAATTACCGAAGTCCTACTTACAGATTTAAAATCAATAAACAATGTTGTCTAAATATTGAATAACAATAATATTTAGACAAATTTAAATAGATTTGCACAGAGTTCGTTTCTTCAAATTCTAAAAACTCTAATGTATTCGGAATTTTAGGTAGTTTGTTAATTGCTACTTTCTACCTTTACTCGAAGATCTCACAAATTATTTAATAGAAAAAAGATACCTCAAGTATATATTTAATGATTTTTTAATTTTCTCATGTAAAATTAAGTATAATTCTATGATACTAATATATTCATAAGAAATACTAGTTATACATGAAGTTGTGATTTTGAAAAAAATATAAATGCAATTTAAGTAGACGACTTCTTAATTATTTAATAGAAAAAAATAGAATGACTTTGGGAATATTTTTTGATCATTTTTCATAAAATGTTCATTCTTTTGAAACGTATAATAGCATCAACGCCCTTCATACAATGATCTTGTTAATCTGTTATATAATTCATACGAGGAGGGGTCTTTCGTTTGCGGAGGGTGATTTAAATTTATTTAATACACTATTTTTGTCTTTTAATTCAAACATATTTCTTAATCTTATATTTTATTTATATACCAATCTTAGCTAATAAATAACGAATAACAATCATTAATATATAGAATAAATTTAGTATAGTGCTACTATATTTATTATTGGTATCGGTGGCAATCGCAAGCCCGACAACCGAAATCCCGACGATCGAAATCCCGACAGTGTCTTTTATTATTATAAATTTCTACAATAACATTTTTATGGTAGTCGGGATTTCGATATAGTCGAGATTTTGACATAGTCGGGATTTCAAGCGTTGGGATTTAAATACAGCCGGGATTTCGAACGTCGGGATTTCAATAGACGGTCTTTCGGTTGTCGGTCTTGCGATATAGACCCATTGGTTATATATGGATGGAACTGTTTGAATAATGTAACGGAAGTAGCTGGGATGAAGATGTTTATCACGTGAGACTGTGATAGCAGTGGATCAGCACAAAGGTGGTATCTATGAACTAATACGACTTAGATTACGCACTTTTTTAAAACGTTACTTTATTTGCTTAATGTCAACAACATAACATGTAAGATCTGAAATGCTCTGACTTTATTCTGATATGTTGATATACAATAGGTTAAAATGGATTACAATGAATACTAGCGCCGTGTATTCAATTATGTACGTGTCTAGTTGAATGATTTTTGGGGTGCCGTTGAACTGCAGGGTGACAGACAGCATGCGAGCCACCCCCATTAGAATGTAAACACAATGAGCAACCCCACGTGCCGTGGAAATAACCGTTACTGAACTTGATTGCTCGTAGATTCAAGTAGAAACAAATAAATAATCAAAAAGTTAAACTGAAATCGTCTACAGAACAATGGATTGCTGCCTATCGACTTGCGGAAGTTGCTAAAGATAACACGACCTTAATCTGAGCGAACCATGCTTGTTTTCTAATCGGCGACGGGAAGTCAGTTGAATAAACAATGTCCGGGATTGTTCGGGATTTGGGAAATTTGTAAATAAACCGACACATGGGCACAGGCCGACTTGGAGCTATGGGAGCGGAACGGGCGCATGGGAAGATGTTGGATAAATTGTTTTCCGATGCGAAAATGTGCAGAAGAAAAAGAATGGAAATATGAAAATGGGAACGCAACACACTTCTCTTCTGTTCATTTATATTTTCTTTTCACATGCATGTAATTCATTAGCAACTATTATTACTTCAAGCTCTGTTTCGGACACAGCTCTGTTTCATTGTCAACCTCGTTTCTATTTTTTAGGTCTGTTGTTGTTGCAGTGGTAATTTAATAACACTTCGTGAAACGTATGAATATAACATTTTATGCTGCAGATGAGGTAAATTTTAATGTGGGGACACGCGCCGGCCGCACCCCGACCAGGGGTTATTACCCCTGTACACGCGGCGTCGCGACGCCCCGCTGCGCACTGTACTACACCCCAGCGCATATTAATTACCTTCCGGTGACCAAGTAAACAAAGGCGCAAAACTAATCTATCGAATTATTCAATTTGCACATCAACGTTTCCATTCATTCCTAAATTTAGCCATTACACAAGGAAGTGCAATTTTTTCTCAGTAGGAAAAACAAAATTCTTCATTAACATAAATATTACAGCTGCTGTATTGCTAACAACGCAACGATATTTTTATACTAACAACTAAGTAATCGTCACTAATTGCTATCGTGCACGGAAATTATGCCAACGTCCATCGTTAATTTTTCGGTGGAAAAAACGTTAATAAACATGCCTCATTATAATAGAATAACGTTCCAAAACCATTATAATCCATGGCATATGAAAAATACATAGATGCGCTGTCGAGAAGCAGCGCACATTTGTCTGCAAATTACCATATTAAACTTGACTGATGGTCTCCATCTTCCGCTACATATTTCCGCAGAACGAGCCATTTTAGACAACTGCTCAGTATTACTACGTACACACCAATTTATAACATCAAATACACATTGTCTACACCATAATCTTGAATTTTCATGTCTGCTACAAAAGATAGCACAATGGTAAATATTTAATATTTCCTATGCACTTATCCTAACGTATCTATTAATATTTGACATTGCAAATGTTCAATCTCCCTCTTATCACAATTTATGAGCAATGCATGATATACCGTTAACATATCAACCAATAATATTTTCATTCGATTTGAAGCTTCACATTGTAAAATACTGCACGATTTGGATTAATTTATATTATTAAATTCGAATCAATTGTTGTTTTTTTTTTAATATTTCAAATTTCATTCAATATGTAAATCGAATACACAAAAGCCTATTGTCCAAAGTGTGCGGCACAATTGAAGCGCGAATCGCATGTAATGAATTATACATTTATTAATATTATATGAAATTAATCACTCAACGCGATAGTAAAATTCGTTTCGTTCCCTGCAGATTCATACACGTTTACATAACTATGTGCATTTATTAAGGAAACATGAAATACGCTATTTGCGTAATGCATTCCCGTCGGAGATTCCTCTGGGCACACGAAACGGGAAAAATACTACTGCAAGGATTACGAATGTGATTTTTGCAGCATCTCCATTTTCATATTATACCACTTCATGCGGAAACATATTCAGTTACTTTGTTTCATTTACTAATTATTTCTTTCATAATATTATTTATAAAGAAATTTGTGTACCTTTATGTAATACTTTTAATATATTAGTTTAAAATTTAGTACAATTTTTTTTTAATAAAAAAATCGGAAATTGGAAACAATACTCATTTAACCGAAAATTTAAGCGTCATTTTGCGCCAATTCATAATAACGCTTATTAATTGCTGATTTTACCTTATAGTTACCTCACTGTAAATATGGGTTCATTTTACGCCGATTCGATTTCCGACGGCTTTTGTAGGAACGTAACCCCGGCGTAAAACGACGTTTACCTGTATTCTTCGAAAATTCCATAAGTAAAGAATGGTGACTGTTTAATCACGGTTTCCTGAATTCAATTAACCTATGTAAATATTGGCGGAAGTAATTATTTATAGTCTGCTACAAACTAGAGGTAGTACCTACCTTTGCTGCCAAGTGTTAGTCTGTGTGATATCAGACAAATATCAACCATCCGAGTTTCGCGTACTGCTTAACTCTATCAATTTTTAAACATAAATTTCCTATTTGATGGTAAGCAAGAGCGCACCCAATGACTAATTTACGACTTTAGTCACTATTTTATCAGAGTATTAAAAGTGTAAAAGGTGTTAAATCATCAACAGTTGCGGTCAGCCGTGGAACGTGAACTGGACGATTTATTCCCTTCCAGATTTACAATCTTAGATATTAGAAAAGGACAACATAGTGTGGACCATAATTTACTCTCCAAGTGCACTCTATAAAGTGATTTATGGCTTGAACTTATACAACGCCATAAAATAAACTCCAGACTTGATATACGAGAAAATAAAACAGGATCCTCTGCATCAATCAAACACGTGAGTATTAAATGCTCATACTATCTGGGGAACCCCCTACTATCGATCTTCATAGCAAATTCGAGGTAGACAACCAACATAGCACTCGTGTAATATAGTATAAACAGTTCAAAGAGTTAGCTAAACAGATAAAATGCTTAACTGCACTACTTTTTTGCAACATATTTTTATAGAAACGAGACATAACAAGTAAAAAATCTATAATCATATTATGTCAACAATACACTCCATGATAATAATACATTCAATCTAATTTAAATGCACATAATCTTATCAATGCAATAATGTATGTTTCAATTGTCAACAAATCCTGTAGTTTCTCACCTGAATTTCCAATAGCAATTCTGTTTTCCTCCTCCTTATGTCAATCAAGATTTTTTGCTGCTCTTGAGTAAGTTCTACAAATAAAAAAATATCATTAACTGTGTTTCTTATAAGAATTTTCATTTATCATCAACAGTAAAGCATAATTGTCTCCAGTTACATATTATTACCGTTTTTCTTTGCTGGAAATGATTGGGTAGGCTAATTATAATATTATTATATTGCTTGTTACTATTCATAGCATGTACAATTCATGACATAATAATAACAAAATGGAATATATATGTGTGTGAATTAATGAATTGGATAATAGGTAGTTAGTGGAAGGACATATATGGTCCAATTAAAAAAGGAAACTAATAATAACAGTAAATTCAAGTGCCATAACCTCAAACAGTTTGTATCCAAAATAGGATAATAGCATCCTTTCTACTGGGATCGTGGACGGTTTCCGAGATACGTATATGCTCTTGTTTACTAGATGTTAGGAATTAAAGGGGCTATGTTTTGTAAACAAACGGTGCTTTGCATCGATGGAAACAGCTGATGTTTGGTCCATTGCTTACCGATGTTGAACGTGTCGATGTGTGTCGCGGTGCCCATGGTGTACACCGTTTCCTTTAGCATGCTTCCATGTGGGCACCAGGCTTATTCGAAATCATCGGAACTGGTGGAACGAAGAATGCAGTCCAATTCTCGTAACCAAAAAAAAATATAGCGTAACAACAACAAAACGAACTCTCACAAAAACAATCCACAGTGACAGCAAACGGCTGCCATTTTGTAGCGCTCAAATGATACTAGCGCCAAAGTTTCAAACTTTGGACGCGACACGCATGACCGCTTCTTGCACCTGTGACTATCAAAATCTTTACAACCGTGTACTAGCAATATTTCAAAAGATTCTGATTACTTTAATACTGTATTCTTTAATAGCAAAAATCATATGTTGATAATACTAGAAATCATATGTATTTAGGAATAATTGGAGAACATAGGTATTGTCTTTTAAACACAAAAATGTATGTTTTGTCTTGATTATTCTTTACAACAATGATATGTCATGATATATTTATATACATCCATATTTGTATCATGATTATCTACCATTATTTAAGCTGATATTGCATTTTATTAAATGTTACATAAAAATTATTATATCAGATTTTGTTATTTACTATGATTCATTGGATACTTTTGTCTATCCAATGGTCAATTGATAGTTTGAATGTTTACAATTATTTATTTATTTCATCCTATTAGAAGATTTCAAAAAATATTACAATTATTATTGTAGCAGTCTGTCCACCATTATTGCCAATTAAATTCTCAGTGACGTTTATGTATATTTTTTTCTTTCAGTTGAAATTCCCGTGTCCTTCCAATAATAGAATAAAAACGATCTCAATAATGAGTACCGCCGTAATTATCGATGCCACCAGTATGTAAGCTCAGTAATAGTAATCTGAATCATCATCACTATCATTGAGCACCGTTCAAAGTGAAGAATTGCCAGAAGATTGCCGCGAAAATGCTGCGAACGGAGGAGGCGGAGGATAGCAACATGCAGATGATAGTCATGGGGTTGGTAGCGACTCTGCTGAGTCCGTTCTTCGTGTTCCTCTACCTGGTGCACATGATCTTCCGATGTGCATCTATGAGCGTCACCGTGCTCAGCATCATCGTGATGGTGGTGATCGGTCTCCCGGTGCTAACAATCCTCCGATGGGTATATTCCATCTACAACATGATATATAAACTGTTGCTCTGCTTCTATTTATCTGCACGGACCAACGCAGTATATGCCCGGAAAGTCACGTCAAATCTCTTCCAGCGTCAAGCCATACGATAACAATTATTTTTTTATCTTACGTATAATATAGAGTTTTTTTTGTATTTCCGTTTTTCTTTTGGTTCTTAATGTAGTTATCACTTTGATAAATAAACGTATATATTTTTCTACATTAAATTGTATACGTTTCTTTCAAAAGTCTCAATAAACAATATTTAATTGATAAATAAGCGAGGGTACGAGCCGGCGCATTATGTAAGTGAGGACAGAATCCAAACACAGCAACTGGCGCATGTGCGCGCTTTTTAATACGAATCAATAACACACAGTCCACGAAGAACATACACTGTTTTCCAACAGTTCCAACATGTATACAAATATAACCTTCCTGGCTTCCTGAATTTTGCATTGCTGAGGAGACATCGTTATGTAAACATCACTGTGGACATTTACAGAAGGTAGCTAATTCACATTAATACGTTTTTAAACCGGACGACGACACTGCACGACCACTAAATTCGTTCGTTCTCTTAAAAATAGAACTCGACTATTATTCCAATTATGTAACTCAAAATGTTTTTGCGGTGTATAAAGTTGACGTGCTGATATTTATTGTGTAAACACAAAACTTATGTTTACTTAAACAATGAAATTTTATTCATTTTTTGTTTTGTCCTTACAGAAAATATGCGAATTCACTTTAAGAGCGTGTTCGCAATAGTGACATCGCTTATATTGACGGCGTTGCTGTTCGATGATATTAATCGTACAGTCAATGATATTGGAACGCAGATTTATTATTACATGCACCCGGAGAAGAGCATTTACTGCTATGAAGGAGGCGACTCTAATCTGCCGAAACTCACGGACATGGATGTCAGGAAAGGAAAGTCGATTTTCCTGCACGAAACTTCTTGCAGATCTGCTGAAAATGGGAAAATCACAATACTTCCGCGGCAAGCGTGTGCTGTGGAATCAGCGGCTCGATTGAATCCGAATCTCGATGTCTACTTAAGCTTCTCATCATCCGGCGATTTAAAATCTGAAGGCAGCCAAAGCGACCGCATGCTTCTCAAGCTTTTAGAGTATCCCAACTTGAAGATCGTCCACCTGGACTATGCAAATTATACGAAAAACACTCCCCTTCAGAATATCTACAGCAACGGGTACCTGGCAAAAAGCAGTTACGCTCAATCCCATGCCAGCGACATACTAAGATATTTGACTCTGTACAAATACGGAGGAATCTACTTGGATATGGATGTAGTTGTCATTAAGTCGCTGGAGAATTTGAGCCCGAATTATGCTGGCATCGAAAGTATACGTAATGTGGCTGCGGGTGTTCTGAGCTTGGATTATACGGGCGTTGGACACGACCACGCTAAGAACTGCGTATTCGACTTGATGGATAACTTCGATCGGCATTCTTGGGGTGAGAATGGGCCAGGTGTTATTACAAGGTAAGCTCAACTCCAAAAATAGATCAACATATTTGTTGACTCTGATATTTTTTCAGGCTACTGAGGAAGTTGTGCAACGTTCAATTAGGAAAGGACATGGTGCAGAAGGCGTGCGGTAATTTCACCGTTTATCCCCCCTACATGTTTTACCCCATTCCGTGGGGGGACTGGAAGATGTATTTCGAGCCAAATAAATCGTCGGAAGTAAGTAAATTAACCAAAGACTCGTATGTGCTGCACGTTTGGAACAAGCACAGCGAGCAAGAGTTAATCTCTAAGAATTCGCAAGCGCCGTACACAGAGTACGCACGCGAATATTGTCCAAAGATATTCAAAGAATGTGATAACTACTTCTAAATTAAACTAGTCATCACTGGTTCGCCATATTTTTGCAATAATGTAAATAATAATAATAATTATAGGTTTAAGCAAATAAAAATTGTTCAAATCAAAATCGGCGGATAGTCAACCGCTGCTGAGAGTACAAACAAAGTTTTATAATTGTAAGTGAAAATAACTTGTTTTTTTTTACTAAATAAATATTGTTTACAAATATATTCATTCTTCCATTATTTAACACAATTTTTTTGAAATATAACTCTAAATCTTCTTTCGAATAAGAAATACTTCAGTACTAAGAAATCACATAACTATGACACATAAACAATAACGTATTTATCGTTAATGCACTAACAAATCCTTGAAAATTGTTCGACATATTTCTGCAGTGACATAGGTCGAAACTTAAATACATTACTATAAACACACAACTCAACAATAGTACACTTATATCTAAATTATTTCAAGTGGAATTTATTGAAATTACTGTGTGGACAAATGTATACACTCGTTCTTATATAATTTGAAACATTCGTATCCGAATACTCATGAAAAATACTATAAAAAGGATTCATTTTAAGGAATATTGAAAACATATTTTGGTTTATAAATAAATAATTCATTTACATATCACCACGAGATAACATATATTGTATACATGTCAATTGACATTAAGCAAGCTGGATTGTCTCGTTTCATATTGCGATTGATTGGATAGCCGAAATGAATGTGACACAACCCGATTAAGCTATTAACACAGATGAGTGCATAACAAACAATTTGTGCAAACTCTTTATTGATCATTTCAATTCAATCCATTTAAAGCGTAGCGCTGAAACAATTTCACAACAATTGAACAATTGCATTTGTTTTTTCAAGGACGTTGTTTTCCATGCATTATTATTATTATTACATAAGAAGCGTCATTGGCAATTAACTATTTTGCAAAATAAAATTATTATTATCATTATTAGCAGAAGTAAAATTAATTGTGAGATGGTTTTTCCCATAACCGGAGATTGAGACAATTTGCGAAAATTAATGGATTTTTAATTATCATTCATAAAAAAATCTTTCTGTTTTTATTAGATTTGGTTTGATTAAGATAAGATGTATATAAGATGAGTTTTACGTAGGGGATATTTCTTGATGCACAACAGAGTAATACAATATGTATGAGAAGTTGTGTGAAATAGGACTCCTTTAAATCCATACGTAACGGAACCATATAATATATTCAACAGTTGCAAATTTTATAAATTGCAAGCATTTAAGTAGCAGACAATTATTGCTGGAAATAATTAAGCAATTATTTTTTTGTATTTTAATATAACATATTTTTGTTAGTAAAAATTGGCATTAGAATAAGTAAACTTTTAGAATTGGTCCACGTGTCCAAATGTGAAATTGTATATATATATATCTAAAAGTATTTATAAGCGTGATTCGCGTATCCTATAAAATGCGATTTGATAATGCATTATGAGTATTTATGTGCATCCCGATAAGCGGTTATTGTCGGGGTCGGTAGGTCTCAATTATCGGCCTGATTTGTCGATGTTACAAAACAGTTGCCGGAAAGTCTTCACAGACTCAGACACAAGCTCCAAAAGAAATGGCAACGAAGAGAGAGTTCATCTACACGACACTCGTGTTTCTACTAACAGCAACATGCTTGGCTCCTCTCATTTTCTTCATTTATCTAGGTGAGCATAACACATTAACAATATTCAGACGTGATCCAAGTACTTTCCTTCCAGCTATTCAGGTAGTTCGGTATTTTTGGTACAGTTTCGTCTGCTTCATGCATCCGGAAGTACAAGTTATCAAGGAAACTTCGTTAAGATCGTTGGTGGACACGCAGAGGAATCAAGGGATCATAGCTGTCCTGCAAACGATCAAAGGAGAGCCAAATTATGAAGCTGTCAAACGACATTTAGAGGTAACATTTGCTTGTCAATTTATTGTTTCATTGAATTGTATTCATTTGTAGAATCTGATCGAACGTACGGATAAATTCGGAAACTTGGTTTTTCCGAACTTGAGACAATGCTTGGTGAAGAAGTACGGACTGCACGCTTGGCAGGAATGCCAATTCCAGTTGGACCAGCATTTAATCATAGCTCCAAATACCTTTAGGGGCCGCATATTGTCTAATTATAATATACAAGTAATTGGTTACGATCAGCGAACTGCTTCAATTAAACTATGCACAATTTTAGGAATGCGTTAGCGAAACCGTTTCCAAATACATTCCCGTAGGAATCTCACCATGGCAATTGGTGATTATTCCATCAACTGCCCATCAGCATTACATCCTACTCAAAATCCACCATATGCTTCTTACGGACACTCTGGGAGTTGCAGAAATGTTCCCACTTTCGCCAGTAACAAGAACGAATATACTGTAAGTCTCAAATCAATTTAAATAATCTCACAGATGAATAATTTAATTTTAGACCTTCAAAATCTATATTGAGAAATGTGTTTAAAACACCCGAATACATTTCGACTTTGATGGAACGTCTTCTGGAAGATTTCAACAATCTTTGGAATGAGTTCATCGCTACTTACGATCCTCTGGAGAGACCTGAATTAACTAAATCTACTCCGAATTTAGTTTACTTCACGGCTGCAACAGCGATTTCAATGGTTTCAGCATGGAAAGAGTTCAAGAAAAATTATAAGATTATAAAAAGCGATTTAATATCACAACTGCGATTCTTATATTACCTAATCAAAAAGGAATTCGCAAGAAGATCTATAGGGGCTTACTATTTGTTAAAGAGCGTTTACGAAACGTTCCATCCGCGCACTATATTAGCTTTAGCGATGAAATTCAGTTGGAGGTTCTTCTTGGCTTTTACAATTAGGATTCCTAAACGCTTTTACGATGAACTTAGAGCACTCCACTCCTGCTTGACTTTACAATACTGCGGTTATCCCAATACAACCGTTGGGTTCATTTACAATTACGTCCCGCTGTTTTACCACTCTTTGAAGGAGGCATTATATTATTTGAGTTTTGTAGTGCAGACGCCGAAAAACGTTTACGAAGAACTGACCAGTTCTAAGGATTCTATCGAAACTGTGACGCTGTGTGGAAGAAAGATGGTTTCATGGTCTGATCCGGTTGACAGTGATTTCATTTCGAAGTTGGCTCAAAAGCTTGGTGTTAGTGAAACGGAAATTCTACTTACTTTGATGAGTGTCGGAATCGCTAGATATCTGAAGCAAGTCAAGGATTTATCGCCGAAAACGATTTCGGTGACGGCGAGGAACATACATTCCGATTACATTTTCTGCCCAGGAAGAAAATGCGAAACTATTGGTGGTGTCATGTGCATTGATCTCCCTATACCTGTTAATAGTAATAAAGGAGATATCCTGGATCATCTTGCTGTGATCAGGAAGAACGTGCAGAGATCATTGGATACTCAGAAAGTCACGTACCTTTTGAGCATATTGCAGACCAGGTACGCAACGATTTCTAAGCTTTTACCGTCGACTCTTGTTGGAGTTTTCTTGAGAGGCCTTTCTTTGAAATACTCAGTCTCTTTCACGGAACTCACGGCTACTCAACCCAATATTAGTCAGAAAACCAACTGGGGACAGGAAATTATTTCTTCTATATATTGGACACCTCCACAAGCAAATATAAGTGAGTCTCCAAATTAATTGAAATATAAATTAAAATAACTAATTTTGTCCATTTTTGCAGGTATCTCTCTTTGCGTCAATCAGTTTGGCAATCAAACTGTTCTTGGAGTTATGTGTGACGCTCAAATCGCTCCACATCATCCGGCTTTGGCTAGAGGATTTCCTAAAGATTTATCAGAGTTAGCCAATGTTGCAGGTCTACAGATGTAAAATGTCGCCAATTTACTTCAATTCTTACTTTCAATGAGAGATCGTGTAAAGAGATATTTATGTGTCATGTATGTTGATGTATATTTCTTGTATTGATTTTGTCCCACACCCTTGAATATGAAATGCTAAAATCTAAAAATAAAAGCAGAAAATCTATAAAGCTGCTGTCCACAATTCTCATGAAATGATTACGTTCACAAAAATATAAATCCTCCAACTGAAACTACAATAAGAAAATGTACATTGATATTTCATTAAAGTTTTTATTATCAAGAATTAAACAAAAATGGGAAATACATTAAATTCACAAAAGAAAGACAAAAGATGAAAAATATTTTATTATTTATGTAAACTTTATATTATTTTATTTACAATTGAGTTTCTAATTAATAAATTGAGATTAGCTTATATAAATGTATAATATTTAACAATTTGCATTATTGTCTATCTTCTATAAAAAAAATGCAACAATTTGCAAATTTTATTAGATTCAATGAATTCTATTGTAGACATAGATAAACGAATTATATTGCCACAGACTCAGTGGTGCCGCAATATATACTATACGCTTGTTATAGCGAGTAGATACCAGTGCTTCCCAAACTTGAATATATTTCACTTCATTTTTTCCATATACTCAAGTCAGAATTCGATTAATTATATAATGAAAAACGAGAAAAGATAGGAATTTTTACAGAAATTCTCTTCGTTTTACTAGATATATAGGAACAACTATTTCCAACTATGAAGACAAAATTTTAGTTTACCTGGATTTTTTCTATCCATTGGGGATTCATGAATAACGGTTTGTAAATGGACCGAGCAAAATTTGAAATTTTCCATGCATTTCTATAGAAATTCATGCTTGTGTAAGATACATTTTTATGCGATATTGATGAGATATAACATATTTTGATACATTTAATAACAAATGTTACATATATTTTTGCGATTGAATGTTCGTCATAAGTATATCAAAAATATTTGTTACTCATTCATTTTTGTTTTCAATTTCGTAATAACCTTGGCATTTATTAAATCATTAAACCGAGACTCCGTATCAGACCAAACGACTTTGTAATCTATCAATACTTTTGATTTATTGAAAATTCTATAAAATACTTTAAGAGCACAATAGGTGGCAATTATAATAATTGCAAGTAAACTCATTTAAAGAATAGATTTTGTTAGGTATAAATAGAAGTGGCTTATTCAGAAATTATTTATAGAAAATTAATCAATAAAAAACGCAATTTACCAAAATTTATATGTAATAATTACTTTGTAATTATCACGTAAGTTGTATTAGAGTCACAAGTTTTAAATTAAAAGGTTTCAATAGACAACGTGATACTTGCCAAATACTTATCAATAATCAGTTTGTACTTTTGCGTAATGGTTATCTAAGTATGTTTGTCAATTACTTGGCAAGTATCCAGTAGTGCGTAATCAGTTTTATATAAGAATTGTATTTGACCATGATAAGAATATACAAAGTAGGATATTGTGGATTATCATCTTACCAAATGGCGTAGTGAATGAAGTAGAATGTAAACAAATCGTGGTAGTAAGTAAACAAAACTTTACGTTAAGTAAACAAATCTTTCAAATAATGCTAGTCGTTCGTTGCCCCTTTTTTAATTTTCTGAAAATGTGACATCTGTCAACCAATTAACATACATTGTGTAATTCTATCAAAATAATTGAAAGTGTTGTTCCTCCAAATAAGTCTATTCGTAAGTTGAAAATTAGCAGTTTAAAAGGTTTGGATTGACGTAAATATTTTGAAAACATTTTTAACAGAAATATATTATTTCCATATAATTTTCAAATGATTACAAAGCGTCTTTACAAATCATCATGTTTCTTAAATACAACTATGTTTATCTCTAATTTGATAAATGCAATTATATAATAAATTATATTTGAGATTTGATTGGATGCAATCTTAATAGGCGTGACATCTGAAAACTGTAAACCAATGGAAACGTCTTAATTTTCAAAATAATTTTGAAATCCTCGAAGCTTAGTGGATCGTAAAAATTGGATAGTTTGCCGGTAGGTGTAGCCGGAGGATAAGTTTGCACCGGTCGAACAGTTGATTATAGTTAGTAGAGTGGGTGCAACCGTTTTGTGTCCGCTGGCCATCTTGACTAGCCCCCCACGACGGCGGTCCTGGCACATTTGAATGACGTTTTATCGTTAATGTGAGGCGCTTCGAACTCATTCGAGTCTCGACCTACGGAGCAGGCAACACGCGAACCACCGCGCAATTTCAAAATACTCGTTGCGCGCGGTTTTTCCTCGAAGATAGATCAATAAATATATCGCTTGTGCGAATTCGCGTGCGCCGCCGCCCAAAAGTACTTCTTTTTTTCGACATAAATATACGAACCACCAAGACGAACACTTATGTACGAAAAAAAAATTAAAAATATTAAAGCAACAACAAAACCTAGGAACTAATCAATATTTGAAGGGTAACAATTTTCTTCGATCGAATTCCATCCAACAGACACCGGTGAGTATTTCCAAAATGTTTACAAACTTTAAAGCCTGTTAGATCTCAGATGTTTTGCTTTGTTCCTCTCTGTGTATACACAAGTTCTAGGTCCCAGAGAGCAGCTCTGCAAAGCAAGGATGAACTATTTTTAGTCCTTCTCTGAATCGAAAGCGCTTTCGCGTACAATTTTTCATCAGTGCCAACAGCAATTGCGAAATTTTTCATCCTACACCCTTTTATGTAACAACTTTTGAGTAGTAGCCGTATCTGCCATCCAGAGCATCTTTATCTCGTACCCATTGATTTTATTGACATTAGGCTTAAGCTATTCAAATTCGCGATAAAAAAAAACGATCGCAATGTTTAGTTATTAGAATCAAACTTTCACCGCTGCAGCCAGATTTCTCTCGGTGCAACAGCTTACCTTTCAATGAATTCCTAGAGTTGCATAACGAGCGCAATAAGTGCAGTGTTTGTATTTTTTTTTAAATTATTTGAGAGACAGCATCAAAATTACGTCAAGCGAAAAAGCGATTCGAACCGCTTCTTGTGTATGTTTTCGTCTCAATGTTTTTTTTTTAAATCAATCGCTCCAAAAAAACCGCTTCTGTTTACTTTTCCTCTTTTTCTTCTTCTACACTTTGCCTTTTATCGAAGCCGAACTTCAGATTACAATGATACTAATGCACCAGTTGAGAATACGCACTTAAATATATGAATAATAGAGGACTCGTGCTATTTGTCAACTAATCTTATCGCTCTATGAATTAGATAGTAATATCGTATGAAAAATGAACCGGATTGGTGTTGTTTCTTTCGAGGTGGTTTCTGTAGTTCTGTTTTGTTTTTCGTCAGGGACGCCGGAACCGTAAACCATGTCCAATAACCTTAGGTCAGTGCACAGATCCAAAATAAACAAATGCGAAAGGCGAGATTATTTGTGCTGAGCTCCTTACCATATTCGATTTCGCTTACGTCCAGTCCAGAACGATGGGTGGTTATATATACATATATATATATAATTTTTAGTTTGTTTTAATTGCAATGGGATTATGGGAAGTCGTTTATGTTATCCGCTCGAATTCGAGTTATTATTAACTCGGAACAATAATACGTTCAAGCTAATAATAACCTCTTCGCTCTGCCTTCAATATTATTATTAATAATTATTTATCTATTGTTTACATTAGCAGAACCGTAATGAATATATTTGCTAAAAAAAAAGTTGAAACCTTGAATTTATTTTCCAAGCATCATACCGAAAAAATAGTATGGATTTTCAACTTTCCAATAAACAAAATAATTTAACATTCTTTATAATTAACTTCAATTTAGTAATTAACACACGGACATTTCCAATTCAATTTTTATAATAACATGAATTTAATTTATTTTAAATAAGTTTCAGTAAATTTATTGTATATTTTAAAAATTAAACAAAATTTATGTAATCTGAATAGCGCAAAATTCACGTATTCCGTAAATCTAGTTAATTTAATTCATTTATTAAAACTTACGTTTTTTTTTTGTTATCTGAATTTTAAATTTATTGTTTTTTGTGAAGGCCATATGATTTTTTATTTATTGTTAAATAATTGTATACCGAAATTATTAACAGATTGTTAAGTGTTTGTACAATGCTACACTTTTGTTTATAATTTAATTTCCTGATCAAACCAGTTTTGCACAGAATTTAACAGTGTGCTAATAAATTGTAGTGCAATAAAATAAAATTTATCACTCATTCAATTTACAAAGATTATTATCATAAATTTTAATTATTAAACTGGAAGTCTTTAATTTTTGATTTAAAAAAAAACACTACATTCTTTACAAAAAGAAAGTTATAAACTAAAGTTTTCCTTTCCTAGAATTACCTTCAAAATGAAATTCTCGTTTTCATTTAGGCAACATTTTTAAAGTACATTAACTTCGACATTAGTATCACTCGAGTCAAGGATAATTTCATAAGTTCCAATACAAATGTGATTAAATTATAAACATGTAGAAATGAAGGTCTAAACTACCTAAACGATTGAGTTAAAATTATCACGTTATTTGAACCATTTGAGGATCATATTCCAATTACAAATGAAGCTACAAATATGAACGCATATGATGATTGTATTTATTTTCAAGAATATTTCTTCGGGTATCATTTTTTAAACAGATTTACACCGTTTACATTCAGATACGAGAGACAATTACAATATTTGCTTTTTTTTTCTGCTGTTGTTGTTCGCGAGTTCGTTAAACTTTGCGCATCAAATTACTATTGTTTCGTGTTCTATTTGCCACATTTTCCAAACAAAATTATTACTTTAATGAAATTAGGCTATGTTTAGAATTGCAACGGACAATGCATACGCCACTCGAGATAATTTTATCGATGCGATACGGTGTAACAAACGTACTTTCTAATAATGTAATTAACCCTTCGGACTTAATACAAGCTTCCTGAATGCACATATGAATTACGGATTTGATTGATAATTGCATGTAGATTGTGGACGTAGAGAAAGTTCTCACTGCAATGATCAATGCTTTCCTAGACGTTATGTGACTTAAGACAAGTATTACGTGCATTACCAATATTGATATAGCGTAATTGTTATTAGCTCATGATTTAACGACGATTTTGTGCATCGAAATTGAATTAACATCGGTTTACGTATCAAAATTAAATGAACTGGTAAACATGAAATGGAAAAGTTTTGCTTTTCTCGCGATTTTTTCCCCCTAGTCGTTTCGTAACGATCGTTTCGCACGGAGCCCACATAAAATTCATTGCAAATAAGTATTGCGGTGTGATGCGTTCGCTCCACTTTCCTAAAAATAAAAACCGGGTCCGTTCGAATATAACCAAATGCAAAGGTCCTCCAAAGGGAGAAACAAACATCGATACAGAAATTGTTTACTTCCCCCTTTGGATGACCTTTGCATTTGGTTCTGGATCGAGAGGAAAACACGGATACCTTGGCCACATTCCAAAAGACCCAAAATGAATGTGACGTCGAAAATACGCAAATGATGGAAAAATATACCGGCCGACGACAATATTTATTGCGTACGCGGAGATTATTTCTGTTTCGAACGTAAAGTATTCGGGTCTCGGAAAGTATTGCGAACAGAGCGAAATGTGGAACTATTGTTCGTATGAGGTCAAGATTAATACATCTTATCTCACCTAGAGATAAATAATTCATTCATTGAGACACTATAATTAGTATCGGAGCGTGTAAAATTTAATCCGCGTGGTCTCATCTTTTGCATAAGCCAAGTAAATATGTTCAGATTTTAAAGCGCAAATGTTAATCTCTCATTCTTGTACGAGAAATCCAGTTTAGTCTCGTTTTTTTTATTGTGGTTATACGAGGATTCCTTTTATCGCTAATCTATATTAAATAATGTTAAATAACTTTCTTATTATTGCGTCTATTATATTACTGAAACTAAATCCTCTTAGCAAATAAACTAAATATTATCTAATTATTCGTGAAACAAAGATTTGTTTTCAAAATATAGTTAAAAGGCATTAATAACTTTATGATCGTAACCAGTTGTGGTTAATTTCTTAGTTTTCCAGCTAACCATTACAAATGTGACTATATCATAAACATAAAGGAATGAAGTTTTAAATTACCTCTGCAATTGAGGTATTCAGAAAGTATTTACTCAAATTATCACGTTACCAAACGACCATTACCAATTGAGGATTATATTCATAACTTTCTTTTTGTTGCGTCTATTGGAACGAAATCCTCTAAATAAATAAACTATTTTTTATGAAGAATGTATGCATTTCCTATTTGTGTCTCAACTACTGTAAAATTGATTAATTTATAAGTAAATAACTACTGTTTAGAGTCGAGTGAAAATCTGTTAGATTTGTTAGATAAATATAGCCGTGCAATGCACTTTTCGAAGAGAGCAGTAAATCTATGCTTATCAACACTATTCGTAAGGGTATGAATTCCAATGGATTCTATTTTAAAATCATCGGTGTTGCTGTTTGCTGCCTTACAACAGGTTTTCGAATGGAAATTTCCGCTCGACGATGGTCGCGTTTTACGCGAACCGGGCAAACAAAGAGGCTACACTACACCGCACATAGACATACATATACGGCATATCGCTAAATCTTGTGTGTTCGTATGACGAAATCGCGTTTTGTAACATTTCGTTTCTCAGTTTTGTTTTTGTTTTTCTAAATCGAAATGCAAAATTCGCCCGAATCAATTCCAATTGAAGCGAATCAATTGGTGTTAACTAATTTGGCCCCACATATGCAATAGAACAGTAGTAACAATCGAATAAATAACTACATTATTGGCTGTAGCGCACGAGGAAAACGGCCGGACCTGGGGCAACAACGTTAATTGCCGCTGCGTGCAAACGCACGTTTCTTTATTTAATTTATTTGACCGATGTAAACAGTTTCCATTCTATTTTGGATTGTTTAAATGAAAACCAGTAGTTTAATATTATTATTTTTGTAATGATTTGTACCATATATTTATATAGTCTTTTTTATATTTGCGCGTAAATAAATATGAGCCAAAATGTTCGCGTGCCAAGGTAAAAAAAAAGTATATTCTATTTCCGATAATGTATTATGCAAGACAATGTAATGCGCATTTTATTTCGATTCAATTTATTTATTTTTATGTTCTTGTTTATTTTTCAGCGGATCAGTTCGCGTGTGATGCTGCACAGTTTCTGTCCAAGAAGACGCTAGCTCGCCAAATCTTCCAAGTGGTTATATATATTTTTGCGAATCTGTTGCTTCCGAGACACCGGTCATTGATGAGCAGTCATCGGCAACCACCACTTTCATCCCCGCTGGCTCCATCAACTTCAAGGAACACGTCGTGTCGCGATCCCCGTTTAAGACTTCAGGGTTGGTCCAAGCGTTGGATGCAGTGTACCCCTTATTGAGTAGTCCAACTACGTCACACGCTGTTTGTTTATTTCGTTTTTGTTCGTTTGTGATTTTGATCAGTATTATAGCCGTTTCGTTCGAATCCTATCGAAGCGATAATTAAGGGAGGATGGCCGAAGCGGAGGATCATTTGAACACGGATTCGACGGTCACCATACCGATTGAAACGAATGAGTCCTCGCAGCAGCAGCTGGAGGTGAAGTTCGCCGAATGCGAGAAAGATTCTATACTGTCGACGTCGCATTCGCATTTGAGTATTGATGACGATGAGAGCGATGAGGAATATAAGCCTAATATTCCCGATGGAGGATGGGGATGGATAGTGGTTCTGGCCTCGATGGTCATATCGATGATCGCCGACGGAGTCAGTTTCTCATTTGGGCTACTGTACATCGAGTTTCTGAATGAGTTTAAGGCGTCGAAATCTACGACTTCGTGGATCGGAAGCCTTTTCATGGCCGTGCCTTTACTGACTGGACCGATAATGAGTGCCTTGGTTGATAAGTACGGCTGCAGGAAGATGACAATCTTGGGCGGGTTGATTGCTGGTTCTGGATTCGTTGTCAGCAGTTACGTGGATAGCATTGGAATCATGTTTCTCACGTTCGGCGTCTGGTCTGGTTTAGGTCTAGGTCTATGCTATGTCACAGCTGTAGTGTCCATCGCGTACTGGTTCGACAAGAAGAGGACTTTTGCCGTCGGTTTGGGAGCGTGCGGAACGGGAATCGGAACGTTCGTGTACGCGCCTATGACACAATTTTTTATAGAAGAATACGGCTGGCGTGGAACAATTCTTCTACTTGCTGGAACGTTCTTCAATATGTGTGTTTGCGGTTGCCTTATGCGAGATCCGGCTTGGTGGATTCGAGAACAGAACAAGTATACATTATTAGCACGCTTCGAATGAACACCTTCAATTTATTGATTTCGTTTTCCATAGGCAATCTAGCAAAAAGTCATCGATTTGCTGTCAAGATGAGATTCCCGACATAGATGAACTAAGGAAGTTGTTAAAAGAAAGCAAAGAAGGAGAATATTTGCTCCAACATTTGGTCACATCCGTGGACTCGCCGGAGCACGTCAATTACAATGAGCATCACCGTTCCGACTTTAATTTGCCCACATTTGTTAAGTTAAACGAAAAAGTAAGTTACTATATACATTAGTTTCTGTTAATTGTAATGATACTTGATATTTTAGGTGCCTTTAGAAGTATTAGAAAAACTTAAGGCGAACAAAAGGCTGTACAAAGTGATCTTGGAAAACTATCCCAGCCTTCTGGTTTCCCGAAGCACCTCAGACAAGGGTCTTAATAAAAACTCGGAAGCCTTTACAACCAGAGTGCCTGTAACCTTATCAATGAAACTGAAGAAAGCCAATAACACTAAGGTATTAAAACATCAACAATCACTGCCCGTGGAACCACTGCACGAAACCCTATTGGTTCGGAAAGCATCGCTAGAGGAGAAGTTGCAGCGATCCGAGTCGATTCCTTGGTTAAAACGTCAATTCTCTACGACTCACTACTACAAGAACATACGTCTGCACAGAAACTCGATAATGTATCGCGGTGCGATGCTGAACATCCGAAAGTACCACCTGAGGGCGTCCAGTTGTCCAAATATTTATAAAAATTCGATGACCACTTTGGCGAAAGAAAGTACAGAGAAATGGTATACAGAATTAATAGAACTGTTGAAAGGAATGGCGGACTTCTCATTGTTCCTCGAATTCCACTTCCTCTTAATGTCACTGTCCACCATTCTCTTGTTCATCTGGTTCATTGTGCCTTATTTTTATCTAGCCGATCACATGAAACTCTTAGGATATACAGAATCACAGGCGTCTTTCGTCCTTTCGGTCATCGGAATGACAAATACCATTTCGATGATCGGTTTAGGTTGGGCTGGAGACCGGCCATGGCTGAACGTCATGAAGACTTACGCGGTCTGCTTAATCTTATGCGGAATTTCCTGCATGGGAATGCTGTTCTTCGCCTACGACTACATCCTGCTGCAGATAAGCTCCGGTCTGTTCGGGCTGTTTTTCGCAAGCAGCTTCTCGTTTACGCCTGTCATTCTTGTCGAACTTGTTCCATTAGAGAGATTCACAACCGCCTACGGCCTTATCCTTTTATGTCAGGGCATTGGTAATCTTTTAGGACCGCCGATTGGAGGTAATGTTTAAAAAAAAATGCACAATTTGTATAAAAATACTAAACCCTTTTTAATTAGGTCTGTTGTTCGATTTAACGCAAAAATGGACTCAATCATTCTACCAGGCTGGCTTATGGATCATAGTGTCTGGGATATTGATAGGTATTATACCGTACACAAAGAACAGGAAGATCTGGGGCTCAGGGCCCGTCGAAAAAGAGCTTGCGGCCAGCGAAAGAAGCAGCCTCTCGTAATACAATCTCAGTGGCCTTGCAAATACGTAATATCTAGTAAAACTCTCCATTGTTTTCATTAGGAACTTTGCATTGATTGTCTATTTATTAAGAAATGTATATTTTCTTGACTTTCAGCTTAACAACGTGGTGTGATAAATGTATTAACTTTAAAACTATATAAACTAAGTTAACGAATTGTTTCTTTCCTTTTTCTATTATTGAAATATCTTAAAGGAACGCACTTAATGTATTTTCATTTTATATAGTCTGAAATATATACACAATTTTTAATTAATACGTAATAACCTTAATAATACTTAACTAAAACGAAATTCTAAAAACATAAATTAAATTATCATTAAATATATGAAATTTTAATTACTGGTCATAATGAGACTGAAAAGAAACAATAGAAAACAAAAACATATATATATATATACAAAAATAAAATAAAACTGTAATTAAAAATTACCATCAAGTATGACCTAAATAATGTATATTGAGTCACAATGTTTGATATAATCAAAACAACATGTGCTGTTGAAAAAAAAAAGTCGGAATTTCTTTGTAATTCCAAAAGAAGAAAAAAAATCATCAATTTTATTTTTAATAGTTTATTTTATTTTTAATTCCTTTTTTGACGATTCCAGGGAATCGACAATAATACTTTCTCCATCGAAACCTTACGACGTATCTAGGTTTCTAAAATTATTCAATAAACTTTTTTGGAAATATACAAATATGTACAAAACGTCGTAACAATAAATTCATGTTATGGAACTACATAATATATATATAAAATAAAAATTGTCGTTTAATTAAAATTCAACTTGGCGCATCATTTTGAATGCGAATGGTGGCGGCAATAATCTAAGGAATCTAAGAGAGTAACTGATCTATGAAATATACAGTTCTGCGTTAAACCTATCAACTATGTCGAAAATCTCTTCACTTGGTACGCTTAAAATTAACATTCAAATGGGGAAACGAAAATACGTACAAATTTAATACGAAAATGTAAAATATTTCCGCATAGTTTTAGTTTTAATCACAGATATGCTTACAAAATTCATGTTTATTATTATTAATTTTTTTTTATATAATATCGTGTCGTAAACTTGGATTCAAAAATAATTTCTAGCTACGACCTAAACTATGTTACTAACAATTCTGATCAGTGCTTATTTCATATAGCCTACGTGAAACAAAAAACGTCCCTTTCCACTCGAGTGATTGAAATAGGAGACTCTTCTTATATACTAACGATTAAACACAGCCCTGCTCTAGAAAACATCCGCCTTCTCAAATATATATATAAATGTATTAATATATATATTATAGGCATTTTTCTACACCGTTTCTCTCTCAACAATTTTGAAACATTCCAAATAAATTGTACAATACGCAAATATGATGAACACAAAAATTCAAGAGAAAATCTCAACAATTCAATATTATATATATCTTAAATACCTAAGTAATATTTTTTTACATGTATAAACCTGAGTTTTATAGGTATCTAAGCTAGTTAGATTGAAAGATTCATTTGTTTTCATTTTGGCCCGAAACGATTTGATTTTAGTAAATGTGCAAAATTTTGAAAATAGTTAATTGACCTACTTGGGTTTCTAAATCAAACTAAACGTGGTTTTCTGGAAGCGTTTCTTTGGCCTTGTCTATACGACCGGTAATGCATGAGGCCAATATATTGTAGAACTTTGGTTCCTTCGGTGGATCTTCTCCACCAATCGAACCATCCGAAGAGGCTTGACGCTGGAGAGTCTGGAATCGACGATACCTTTTCGTAGCTGGAATTATCACCAGAAGTAAGCCGGAGAGAGCGATGAAAAATCCGGCTAAATAGAATGACAAGTCGTACTTTCCGGTGATATCGTAAAGCCAGCCTGAAATAAAAAGTTTATTAACGAATTGTTGAGGAATAGTAAAAAAAAAATGTAATTACCTCCAAGAGGTGGACCGATGAGATTGGCGACTCCTTGAACCATGAGTAGGAGACCGTAGGCGTTCGTGAATCGCTCCAAAGTGATCAATTCCACGAGTATTATACAAGTTAACGAATAGTTTGCAGCGATGAAAAGTCCGAATAAGCCAGAGGCAACGGCCAGAGCGCTGTACGATTTTAAAACTGGAATCAGAGCGGTAATGGCACCGCAGAAACACATGCAGACTGCATATATTAAACCGGCGTTGCAGCTGGGCCTGTCCCCTGCCCATCCCAAGATAATCTGTAATTCAAATAATCCAGTTTTAAACTTAAACTGTTGAAAACGCACCGTGCATCACGAAGATATATTTACCTCTCCCACCATGTTAACGATACCGATAATCCCAATTAGCATAGAAGATTCGTCTTCGCTGAAGCCCATGTTAATCGCATTATCGGCCAAGTAGACGTAGGGCACGTCATACCACGAGTACAGAAGGAAATTCGAAATAGCGAATAGCAGAAACTTGGGGTCGGAGAAATATGAAAAATCGAATATGTTGACCAGAAGGATTTTGAATTCACGGAACATTGTTCGCCAGTCGCTTTTCTCTTTAGCTATTGTTGTCATCGAGTTCCTGTATATATCCGGACACGACGAAGCCCTCAATCTGTACCTATTAATATTTAGCATGGCTCCTCTGTAAGTCAAAGACAATCTGTGCACGCGGATGTCTTTCAAGTAGGCCGCCGTCGTGGCGATTTTCTTATGTGGGTTTTTTGGTGGTGTTATTTGGTTTCTCTTCAGCCACCAAAGATAAGCGGCATCGGAAGTCGTTGAATTGGGTTGTTGCTGTTGTTGGGCAGTTGTGGTAGCTAACGGGGATTGGATCTGGATGGGCGGATGACGATGGATCTCATTCAGACGACCCGAGTCGCTAAAACTACGCGATGGTGTCAGAAGATTCGGGTAATTTTGCAGAAGCACATTGTACACGTTTTTGTGCGTGGAAAGCAGTTCGATCACTTCGATAGGTACTTTATCGCCGTTCTTCACGTAAGTCGGAAGGTTCACCATGGAGTTACTTAATCGATCCGGATTTGTATCGAGCAAGGTATCTTCGAGTTTCTCTTCTAGAATCGGCTGCAAAACGCTGCCTGTATTTGTGCTATTACTAACTGAAAAGCTGTCAGCGGATGAGCCATTTTTGCGTTTTTTCAGGATCTTATTCTTCTTCCTCAGGATCTTCGCTTTGTGACTGGGCGTCCAAGGCAGATCGCGCATCAGCGCCCCGCAGACGGCCAAATTTAGGAATAGTCCTGCAAGGATCAACGTCGTCCCTCTCCATCCGAACTCATTTATTAGCATTTGGGACAACGGAGCGAAAACGAAAGTTCCAATTCCGCTACCGCAGACTGATAAGCCTGTAGCGAACGATCGCCTTTTATCGAAGTAGTAAGCTACTATTACAACGGAACCCACATAGCATAAACTTAAACCGAATCCTGCTAAGACTCCGAAAGTGAGGAAGAGGACCTCCATGCTGTTGGCCATGGAGGAAATTACGAAACCGCTGGACGACAATATCGCCCCAACGATCGTAACACGACGACACCCATATCTGTCAGTTAGGAAGCTTGATATTGGTCCTGATAACAAAGGCGTGGCCATGAACAAGCTTCCGATCCAGGCGGTTTTACCGCGATTCTCCCCGAAGTAGTTCAAGAACTCAACGAAGATGACTCCAAAGCTGAAGGTGATGCCATCCGCGATCAGATTTACTACGAAGGCTGCGGCAACAACAACCCAGCCCCAGCCTCCATCTGGAGGCCTACTTTCTGTTATCTCGATGCTATCGCTGCTGCTGGAACTACTTGAACTGGAGCCGCTGGATAGGCACTGAGGTGTAGGCAAGGCCTCTTTCGTGGGCTTATCCCCATCGAACTGCACGTGCAACGGCGCTTTCTCCGTCTCTGGCTGCTTTCCGTTCCTCAGCAACTTCGTATTCTCTTCTCCGAGAGTTTTCAGGGGCGACGTTATCGGCGACATCCCGTTTATTATATTCACCCCGTAGAAACTGCCACCGGATAACGCGGTGGTTTCTTTCAATGCTTCCTCCTGCATGTCAATACCGACGTAGTCGTCGTTGTTTTACTTTTGCTTTTCGAGTGCCACTCTTGCAGATCCCTGCGAAACTGTCTGCGTAATAACGCGAGACCCACAATACGATATTTCGGGTCTTTCATGCGGCTGAACGGCGGCGATTGCCGGTAGTCAATCGTCAATTGGTAACGTGCCATACGTAGTGGTACACGCCTCTGCTGAGGAGTTTTCTACCCCAATCTACAACAAAAAAAACAAACATTAATTATTTCCATTATTCAAAAACTACATAATTATTTTGATTGTTTAAGAAAAATAATTTCCTAAATACCTATCATTAAAATCTCAATTATTTGCTGACAGCACTGTTTAAACTAATCTTTTATTTGTGCCTATTATCATTTTTATTTCAAAAGTTGAATGCCATACTGAGAATGATAACACTGATAAATATGTACATTTTTAAAAGTAAATACTTTTTATAGGGCACCATTGAAGCGAAATGAACTTGATAGACAGATAAACTCCGCATTGCGTGCGCACGGAATCAATCTAAACAGCAAGAAAAAAACATAATGTTATATAGGAAGACAGAAGCTATATTTATATAACTTATCGTCTTCTTATCGCTTCTTCTAATTGATTAGAACCACATTGTTTCTTGCGGGTTATCTACATTTATGAATGCAATATGCCTTCCTAGTTTTTTGCTTGAGCACAAATCAATGCGAATCGTAACATCGATAAATTCATATAATATAAAACTTTCGAAATGCGCTTTACTTTAATTAATTGATTGATTGATTAAGTTGCTTATGTACGCATTTGCTGTAATCGAGGAATTTCGAATTTGCTGATGTGGATTTAAAGTGGATCCTTGCATGATGGACTCTCCCGAATCAAACGGAGAAGACGCATCTCGTGCAAAAGGATTGTCCGTCATTACTGAACGCGTTTAAATTGTTGTAAGCACTCGAAGCGAGTCCATTGTTGAATCAATTGTTAAACAATGGAACAGGGAATTCGTAAGACCGGAGGTTGCTCGATTTATTCCAACAGCAAATTCAGCAAGGCTTTGCTGGTTTGAATCCGTTCCAAGAAAAGCGTTAAAGTCTTAGTATTTAACAGTAATTACGTAACTATAGTAATTACTGTTCGATGATTCTTACTGTTCGTGATAGAAAATTTCGTATAATATTGATTTTTTTTTATTTCAGATCAATATAACTATTTATTGTGATTAAAACGAACTTTAGTAAATGCTAGTGATTGAATAAAAAAAAACTTATCTGTTAATCTTATCTAAAAGAATCAATGTAAAATCAATGGTGCATTTCCAAATAAAGAACATTAATATATTGTAATAGTTTAGTATTGACATAGTTTTTTTTTTAATTAATTAAATGACAAATTTAAAGGGAACTTTATGATTATTTGTACGTACGTAGCGTAAAAGGATTGTTTTTGTTTTTTTTTTAAATGCAGTTACAAATTCAAAAATAATCCACTTTAGTCTTAAAATAATATTTTAATTCGATCACCGTTGGTAGCGTCTGCCAAGATTTTAATAAATAACTGGTTCGAGAATGTTTTGGTTCGAGCGATGCCACCAATTGCCACCGACTGCTCTCACCTTGTCTCAAACAAATCTGCACGTGCTGTTCTGGATGATTGCAAAAGCAATAAACAACAAAACAACAAACGCCGAAAGAAATAAACGATGTTGTGTGTATTGTTTGTCCAATCGGTTAGACGAAGCGTGTTTTGCAAATACCTTGTTGGCAAATGACGAGAGCCACGGGTTTTATTTATTTTCGAGCACTCCGAAAGTACTGTCTCTCCCGCGTATGCAAAACGCTATTTTTAAATTCTATCGCCATGCTTTAATTGAAATCGAATTACGAATTTTTGTTATTTTTTTTTGTTTTGAAATTTCAATATAGTTGCGCAATTTGTGCTCGTTTCCGTTTATCGACTTGTAACTGTGTCACAATACAAAGTAACTATTTACCCGCTGGTAATTAGCATAATTATATTAATAAATGTGTTGAACTTTGGTGGAGATTAAAATAACTTTCAGTAGAAAAGAGGTAATGACTAACCATTGTTGATGATGAATCGTTGTCTAATCCAAAGGCGAAAATAAGAACTGCACTGGTTTTGTATGTAATGAAAAGCGATAATCACGAAATGGAATTAGAGAGACGAACAAAGCGCACAATTTACGAGAGATAGCCAGTCCACTTGGAGCGACAACGAGATCTCTACACCACTAAAACTACTCGCACAATGTGAGTAAATCGTAACGAGAGCATCGTTTTTCATATGGCGTTCGCGTTATCAGCGTATGTGGTGTATTTCATACACAATAATCTTGTGACATCAACCATCCATCCAGACGTACACTCACTACCCAGGATGCATTGAAATGCAGCACACAATATAAACACTGATCGCACAATGCACGCATTCCTGTGAGTCCAGAAACTGGGGCGTCGCGACGCCCGAACCGGCAACCTTCCGTTCACGTATCAACTGAATGAAAGGACATAGAACACAAAAAAAAACTAGCACTAGAAAAGCCGAGACATTGACCTTAAGGTTTTTGCGGAAACCGGAGAACCTTATCGTATGAACTCCGCTGAAAATGTGAAGGCCGCTCCATCTAATCTGATAGCAAGCACTAATTGCTGTTACGAAAGCGCATTAGAGAAGCAATTGCCCGGAGAGACGCTCTTAATCACTTAATTATTGTCTGAAGAAGCATTGCTCGGAGGCTTCGCTGAGAAAAAAATGATATAATGAAAAATGCTGCTGCAATTAACGAAGCGAACCTTAATCAGGCTTCAGCAGTCTTGAGGGTAACAGCCTCGGATGGAAGAAAAACAAGGTTATCGCGAATATGTATAAATCGGGATTCACCGGCCCAGGTTTGACGACCTTCTGTGGTAATTCGAGAAACGAAATATTCGAGTTATCCAAGTAAACCATTCAATTCGAAGCTAATCAACACTATTATTATTATTATTATTAAATCAATAACACAATTTAAATATGCTTTTTATTATCCTGGAATTACTCAAAGAATAACAAAGAAGTAGAAAACATGAGATGAAAGTGCACTTCTCTCGTAGATAATGAATGTTGATGGAGAACATGGTGTACCTCCGGTCAATAACATAATTTCAATTTATTTTTCCTTATTCTTAGAAGGATAACAAATATGAAATAACAAAGTACAAAATACAAGATAAAGAAGCAAGTCTTTCGTCATTTATGAATGTTGACGAAGATGGACACAAATTTAATTTGTTTTTACGTATACCAAAAGGAAAACAAAATTAAATAACAATGAAGTTGATGAAAATGGACGGATAACAATAGAAATATGTCTTCTTAAAGAATAATAAAATGAAATAAGGAAAAAGTAATGTCCCTCGTTGATGATGAATGTTGACGAGGACAAGGAATAACGTCGTTTCCTTGTAACAAATCCACCGACATGAAACTTTCAACGCGCGTCCTCCAATTTCATTTACATTCATGCAATAAAATCGCAAACCAAAAGAAAATAAATTTAAACATAACTTTTAGAATAACTTACAAAAAAAAAAGCATTCATTATTTACATTCTACTGCTGTTTGTTTTACAAGTACTTAAGTTACGGAAGATGACTTAATGATGTTTTTCTATCAATTATAACTTAACGATCTTCTAATTCTTATAACCCATTATAATATGTATTTCTAATAACCTATAATCTTTCTAATGATTCTAGTTTAATATGATGAAATAATGAAAAACAGACCATTTACGATTAGGAAATTGGGTTTAGTTCAGATCTAGAAATCATTTGGGAAATCTCTAATCTATCGCCTGATTAAATAAAAAAATCATATTATAGTAGAGATCTGTCATTTGTTAACATGTAGGTCATAGGTTAAATATGTGCGTAAGATTGTTTTTTTTGTCACATTTGTAGATATAGTTGCGATCACAATTCTTTCAAAGAATAAGTTATTTCTTGCAGAAATACACAACTTGTAGACTCAGTAAGCTCACTTTATAAACAAATATAAAGTGCATGTTACGTACAGAATTATTTATGATGGATCGTAAATGCGACTTGTATTTATATCATAAATTATAGTAGAAAGTTGCTACTATTTTATACATGCAAATGTTAAGAATAGTAAAATAGAATCAGTTGCATAATAATCATTAGAGAGTGCTGAAAATGAAATGAATTATGCAGTTATGCAAGCTAGAATAATGAGCTTTCAGGATATGATGCGGCACGTGCACATCGAGTGGTTTGCCTTCAAAGGGACACACTTTAATTAGCGTCGCTTCGGTTTGCTCTCGCCCAACGTAAAGCTTCTAATTGTATTTGCTGGAGTTAAGTTTCTCGGAATGGGAATCCAGTTTACAAATGAACTGATTGTATTAAACGGCAGCAACAAAAAGAAGCCACAACCTTTCGAGTATAATATCAAATGCTTTGTTTCTAAAACTGGATTTTCATGCGTAAATACAAATGCTAATATGCCATGAAGTTATTTTGCTTTAATTCACCAGAAACAATTATGTAAATCTAACTTATTTACTTTGTTATGTGGTCAGTTTTTTGTTGTTGTCTACTCGTATAAGATTGTTTTGACCATATTTTAACGATTTGTTAATTTTCAAGTAATGTTGTAGAAACAGATTAAATGAGATTAAAAGTATCAAATGTTATGAAGAGATTATAGTCACATAATTTATAAAATAATATTAAATTCTTACACAAATCAGAAGCTGAAAATATGAAGTAACGAGTTAATAAATACAGAAAACCGCAGACTTAATTTTATTCATGAACTGAGTAACCGCTCGTAAAACTTATCATTACAGCTAAAGTTTCTATAAATAGAGAGGTTGTATTAATTATTTATGTAACCAAGTTGGTAGGTGTTCTGTATAAATAATTTAGATTCAAAATCATAACTTCAAATTATCGGAATTATCGTTTTAACTTAAATATAATTTGTTATCATTTGTGAATTCAGTAAATTCACTATTAAAAAATAAACAATTTATACAATTTAGAAATTAATTTTTTTTTTAGATTTTACTTCTTTATATATCTTCTGCTAATTCCCTTTGTTATAACATTAAAATAAACAATTTATAAAAAATTATTTGAAAATTACGTAAATCCACAAGTATAAATTAAAAATTTAGGATATTAAACTTATATTAAAGATCGACGCACATTAATCAGCAAGAAAATAGTTTTGTTTAAATTGTTTAATAAGATTTATGAGTTTAATGAATCAAGTATCCACTTACGAAATATTTCAATGTAGTGGCACACCATGCGATTTTCGTGGATAATCACGAACTACAGTAGAAACGGAAACGATCGATCTACTTATCGTATGTTTCCAATAGATCAGTTAGTTCGCAGTGGAAATAACAAAAAATTAGCATATCGCCAAGTTAACACTGGGTCATGCATCGAATTAATCTTTTTAGAGCGTTAATCGTCAATTCCTTTTTTTCCCGATTATCCAGCTTCGAACTAACGTTATCAACTAAGTATTATTATACAATACATAGTTGATTAACAACTCAAATATTGCAAACGCATAATCCGAGTATTTAGTTTCCAAAAAAGCAAAGATTAATAGCATTGTTATTATTGAATCATGGTTTCAAAGATAATGTGTGTAAATTTATCTCATTTTTTCAAGTTGTAAATATATAAATATCTATTTTTTTGTATGAATAAGCATTGTGTGATTTGATTTATACCGTGTTAATGAACTTGTAAAGTTTTAAACAATTTAAACGTTAATTGGTGTTATTTAATTTCAGAAGTAATGACTTAAATTGTGTATTATATAGTTTTTGCTTATTCCTAAAGGTTTGTTAAATAATAAGCAGCGTAGTAGACGGAAATACCTTGAGGTTAAGGTTATTACCTTCATAATGAAAGTGTAAGGATAGTTGGGTGGTTCGGTTTCGTCGGCACGCGATTGTCGGCCCCACAGTTTAGTGGTATCGATTGTCCAGCGGGTGGTTCGAGGGGTGGTTATACCGGCTCACCACATTCACACACGTTCAAGGTTGAGGGCTGCGGAAGTTTTCATCTTTTATGCACGCAGCTCTTGCCGTAATGCGGACAATTCGTAAATCGGGTTTTTCCCCCAACTTGCGATGAGTAACATTGTATTATCATGAAAATTCAAAACTTTTAAATTAAAAAAAAATAGTCACGCAGGTCGAATGATATTAAATATTAGTTTAAAAGTAGATCCGTTAATTTGAAATTATATAACAGGATCAAACATAATTGCATTTACTTTCGGAGCGAGCTATGTCCCAAGGTAAAATCAATAATCATTCAAAGCGGCTTTAGAAGAAAACGTTAAATTAAGTAATTACAGGTTAATGGGAAAAATACAATTGGATATAATAAGAAAGTAATTCAAATAATGCGTTAGTTAATTGAACAACAACTAGGTTTGTTTGTTCTTAATATTTTCTGTTGATAGGACTTACCGAATCCGGAGGAAGTTTTAGCAACTGCTAAAAAATCTGCAGCATAATCGCCAAATTCGAGAATGACCGAAAGCGACTCTATATACTTGCAGTGACTATCAACAAACAAATAAAAGAACTTGTAACACTGGACGAAGCACACTAACGCAAATCGCAAAACTGGTAGTCGCAAAGTGAATTTGTTTTAATTGCAAAACGTAGCTTAGGAAAATGATAAAATAAACTAATGAATGAATCTCTCTCTCTTTCTGTGAGTTTAGGGTGGGGAACTGCTCTGCAGCAAGGATACTGCTCGATATTTTATGAGCCTGCTAACGCAGCAGGAGGAGAAGACTTATCCTGAAGCAGGAATCCCCACAAGGACGCATGCGTTCGCTGATTCACCAATGGTTTCGAAATTCTACAAATTACCACCGAACCCCCAATAGCGTGCACGCAAATTCCAATGCTCGCAAAAAAATAAAGATTTAAATTTTCGTTTCCGCTTTGACGGAAGGATCAAGTAACGCCATCTAACCGGATCCAAGCATCTGGCGTGGCAAACATTCAAAACAGCAGAAATTTCAATGATGTACTGTTAACATAAATAAATAATATTACGGAAGCGGAGAAATCCCGCTACGAAAATACATCGTGGTATAAATAGATTGGAATGCGTCTAAATATATTTATCGGCTTTCTAAAAACGATTAAATGATAATAGCAGGTTTTGTTTATTGTTTGCATTTGCTAACAAAGGAAGCGCATTAAACGCACATATCCAAACAAAGCACGAGCGTTGTTGGAAAATGTTTAGGTTTTTCTTTATTTTTTTATATCAGAGGATACTCACCTAAAGCAGTTATTTTCCTTCGGTTGTTGTTCGCATAAAATAGCTAACTATAAAATTGCGTGGACACTTACGAAACCTTGGTTTTTTCGTTTGTAATCAGAAACAATAAACAGTGCGCGCGGCTGGAAAGTCGCTGCACCATTGGAATCACGTAAATAAATAAATTTTGTGAAAGCTGCGAAATATAGAACCGAAACTACCGGTGTTCCTCAGGTTGCATAGGGTTTACTACCATCAACCAATTAAGCTTCATTAACACAAATTATACCGTTAAATACAACAAGTTTATAATCTATTGCATGTGAAATGTAGATAACTAATTAATTAGTATGATATAAAACCTTAAACTTAAGATAATTTACATAACTTAAATTAAATTATGACATCTTTAAGTAATCTTAATTGTAATCATTACCTAAGCACTGTTCAAACTTTGTAAATAAGATTTGTTTTAGTGAATTATTTCGGGTTTATTTCAATATAAAACTTTGTTCATTGCTTATTATCATTCAAACCAAATATATTTTATCATTGAATATATATTTATTTACTTTGTTTGTATATTTTTTATTTTATTTACATAATTTAAATGTTACATATTTATTTTGTTTGAGAAGCTCAAGTAGTCAAATATTGAATTATTGGAGTGTGACAATAAATTCTGTATCAAAATTTTAGAAATTCATGATAGAAACAATTTCTTCATATCTTTACACTATCATTAAATAAGAAATACTAACAAAATGAGTAAAAAAAAATAGATGAAAACTAATTTTCTATTGATTTACTTTTAGAGAAGAGTTTGAAAATTACTTTAAAATGTATATTAAAATTTATATATTTTCTCTATAAATAAAATCTTGTATCAATTAAAAAAATGCTGTTATTTTTTATAAGAATCGAAATAGGAATTTAATGCGAATTTCGAGATAAATGAAGGAAAGGTTATCTTGCTCACATTTCAAGCAAAGAAAGTATATTTGTTTATTTATTCATTCGTTTAAATTAATTTAACCAGTAGAAAATATATAAGTAAATTGCGTCAAAATGGTCGTGAAAGTAATGTGGATTCAGTCGTGTTAGTTGTTTTAAAATATTGATTTAAACATTATGAGTAATTTAAAGTATTTGATTTCAGGGATTACTGTATCGATATCGCTGTGCGTGCTTATGGTATTAGTGTTGTTCGTATTATTCTGCTTATGGTAAGTATTGCTTCGCAAATCTTTGTTATATAGGTTTAGGTTGCAAGTGTAAATTTGTGGCCGCTTTTAGTTGGAAGAAAAAAGAATCAAAATCGCTCCATGAACTTTGCAATCTAGATAAGAGCGACCTGAGCATGACCGAAGGAATTAACATTACGTATGAATCTAGCTCTACGAGCTTTTTCAGAAGGTTCTCGAACGCGGCCCTAATCAATCCCACATTTAAATTCAACGGTCCGGATAGCGAGAAAATACTAACGGCTTACGAACAATCCAAATCCTTGCCGATCGAAAGGGATCTGATGGACTCATTGGACATTCAAAAACAGTTGAGTTCATTTACATACTGTTGTTATGGTCAGGAATTTAAGAGTTTGTTCTAGGTTCAATCAGTCCGTTTTACAAATAGATAACAATTACGTGCACATCGATCAGGACGATGCGAAATCTTGCCGCAGCTTAGACTCAAGGCACAGTTTCTATTCCGTAATTATGTATGAAAATTGATGTATTTTATAATTCATTCTGTTTATCCATTAGATTTATCCATTCACGAGATCGCATTCAGTAGCGGACACGATGAAAAGCGCCTACAGTGGTCCAGACAGTCTTGAAGATTGTTAAGATGGATGGATTCAATTTAATTTATAAATTTTAATTTAGCAACTATTTATATTTGTATAGTTTATACGCCATTTATTTGAGTATATACATCTAATAAAAAAAAAACAAACGATTACATAATATATATATATAGTATACATAAATTACAATACGAAAAAAATATATATATTTAAGGAGTAAAGAAACATAAATAGATTAGAATACAAAATAAAAATTCTCACTACACAGAAATAATAAACGTCGTAAGTTAACTTCTTATTTTTACTTCTCTTTTCACAATAAAAAATATAAATAATACAAGTAATGACGAAAATAATGTTCATATATATATATATAATTTTTTTTTTTGATTTTATTAAAACGAGGCAAAATAAAAATAATATTTAAACAATAATTATATAATAACAGGCTTTAAAAACATTTTTTTAAATCCACATATCTAACTGTACTCTACAAACTGTCTTTAATATCTCTTTGTTATTACTCTTTTAATGCATATAACAATAAAAAAAAAATGTTTCGCGCCCCCGCCGAAGGCTGTTACCTAAATCTTTCCACAATCCACATTATCCTTAGTCCTTCTTTGTACATAGTAGCAAATCACAAACGTAACTAATTCACATACTTCCCAACATTGTATATATTATATAACGCGTATCGAACTCCCAAAAAAAAAATACATTTATTGAGCACTCAATACATATTATAATTATTACTCTTGCCACTTTGTGCAGACTTTACTTGTATATATATAAAAATTTGCTTGCGCCTCATTATATATATATATATATAATATATATTTATATTGCCGGTAAATTCTCTTATAAAAAATTCGTATTAATAAAATGGTTAATATAAAAGATCTCTAAGATATTTCTGGTGGTTGGCTCCGGAAACGAGCATTACGTTTCTTTGATGATTTTCAATAAGTATTCAAGAACGAAATAGAAGAAAATTAAAAGGAGGGCCGTGAATCAGGAAAACATTGAGCTAATGAGTAGGTAGAGCACCATGAGTACGAGTGGAGCGATGTAGCAGAAGAGCACATTGTGGGAGCGATCGCGAAGAGCGTTGTACTTATCGTGCAAATTAAGCATATCTTTGTTGATGGCAATCTTCTCTTCGGTTATGGCAGCGTACCGTTCTTTCAAGGACACCAGGTCCTCTTCAAGCTCTTGAACTTGAGATATGTTGTCGCTTTTTTCTACTGCTAGTTGGTCGATTTGCGTTGCCTTCTCGGTGGTCATCGTGAGCGCTACGGCTTTGCTAAGCTCAGCTTGTAAAGCCTCGATCTTCTTCTTCAACGAGTCCGATTCAGAAGCACTCTCGACGTACTTGGCTTCGATGAACGCCAAGTCTTCCTTCAAACTAGTCTGTTTACTTGTCAGGTACGAAATAGTCTCCTTCTCAGTCATCAATGATTTCTCCAGAAGCGCGATTTTTGTTTTGTCCGCGCACGAAACGATCGACATTTGCTCGATTTGTTTCTTCAGTTCGTTTTGAGCGGATTGGTTATGGTATTTCAACGTTCTCGTATCCACGGCCTTTGGGCGCCGCACCTCCTCGACCTCATCCGCCAATTCGCACTCCTCTTTCTTTTCAATTTCATTCTCTTTACCTTTCACTAACTCGTCCTTGTTTTCACTCTCTTCTGGCTCGCAATCATTGATGTTCACTTCGTTGACGGAATTGCAATCGGTGCTATCATCATCATCTTCTTCATCGTCATCTTCTTCACTGGCTTGGTTATTGTTATTTACATGTTCACTGACGGGTGCCACCTATTACAAAAAAATAATATAAATAGTAACGCATTTGTTGTTGTTGTTTTTTTATATTATATAACTTACAGTTAAATTAATGTGGTTTTGCTGGGGCTCGCCGGGAACATTCCTATTAGTTTGATCGCCTTCGCCCTCCTCATTTTCAAATTGCTTAAACTCCTTGAATTTAGCATACTCATCAAAAATTAATTTGCTTTCAAACTCAGTTTGATTTTCACTTAAACCTACATTGTTTTGCAATTTATCGATGTTCTTCAATTCTTCCTCTAATTTGTCCTGAAGCTCTTTCTCCTTCTCTGTGAAATTCAAACGTTCCTCGTCGGCCTTCTTCCAAGCTTCCGTTAATTTCTGAGCCACTTCCTAACACCAAAAACATTATTATAAACAAGCTAAAGCGTCCCAATTATAATAATTACTTGTAATTCTGTTTGAACTTGCTCCAATTGTTCCTTGGCTAATAAAGATTCGTTTTCTGCGGATATTCGTGATCTCTCTTGTTCTGTAGCTCGAGCGACGGCAGCTAACCGATCTGCATGTAACTTCCTAAGTACCTCCTTCGCAGCCGTTTGGTACTGAGTACGATCTTCCTACAAATACAAATAACATTTCATGAAATCTCATAGTTTTTGTGTAAGTTTTTGTAACCTACTTGCAGTTTCGTAATCTCTTCGCGCAGTCTATCATCTCCCGAGCCTTTATTGGCCTGACTTAATTGCTTCTCCAGTGTAGCAATTCTAGATAAAAGTCTTTCCTCGACGACGCAAGCCTGCCAGCTTTCATCCGCCGCTTGGCGTGTCGAATCCACAACTCGCTGTAAAGCTCTCAACTTCTTCTCTAAACATTGCTCTCTTTGACTAGCTTCTTGGATTATTTGATTAAGTTTGTACAATTCATCTAACGGCACCACTCCTAAATATAGAAACCACACATTATTTAAATGAATTTTAGAAATCCTTTAATTACTATTTTTTTCTTGCGAAAATAAAAATTAGTGTTTTTTTTTATTAATGAGTAAAAAAAATAATGAAACCTACATGCTCTAATGATTTGTGCAAAAGATTTATAATAAACGGAACTATCTATAGTGTATGATGTTGATTTCTTTATGTCGATTATTTGAATCGGGACATTTGTACGAAACACCAACCAATCGGAAAGTTAATTTGTACAAATTATTTGAGCATCTGTAGGCACCTTAAATTAAGATAATACCATGGCGATTTCCTTCGGCAAAACTGGGACTTGCTTTGGCTTCTTTCCCATCTGGCAGATACAATTTTAATGTTGCTATGATACATCCATGTGTGACTTTCCTATTATTATTTTCAACTACATCTACACCAAATTGTACTATATCTCCAGAACTCACTTCGTGGGACTCGGATTCTACAGATGATAACTTGTTGTTATTTACAAAAGTACCATTGCTACTTTTAGTATCCTAAAAAACGTAAGATTACAACCATAAGTATCTTTAATTTAGAGTTATCTAACTTCCAGTTAAGTTAATGAATTTTTTGAAATTTTAAATAAATTTAAAGGAAATTGAAGATTAGGAAATGCAGACAGTAATATTCAAACTTTGTTCAGCAAATCGATATATGGGAATGGCTATAATCCAATAATGCATTAGTATGATAGGGTTTAAAATACATTTCTAAACTCGCAATTCAAGTTCCCGTTTATTATAAGTACCGATAAGCTATTTTTGGCCGTTTAAAACATAAGTTTTCAATTTATGAGTTTCTACGTCATGCATAAATGAACGGAACAAATTAATACGTAAAAGAATATTAGAATTTACCAAAAATAATTTTTGAGATATTTCAGTAAAATAACGAATTTTTCATACTTAATTTAAACACTGCAAAACAATTACTGATTTTTATAAACTGAAATAATTGTAGTAGATATAATTGTAAACATAAATATCTTGTTTTTAAATTGTGGTTTGCGCTTTTATCAACTGATTTCCTGTAACAATTAAATAGCAAAATATGAGGCATGCTATTATTATGTTGCTTAAAACGTATTTTTCAACATAATAACTGTACTTAATGAACTTTGTTTTTAATTGTAAGCTAAAAATTATGCTGACCTAAATATAAAATAATAAAAATCTATATCATATGCTCACTTAAAATGATTACAGACTATGTAAGTATTTCATTTTTGTAAATATGAATGAGATATGATGATAAATTGAAATCACTGCAAAAATATGTATGTATAAAGTGTGATAAATTTCAATATATTATCTTTATTTGTATGAAATCATTAAAGTTCAATTTGATTTCATTGTATATCAGAAGTTGTTTATTTTATTTGTAGTCTATTTATATTATGCACTATTTGAACAGTTATATAATAGGTGTAGGCACAATGGGAATAGTAATATTATTGGAATGCTTTAAATGGTTAGTGTTGATTGTAAGTAGGGTTGTTTTATGTAATTATTGGAATAGAAAATTTACCTGGAGGAAGAATTTTCCATTTTCATACCACAACAAAGCATGATGTCTGGAGAGCACTTTGCAATCGAAAATGGCATTGGTTGGGGTGGACCTTGCTCTAGCAACAGATCTCCCAATTTTGATTGGTTCCTCCAAGGATAATGTTCTGTCTTGGAATGGATGGGAGTTCTCCCGACATATCAACACAGCCTTTGCAGTCATTGTATTGGTAGCCGGAATGACCATAGAGTTACTGTTGTTCATCAGATATGATTCATATTGAATATTTTTCATCCAACTCTCACTAACAACAACCATTGCCTGGAACACGGATGTTTGTAACATATTAAATCCCTGCTCCACCTTCTAATTAGATCAACTACAAAATCACTCACCTATGCAGACAACAAGTATCTCACTAATGAGATAACAATTCACGATTTGTTATTGAATCCACTGACAAATATATCAAAATATAAGGGAAGGATAAAAAAAAAATGGGAAAGTGTCAAAACTGAAGGTGTCTAAACAGCTGAACGGGTCGACCGCACCATTATTATTATTATTAAATACCAACTTCTTGAACTCCCATAATTTGAACTTCGCCTCAACAGACAATTGACATTCATTTACATTAATTATCATTCATATGGGTTATTACTGTTTCTGCGCAAATGGAGTTATTGTACAAAGAACCTGCCTTCTTGCAATTATACACAATATTGGTCGACCTAGTTATATTTCAACTGCACAAGTTAGCTGCACTGCAATTAAAATCAATTCCGTTTGATCTAACAGATTCTTTCTGCAAACGATACGAAGAATTGCTTAACGCGAAAGCTACAACAGAACACACGATTCTGAGAAATATGTTTTTCTTTAAATAATTGGATTAAAAAATTTAAAATTTTCAAGGAAGAACTATTGGTATCCCTGGAAACAACCAAAACGTCAATAAGTAATTCATATATAACCTCAAAGATTTGAGTACAATCTTGTTATATTTGCAACTTTTAGATATAACAAATTTGTTTACTTATTATTATGTCTGAAGAGGAAATTAAAGAATCAAAGCCGGTGGTTGCCAGGACACCTGTGGATATTCAAAGGATCAAACTAGAGAAACTAATGAAAAATCCAGTAAATACTATATTCAATCATTTTCAAACTTAAAATTTATTATTAGTAATTATAGGAAAAAGCTGTGATAATACCAGAGAGGCCTAAAGAGAGAGGTGCACCAATAGTGCCAGACTTTGTTAGGAATGTTATGGGTTCTAGTGCTGGAGCTGGATCAGGAGAATTCCATGTTTACAGGCATTTGAGACGTAAGGAATATGCTAGACAACATTACATGAATGAAAAAGCTAAATGGGTATGTCTTGAAAGTATCTTAATTGATTACATTCTGCAATATATATATTTTTTCTTAGGAAAAATTAGAAGATGAATATCATGATAAAATTGATGAGAATAAAAGGAAAGCTGAACAAGTAACTGCAAAGAAGAGAGCTAAAAGGTTAAAGAAAAAATCTAATAAAAAGAAACCAAAGATGCAGAAAGCCAAGAGCAGCAGCAGTGAATCAGAATCTGATTCAGAAACTGAAAAAGAAAATGCAGACAAGGAAACTGAAACAGAGACATCAATGGAAACTAATAATACTATAACAAATGTAGAATCTAAGGCTGATGAAGGTGATGCAAAGCCTTCAGAAAATGATAATAAGAATGAAAAAGACCAAGCAAATGTACCTGAAAACGAAACAACGTAAACTCAAGTTTTTTTTTATAACAATATAAACTTAACTTGTTACTAGTATTTGTATTAATAAAATTTATTGAAATTATCTACCTCAGGTATTTAAACTTATGATACTTTTCACTTTTGGTTATCAAATTATAATAACTTTGATCTCCTACAGCTAAATGGCGCATTTCTAAATTGTTTCTTGACCTAAATAAATATTTTGTTTATTAATTTTTTAAATAAATTGGTATTTTGATCACTTACTTTATATCGATTTTCTTTGGACCGTTGATTGGAATCCATTTCGAAACCCTGTGTTTGTTCGAAATCATTAATCCCAGCACGCTTATCCATAATGGAATTATTAGAGTGTCGTGTCTTTCGCTCCATTTGTCCATGAACGTTTGGCTAAAGCTCAGTGTATCCGCAGCTTCAAAAATATCATTAATATCTCCAAAGTATTTTGTGTAATTCTCGAATAAGAACGCGTTGAAAATGTTTGGAACCGTCGAGAATTCATCTACTAACGCATCGAAATCGCATTGGACTTTGTTATTGTCGTCGCGTTTTGGGTTAAAAACTTTACCCAAACCGTGGAATAGTCCTAGAGCCTCATCCTTGTTCATCGATTTTACTTTGGAGTTCTTGTCGACTCTTTTGCGTTTTTGACCTGTTTTCTCCAATTTACTTAATTCTAGAGGAATCTCGCTTGCACCTAAAACCAAATATAACACGAATTAACAAATTGGTTTACTTCATAAGGCAATTACCTTTCAAAGATGCAAAGTAGTATTGGTTTACTGCACATCGAATGTCGCCCATAGCTGTTGCAATAATAGCTTCGATGATTTTAGGTCGCGGTAGCTTCAGGATATCCAAGTTTTCTTTAACAATATTTTGTGCCCTATTTAGTGCGTTTTTCAATAAAGTAACCGAACATGAATTGAAGTTAATATTGCAAATATTAAATTTGTCTTTAATTTCTTCAGTGAAGAGATTCTTGGCAATATCAACTTTGTTATTATGAACTTCAGTGCAAATAAAAATCAGACACGTTTTTCCATTAGCCAAGCAGTTACTAAAAATGATCAAAATTAATAAATTTGATTAAATGATTGAATGTGGATAATATTACTCCAATATTCCTTCAAACTCATTTGTATTTTTCAATAAAGTGTTTGGAAAGTCTTCAATTAAAGTGACTTTCTTCTTTGTTGATGCTTTTGTTAGTAAAGATGGAAACTTGGACTCTGTTAAAAACTCTTGTAGCCTAACACTCTGTCCAGGTCCTTTGAATGTTTCAAAATCCTTGTCAATAGGATTAATCCATTCCTGAATATCAATGTTTTTGCATTGACATAAAACCTTAACAACTGTTGTTTTTCCAGCTCCTGTTGGTCCTGTTAATAACAGCATAGGTACATTTACCTAAAGCATACATTTCAATTATTGAACTGGTAAAGGTGAGATTAAGAGTGGTAACCTTAGTTGTAGGATTGATTACATTAGCATCCAACCATTCTTCCACTTCTTTAATTTTCTTTGCATGGACAGCTAGATCTTCAATATTCTTAGGATCTATTTTGTCAAAGAACTTGAAAGATTTTAATTTCTCATTAGGTACAGCAACAACTGATTTAGTTGCCACTGGTTTTTTAATCTTCTTTGGAGCATCCTTTGTCTCTTTCTGGTCGAAATTGAAAGCAATCCATCTCTATAAAAACATAATTTGTTTTGACTTATCTATAGTGATACAATAATGATTTATCAATAAATATTGAGTCCTTACCTTTGAACCGCTCATTTTGACGTATTTTCAAACTAATAACAGCTGATATCAAGTGTCAGGTTTACTAACTGAAGTTAGATATTATTAAGGATACTTTGCTTTAACTTCTATTTAATTAATTTAAAAAATAAACGTTCTTAACTATCGTTTTATCAGCTATTTATTTGCAATGCAAACGTTGGATAAGTTAAATGCATTTCAATATATATTTTTGGTTCTCTTCAGTTGCCATCTTTCAACCAACATCAGCTGCCATTGAATTGCCAAATATTCCTAAAAAGTACCGACGTTTTAGGTTATAATAAACTTGTCGGGTATTAAATTGAGGTCTTTCAAGTCATGACTGAAGTGGACAAGTTGTCCCCAGGACCCAGGGATGGGGTAAATTACCCTCTACATATTTCGTACTGTGGAAATTGCACCATGCCCATTGAGGTTATTATTTCAGCACTTAATTTTATACGATTTTATGTAGATTTCTCTATTGCCTTTCAGTACTGCGAATATTATCCAGAATACGAGAAATGCAAAACGTGGCTGGAGAAGAATTTGCCTTCAGAATTTGAGAAGGTAAAGATTGGTGATGATGGAGCGGATGGTGCTGGAGAGGAAGAGAAGAAGAGGCAGAAGAGAGGAGGCAAAGGAATGATCAAGGCCAAGAAAAAGGAAGATGGTCCAAAACAAGTGTGTGTTTCTAGGGCTCCAAGAGGAAAGAAGAAGTCTGTCACTGTTGTTACCGGTTTAAGCACCTTTGGTATAAATTATACTGTTATGTATACATTTATCTGATTAATGTTGTTTATTTTGTAGATATTGATCTTAAAGTAGCTGCTAAATTCTTTGGTCAAAAGTTTGCCTGTGGTTCATCTGTTACAGGGGATGATGAAATTGTAATTCAAGGTGATGTCAAAGATGATTTGTTTGATATTATTCCAGAGAAATGGCCTGAGGTATTTGAAAGATCACTTAGCCTTTAATAAACAAATTTAATGTATTTGTTTTTTTTCAGATTGATGAAGACTTTATTGAGGATTTGGGTGATCAAAAACGATAATTTATAAATACCTATATTTATGTATATTATTATTATATAAAATACAAATTAATAAATAAATCTTCATGTAGCTTCAGTTTCTTCCTCCTCCTCTTCTTCTTCTGGTTCAGCAGGAACCTCAGGTTTACCTATGTGCTTATTAATTAAATTCAAAATTTCTTCCACTTGAGTTTCTGTCAATCTTTCTTCACTATTTTCAATCATCTATAAAAGAATATATGAAAATGATTGTATTAAATAAATATAAAAGAAATATTACCAATTGTATTTCAAGAGGTGTTGCAGGTGGATTGTTAATAATAATTAACTTTTCCTTTTTATTCAAATTGTATGGTTCCAGAGCTTTTAATATACCAACAACACCAGCTACTGTTTGTGTCGAACATGGAGATGTTTCTAAATACTTTGATGTCTGCAATACAATTATTAATAGTTACAATTCAGTTGAACAATAATTTGAATTTACCTGGTATGTTATTGTTGTTAGTTGTGATTTAGTTTGTTGTCCTTTAATTTTTTGGAGGTGAGACATGACCTCGAAGTTGCTCAGCATAGCGACATTTGCATTTTTGCTAAAAAGTAAATGATTAAACTCAATTTTAATATAATATTTTTACTTACATTTCCATTGTTTATGATTTTGGAAAATAGGTTAGGAATTTTCTAGCACCGTGCACCACATTCCGTGACTAGTCGAAGTGTTAGCCACCAGATGGTTCTTGTATGCATTTTATATAAGAGCGAAAGGAAGGTGAGACCATAAGAACGGGTAGATATTTGATTTTAAATATAATTTGTGTTTTTATTAACTACTACAGTTTTTCGTTATATAAACTATTAATTATTATGCTTACTCCATACTTTATAGCATTTGAGACACAGATGTGATTACTTATTTTGATGTCAGGTAAATCATAGTGTAAAAATGAAATGGAAGGAGTAAGAGTTCAGAACTTTTGTAAATATTTGCAATTGATTCTTTAGATTTATTAACAGATTAACGAGGATAGGAATATGAATAAAAAAAATAATAATTTTAGCAGTAGAATAGGATAGGAGAGAGGCCAGAGTTACGTAACGAGTCACACTAAAAATTCATGCTTTTAGCCTTTTTGGTCGGTGCACCTTTTCTGAAAGTTCTTTGTGAGCTGCTGTAAAACTGCAAGTTTGCAGCGCGTTTCTCGCTAGCCTTTTGTGGATGCGAGCGTTACGTGCAGACGATGGGAAGGAAGCAAAAGAAGAAAAGAACCACCACCCTCTCATGTGTGTGCATGAGTATTTGGGGTGTTTGATGGTGGAACATCCCTTGGCAGGACTTATCAGAATTTGCAGCAATCATTTCGTCGGTCATGCGGAAAATTCCTGTCCATACAATCCATACGTGTCCCCTTTGACACGTGATAAGTCAATGGAATGGCGACACTAAACTCCACCGAATTGGGATGGGACACAATCAAGTCCGAGAAAACACATAAATAAAATCTTATCGCACGGAGGAGCTTCGGAAACTGGGAATTTAGTTATTACCACCTTTATTATCAGCCACACTCCACGGACACGACTTATGACTCTTTGTCTCCGCTGCAGCAGGAACAGACCCTACGGTTTTCCTAACTTCAGACGAGAGTTATATATATAATGGATTGTATCCATGGTGATCACAAATATCGGCAGAAGATAAAATTCTTCATTTTCCAAGTTTACGACACAATAACTTCAATTTGATATTTTCATTATTAATTATTAATCTTATAACTTCATTACAAGTTTATATACATACTTAATTATATCGAACATTTTATAAACAAAATGTTTCAAAATAATGTCCAAAAGAATTGAAATTTTCTCATTCTATATTACATAATAGAATACCAATAAATTTCATATTGAAACAATTATAGATGTCCCCCGATATTAGATTTTATTAAAAAAATTATCAATTTTTGTTTGGACAGTTGATTTTTTTTAACACTATATATATATCCTTGTAAAAAGTTAGAGCTTTTATAATTTTGTTCGTAAGTCCGGTTGTACGTAAGTCGATATATACCTGTACTTTCAATACTATTCTATAGAACTATATATTGTGTACAGGATGTTGTTTAATTTGTCAAGGTCGGAATTACAATATTTCCTATCTAAAAAAGGAAATACGAATAGCTGTCACGTTAACAGATTTTGGATGGAGGTCGATTTGCCTTTTCCTGAACGGCAAAGGGAAGAGGTCTTATCAATCGAATTGATCCTGGAAGGACGAAAATGTCAATTGGGACCTTTTAAATGGCCTATTCTACTGTGTCTATATCCTATTCAAAAACAAGTTTTATTCCTTATATAAGAATAAATATTTTCCGGCATATTTTACTTGTATAGGTTTTATTGTTGTGAGATGACATAACTTAAACCATTGAAATTTAGATAATATTTCTTATAGTTAAGAACTAGACATTAAGAAATTCTATCCTCTATTTCTGCTTGAAACTGAATAAATGTCTAACATTTTCGGATTATTAATAACACAAATATTGTGATAATTCTTAATATAATTGAAATTATATAATACTAATCATGATGCAAGTAACATTGAATGACTGTGATATAATTTAATACGTTTATTTTATCTGGGAAAAGGATGACAAGTATGTTTCTTAAGAAGTGTTAATGGATACTGAAGGATGAAGTTAAAATGAATAAATTTTCATAAGCAGCTGCAGTTTGGGTTAATTTTATTGTACTTCGGAGCTCGATGAAAACTCGGAATCTCATTTCGGTCCCCATATGCGTTGAAGTCAATTTTTGTAAAAGAAAGAAGGGCGCCTGGGAACGGAGGTAAAAGCGTGGAGCGGCGGAAGATCTTAAGGTATCCGGTTACATTTATTGGAAAACGAGTGTCGCATTGGGGGGAACTATCGAACTATAGGCTCACCTTTGAGAGAATGGATAATAAAACCGAAGGATCATCTCGGGGGGGTTGCTGGGGTGGTTCAGTATTCCGGAATCCAAGTAAAAGTGGAAAGGAAATCATGTATAGTAGAATCGGAAAAAATACAAGTTAGGATGAGAACCGACGACCAGATTTAATAAGAAACTAGCTTTTTTTTATGTATCATATGTGCATATGATAAATATTTCCTACGCTGTCTACGTAGGAAGTATGCGAGAGTGTCAAGAGGAAATAAGATATTTGGAGAGGATATATCTCGTTTCGGTGAAGGAATAAAAAAGATTTATTCGTTTTTTTTTCTTTTTCTGCGTGAAATATTAACATGTAATATGATAGAAAATCAATCCGGCCAGACGGCGATGCGTCAGAGAGGAACGCTCCCAAAACCAAATGCGTTTGAGAACAATAGAGGAATTGTGTGTAATAAACACTGCGTCTTTTCATATACCTTCAAGAATCGAGACGAGACAAAACGATTCATTTAAGTAAAAGCTTCGTCTAAGCTATTATATAAATAGGAAATCCATAGAAATGAAATCTGGATGTGGGAAATGTTTTATCATTTAAGCTGCGATGCAAACATAATGCAAGGAATGCTCTTGCGTATTAATCATCATTGGAACTCTCCAATCTGCGGTTTATCTCACAAATGGTTTATGGGAATTAAACTCTACTTGGAAACTAACTTTAGTAAACCTTCAGTAATAGAATATACCGTTATCCATTAACATTACAGATCGATTTTCTATTGCAAATCGAATAATGGCGTGTACAAGTTTCCTTCTTTTAATGGGAAAAATAGTTTTAATTGAAATCGTTTTATTGTGGCTACGAAAAATGATCATTAGGGCATCATAAGTAATTTTGAGGCGAACAATACAAAACTTGAATGTTAACTTATCATAGTTTTTTTTTATGTCGTAATAATTTTATTTATAATCTGTTCGTCAATGTGAACATTGAGTAAATTTAAGATCACGGTTAACATTAAATGGATAAGTTTTCCCGATGGATAGATTTTGAACATTGATAATTACTTAAATCTAAGCCAATAGCCAGAACATTAGTATGTGACTCCAGTCTATCTTGGTATTTACTACTAAATGTTAGTATTGTATCCTCGACCAAATCTATATGAAGATCTTCGTGTATTTGTTTATTCCTGACGAACCATAAACTATCATAGTTAACTATTTTTTCATCAATGTTATAAATTTGGTTACAACGGACAGTTTTGAATTACAGATTCGTATGGCGTGCACAAGTTTCTTGTGTAACAAAAAGAAATGTGCAATTCCTTTCAATGCGCTAATTCCTTTTAAACTGAAATTGATGTAGCCGAGAGAAAATTAGATTGTTCGAATGCGATCAGCGGGGACAAAGTAAGATTGATGCGGGAGAAGAAGGCGCGCAAAGTTTTGATTGGACCCGCCGCTTCCGGGTTCTTTAATAATAGTGAAATTGTGGATAGTAATGCGAGTATTTCGTCTATGAAGGGATGGGATGGGATGGAGAGGCCCTGAATGAACGATGAACAACAAAAGGGATTCGTTGTCAGTTCCGCGTAATGGGATTGATTCTGTTCTCGCCGAGATGATGGAGGTGCGGTTCGCTCGGAAAAACATAAATTGAACTGGAGAGGTAAGTTTTTAATAAGATTTTCAATCCCGGTGGAAGAAACGTGGCACCGCCACTACCGGTATTAGGCGCAGGTTACATAAGTAAAAGATGGGTTCTTTGAATTACAAAACTTACTTTTAGGAGTTGATCTCATTCATACATTCCAAGTAAAATTAGTTAGTAAACACTATTGTAAGTTTTAGTAAAACTATAAAATGTCTATCAACTACTTCGAACTATGCAATTTGGCAAGTATAAAATATACCACATATATAACAAGTAATTTAATAATTATAACAAAATTAATTATCAATTTAAGGTGATGACAGTTGTACTATAAAATTTTCAATTTGATTATTTTCCACAGAAGTACCATAATTTAAACATTATCATAATTTTGGCGTTTCGGAAGTCTTAAGAGACGAAAAAATAGGTTGAAAAACATCTCTAAAGTAACAAGTTATTATTTATTTTATTAATATAAATGTAACTATTTTATATCAACACACCAATTCCTCTACACTTGTCTGAGATTCAATGCGTTCCGGATTTCCACCATTTCCTATACTTCATCTCTGAGTTTTCTTTAGCATTACTATTTTTTGGTGGTAGATATTTCTAACTTTATTACTTTCCATTTGAATCTCCGTTTACTATTTGTATCTTCATACATTCTTGACTTTCTTTTGGAAACTAAAAAATGGGTGTAAAAGTATTATTTTAATTCTGATATTAATAATTTTTGTGGCTTGAGTATTGTGTCCAACACATAAATGTTTCTTTCAGCTCAGAAATATGAACATTCTATTTACAAGTACAATGGAGTTCGTGTGTCATAATCTTATTGTAAATGGAAAGAAAACGATATGTTGTTTATTTGATGCTATATAGATCCTAAATATAATAGTCTACTAAGGATAATGCTACTTCTATTGTTTATACCATATTTTGTTTTGTAATATTGTTGTTATTTTTTTAAATTTTCATTACTTAAATCATTTTAATCCTATTGTCTGTTAATCATAAAAATATTATTATTAAAAGATACAGTTTTTTAGTGCAAAGTTCATCTATCTATAATTTGTAGAATTTCTGTATCCTAACATATTTTTTTAATTACGTAATAAATAGTGAT